TTGGAATGGAATGTTGTTTCTCCAACTTTAATTAATAATATTCTTATTTTCAATATAAATTATATAAAAACCACTTTTGAATTGTCAAAAAATATATATATAATATATCCTAAACTAAAATTCAACTTTAATTACGTACTTTGAAGTTTGCAACCCATGCATGACATTTTTTCTTTTAATATTTGAAAGTTATGACAAAACGACACATGGTTTCTTTGTACGGACCGGTCATATTACTGTTATATATATACATATATGTGTGTGGAGTTGGTTTGAAATTTGTCGTCTAGTTGCTGTTTCGCAGCTTGTCATCAGTCGTTTCCTTGTTATTTCTGTTCTTATATTTTTCTGTCGGTTCAGAATTTTTCCATGTGGCAGAAATTCACACGTGCTCTTTCTTGTAGGACCTTTGACCTCGTTTGATTCAAGACTTCCCTTTTTTTTTTTTAAAGCGTGTACCATTTTTCTTTTTTTTTTCTTTTTCTTTTTAAACAATAAGCGCGTAGCTTAAAATTAAAAATAGAAATGATATTATCACAGTAATTATTTTACAGAAAAAAAGACAATTGAAATTATAAATGAAACAAATCGCTCATCAACAATTTGGGATTCAAGTTGGTTCATTAATTTACTCAATAAACTTATAAATGAGTGAATTTGAACTCAAATTTGAATTTTTAATATAAACAAATTACAATTTTTTTCTATATAAATTATAAATATATTAAATTTAAATTCAATTTTTAAAACTGAAATTCAATAAAGTTTAATTCGTTTAAACTTGTTTGTCATCTTAAGATCACATGGGGTACCCACATAAATTAGATATTTACATCAATAGTGTAATTCCCTAGAGATAAGGAGCAAATATAATTAAGTAGAAAAATAAATTTTATTTGATTTATTATATAATTAAAATTTACTAGAAAGTATAATAGGCAACATAAAGACAAAATCAAAGCTTAATCACTAAATTACTACTTCATTCATAGCTTCTCACCATTTCTCAAAATCTTCCCTTTTCTGTCCCATTCTTAATTATAAACAATTCTCGTTACATTACAGTGTTTTAGTACTACTATGTTCAAACATTTTTATATGTCTATTTATTCATTTTCCAATGAATTGGGAATTTTACTATATATTTCTTTAAATTCTCTCTCTAATTTGATGAAATTTTCTATTCCTTTTTACTTCTTGTCTTTTATTTTTAGAATTTTTCTCTTTCCTTTCACAAATATTTTCTTACTTTTAATGATAGATTTTATTATTTAAGATTAGTTTTGAATCCATAAATCAGTCATCAATTATGAAGCTGGACAAAAATATAACGCGCTATACACAATGACGAAGCTAGAAATATTTTTCAATAGAGCCATTTATTTAACATGATTTTTTGGTGGATTCAATTAGATTATAAATTCAAAATTTTTCACATACTATGTACTTCTTAAATTTTTTTTTTTATCAATTTATAGTGTATAATATATGCTTTTTAGAATAATTTAAGCTTATATTATGAGATATAAGAAAATCAATAACCGCATACCTGATTCATATAGTTATTAGGGAAAATGTAATGTCATGAAAGAAATTATATAAAAGAAAATATATTATGATTTTAGAGCTAATTTAATACTTTATTATTTGTATTAATTAATGATTGATTTATTTATATTAATATTATAATTCACTATTTACTTTATTTTTCCTGAAAATCACCAATGGTTTGTTATAATATTAATTAAATAATACAAGTTTTTTTAATTATAATTTTTTTTACAATCAAGATGTTTAATTCTCTCGTGTCGTAAAACGTAAGAGTTTTTTTGGCTCTCTCAGCAATATGTGATTTTTGAAAATTAAATTTGTATTATCATTTTTATGAAAATTAAGTTTGCTTATCATCTTAATCAATATCTTGTTGAATATACAATTATAAGTTTGATAATCGCTAAAATTGAATTCATAAAGTTTAAATCCTTAAAAATGAAAAACAAAAGGTTTCTCTTTTGAAAATATATTTGGAAGCATTTTCCTCCATTGGTAACTATGTTTTTACAGTTCCATGTTTAGAATTTTTTTATCTTACTACTGTAAAAAAAGATTTATTTATTTTTTAGAAAAAAATGGAAAAAATGAAATTAAAGAGCGTGATTGTATTGATTCTCCATACCATACATACACGATACTTCCCGCCCCGCCATGACGGCGCATCTTGTGTTACAAGGAAGACCCACCAACGCCCATCAAATATCTTACACGTGCCCAACCAACATTTTGTCTTTTTTCATTAAGAACCTAATTTTTGTTTTTGTTACGCATAGCGAGCCAGGTACGGCGGATTCAACTGAACCGTGGTTCGGATTTGATAAAATGTTGAATTTGAATTATCCATTAAATCGATGCTTTCAATCAGCATACAGTTCGACTGATTTCAGTGTGATCTGATGAACCAACGGTTCAAGTCATGATGATTTCAATGTAGCTCCAGCACTATGCATTTTTTTTTTTCTAAAAAAATTATGCAAATTTCGTTCAATTATGTTATATTTTTTCCGGAAAAAATTAATGTGTATTTGAAAAATATTAAGGAATTTATTTCAAATAACCTTTTCTAAGCAATATTTCAAATAATGTTGAGAATTCTTATACTCATAAAATTCATTAACCTTACAAATAAATGCAAAATGATTAATAAATTATGATTTTATTTTATCTAAATATTTATCAAATAAATTATTAAAAAAAACTTGAAAGGAAAAAATATTTCAAATACTGTAATTTTGGACTAAATAAAAAAATTTAAGAGGAAAAAGAAACTCTCATCTGTATCTACCAATATAATTTTAGACTAAGTATTTCATTATTTGTTTTTACTACTTTCACTTTTTCAAGTTTTTTAAGTCAAGTATATCATATAATAGCACGTCTATTATATCAAATTGGACTAAGCCGTCGATTACACAGACAATTCTTCGCCGGTTCATATTCTTTTTTAAACATTAATATGAATTTTAATTGGCTCATAAATCATAAATTCCGATTTAGCTATGGTAATCATCTACAGTACGATTTTGTTATGATCGGTTTCTAGTCAGAATTGGTAAGAGGAAAAAGAAAAAAGCCTGAAACTCTATTAGGAGGAGTTTCTCTATAAATATCATGCATTAATCAAGAAAATAAGTCTGTCAAGACAATCCTACAACCAGTGAATGTCCACAACATGTGAAGAAGCATAATTCGTAAGTCAATCAATACTAAAATTATCCTCATAAGATATGAAAAATCATATTTTATAAATCTATTAGCACTAAATTAGCCTCACAATAGATATAAAATTACCTAAATATGCTATTTAAGGTGAAAAAAAGGATTTGCAGGATCATGTATCACACAGAATCAGAGGCTCTAAACAATATATACTCTAAAATTATTATAAAAAAAATTAAGGAAATAAAATTAAAAAACAATTTTTTTTATAAAGCAAAATTTTATATCTGGAGGGCCTAACTGTCCCTTCTGAATCTGTTTTTGACTATACCAATAGTGGAAAACCACCTTGTCATCTGCCAATAACTAACCTAATTTAAATGCAAACAATGACGCATTTTCTTCCATTTTTTTTCTCTTTAAATAAAAAGTTGTTCGTTGTTTTTTTTTTTTTTTTAAAACCTAATTTAAATGCAAAACAATGACGCATTTTCTTCCATTTTTTTTCTCTTTAAATAAAAAGTTGTTCGTGTTTTTTTTTTTTTTTTAAATATAATAATAATAATAATTTTTTTTTTTTTTTTAAATAATAATAATAATAATAATACAATGTCCAATAATATAAGTATAGAAAAAAATAATGTGAAAAATATTTTTTATTCAACCTTCATATTTCATATTGCTCGTCTAAAGACCCCAGAAATTTTTTTATATGATATCTGAACCTATATATTTATATTTTTAGAATTATTTAAAAAAAATAAAAAAAGGAAAACCGTGTTAACCATTCTAGAAAGGAATAATTGTAAATAAAGAGCACAGTAGTCTTTTCTTTTGGGCACTCCCTTCTCTTTATTGCATTTGGAGGCAAAGTATTTTGACAAAATTCTTGCACATATAAACACAGAAATAAATATCCAATTATCATTTGAATTGTCAAAAAAAGACTAATACTAATTTTTTAATCGGTAATTAATTGAGAGAAAGTCAAGAAATGCGAGATCCAATCCTAGTCTTCGTTCAAAGCGTCTCACCTGCGCCATCTCTTCTTCACTTCTTCTTCATTTCCTCTTTCTTCTCCTCTTCTTGTTCAAGAAAAATTCAAATACAAGAATATTATTACTTTTTATTTATTGTCATATTATGATTATTGTAGTTCCATTGATTATTTGTTCACATTATGGTCTATTTATGACCTTTAACAACTTCCAATTTCAGTATTGTTTCTCTTGTTTGATAACTTAAAATTAGTTTGCTTTCTTTGGTTTAGGCTGAGATTACAGTTAATCAGTTAATTCCCTGTTGGGTTTTGTACAAATAAGCTCTATAAACATAGAAGACTCCTGTCTTGTCTGATCCTCTGTTCTTTTCCTCTGTTTTAGCCTTCCTGTGTTTATACTTCATTTTTTTTCCCTCTCAAAGTTCTTCTCCTTTCTTCTCATTATTTATTACCATAGCTGTTTTTCCAAATTTCTCTTACTGGGATTTGAATTCTGAGCCTTTCAAGCAAATTGGCCTCTAGCTTTATCTGGGGTTCTGTTCTTTTTATAAGTATTATTAGCTATATTCTTTTATTTTTAATTTTTTTTTTTATCTTTCTGGGTTTTTGCGTTAATTTTTTTTTTTTTTTTTTTTTTTTTTTTTTCTGAATATTTGGGAGTTGGTTGTTCTTGGTTCTCTTTTTTTAGGAATTTTGTTCTTTCACACGAGTAAACTTTAGCTTATTATTAGGTGGGGATTTGTTGGGAATTCTTTGGAATTATTCTACTATTTGGGTAATCTTAATTTTTTTTTTTTTTTTTTGAATATTTGGGAGTTGGTGATTCTGGTTCTCTTTTTTAGGACATTTGTTCTTCAACGAGTAACTTTAGCTATTATTAGTGGGATTTGTTGGAATTCTTGGAATTATTCTACTTTTGGGTATCTTCTGCTAACTTGCTTTCGTAATAGAAGCCGCATTTAGAAGAGAAAAGCTGCTCTCCAAACAGGGCAAAATAGAGTTGTGTTGTTGACACCAAAACTGAGTTTATTATAGTTGGGAATTTGTATCATTAAGGTTTTGTGTATTTCTCGTGAGCTGTTTCCTCTTCTAGAAGCTGCATTTATCTCCCTCAAGCAGCAAAGTCGTCTTCTTTGTTTGCTAACATTGAATACTACAAGCAGTGGAGATAATAATGGCTGGTGGTAGAAGGAAGAAATTACGTCTTAGCAAGATCTACTCATTTGGATGTGGAAGGTCTTCATTTCAAGATGACCATTCACAGATAGGGGGACCAGGCTTCTCAAGAGTTGTTTTCTGCAATGAACCTGACAGTTTTGAGTCTGCAATTAGAAAATATAGCAGCAACTATGTTAGAACTACAAAATATACTCTCGCTTCTTTCTTGCCCAAATCATTGTTTGAGCAGTTTAGAAGAGTAGCAAATTTTTACTTCTTGGTTAGTGGCATCTTATCCTTCACTCCTCTTTCTCCTTATGGAGCTGTCAGTACTATTATCCCTCTCATTATCGTTATTGGAGCCACCATGGTCAAAGAAGGAATTGAAGATTGGAAGCGAAAACAGCAGGTATTAACACTTTTGCTTTTCTGGATTTGGCACTATTTGTTGAATATGGTATAAAATAATGCATTAGATTTTGGAATTTTATTTAGTTCACAATTTCTAAAGCATATTGAGGTTCATTAATGTATTCTGTATCAGATAATTAATTTATGGCTCTTTTGAAAAATTCAAGCTTTAGAATTAGATAATTCATGGGGTTTTTACATGACACCAGTCTTCAAAGGAAGGATTTATATGTAAGGATATAAACCTGCAGATTATTTGTGCATTGGCATTAAGATTTTCAACTCTTACGGTCAATGTAAATTGACATTTCTGTTTATTACACGCTTCAGAAAGGATGAGCAAAATTTAATCTTCTTTCTTTAACTAGTCATGGTATCAAACTGAACAGCACTGATTCATTTAAGCTCAATCCCGCAGGATATTGAGGTCAATAATAGAAAAGTTAAAGTGCATCAAGGTGATGGTGTTTTTAAGCAAACTGAATGGAGGAATCTGAGAGTTGGAGATGTAGTGAAGGTGGAGAAGGATGAATTTTTTCCAGCAGATCTCCTTTTGCTTTCCTCTAGTTATGAGGATTCAGTCTGCTATGTTGAGACCATGAACCTTGACGGGGAGACAAATTTGAAAGTAAAACAGGCAGTTGAGGCAACTTCTTTCTTACATGAGGATTCCGATTACAAGGATTTCAAGGCTACTATAAAGTGTGAAGATCCAAATGCAAATTTATATGCCTTTGTTGGAACTTTGGATTTTGAAGAAAACCAGCATCCTCTCAGTCCTCAACAGCTTCTCCTTAGAGACTCAAAACTCAGAAATACAGATTTCATATATGGAGTAGTTGTCTTCACCGGAAACGACACAAAGGTTATGCAAAATGCCACTGCCCCTCCTTCAAAGAGAAGTAGAATTGAAAGGAAAATGGATCTTATCGTCTACCTCTTGTTTGGTGTTGTATTTCTTATGTCATTAATTGGGTCTATTGTCTTTGGCATTACAACTGAAGATGATTTGCAGAATGGTAGAATGAAGAGGTGGTATCTTAGGCCAGATGATTCTGAAGTTTACTTTGATCCTAATAAACCAGTAGTTGCAGCTATTCTTCACTTTCTGACTGCCATACTGCTATATAGTTACTTCATCCCCATTTCCTTGTATGTGTCAATTGAAGTTGTTAAAGTTCTTCAATGCATTTTCATCAATCAAGATATTCATATGTATTATGAGGAGACTGACAAACCAGCACATGCCCGTACCTCAAATTTGAACGAGGAACTTGGGCAAGTGGATACAATACTTTCCGACAAGACTGGGACATTGACTTGCAATTCCATGGAGTTCATCAAGTTCACTGTGGCTGGGACTGCTTATGGCCGTAGTGTCACAGAAGTGGAGAGGGCTATGAGTAAAAGAAAAGGTAATCCAGAGGCTCATGAAAAAATGAACGGTTGGGATCACAACATGGATTCTGCCAATACAAAACCAGGTGTTAAGGGCTTTAATTTTAAAGATGAAAGGATAATGGATGGAAAATGGATTCACGAACCTCATGCTGATGTCATACAGAGGTTTTTCCATTTGTTGGCAGTCTGTCATACTGCTATTGCTGAAGAGGATGAAGATACTGGGAAGATTTCATACGAAGCTGAATCACCAGACGAAGCAGCATTTGTGATTGCAGCAAGAGAATTTGGTTTTGAATTCTATAAAAGAACTCAAACAAGCATCTCAGTGCGTGAGTTGGATCTGGCTTCTGGGATGAAAGTACAAAGGTTAGTAATCATGGTACTTTTATTCTTCCATTTCCTTCATATAGCATTGTCAATTGTCAAGATTTTAGTCATCATAACTTTCTCAAGATTTTAAGCAACCACGTCACATTTCATTCTTCCAGTGCCTTTAGAGAGTATGCTAAATTGCTTATCTTCCTTATTTTCACATGATGAGGCGGCTCTGCTGCTGTCTTTACTCTCGTCTGCTTGCCTCTACAGTGGTACAGTATCTTCTTTTGAGATTTTCAGTCCTTGACTGCAATAAGCAAGCATTCTTACTGAATGCTTAAAATATTTGAGTTTATACATTTTTCCCTTGTGGTTTTCACTTAAAAAGCGTAGGTGACATGTCTTGAAACTATCCTTAACCATGATATACATTATTATACGGCTAAACGTGGTATATGCATTACAACCCTATCTGAAAGGCAGTTGAGCATCCAAATATGCAGGTCATTACTGATTCCTAAAGTACCTACTGAACAAGTTCTTTTTTATGCAGGTCATATAAACTCTTAAATGTTTTAGAGTTTAACAGCGCAAGAAAGCGGATGTCTGTGATAGTAAGAACTGAGGAAGGAAAGCTGTTACTTCTCTGTAAAGGAGCTGACAGGTTTGTGATCTGCTAATTTGAAACTTTTGATTTCATGTAATTCATTACATTTGACGTTGCTTATATTGGAAATTCTTTACAACTCTCTATCCTATGCAGTGTCATGTTTGAAAGGCTTGCCCTTAATGGTAGGGTGTTTGAAGAGAATACGAGGGTTCATGTGAATGAGTATGCAGATGCAGGCTTGAGGACTCTGTTACTAGCCTATCGTGAACTTGATGAAGAAGAATACAAAGATTTCAATGTTAAATTCACCCAGGCTAAGAATTCAGTAAGTGTAGATCGGGAAGCATTGATTGAAGAATTGGCAGAGAAGATGGAGAGGAATCTATTTCTTCTTGGTGCAACTGCTGTTGAGGACAAACTCCAAGATGGGGTGAGTAGATAAAAAATAGATTAAAAAGTTTTAAAATAGAAAAATATCTTCAGAGATTTGGAAGTGATTTTTCTCTTGTTACACGTACTAGGTCCCTGAATGCATAGACAAACTTGCCCAAGCTGGAATTAAGATCTGGGTTTTAACAGGAGACAAAATGGAGACTGCCATCAACATTGGGTACGACTTTTATTTGAATATATGTATTGAGGCTGCGAAATGAAGCCTATATTTCCTGTTACTGCATGGAGGCTCTGACACAAAAAATGTGAATGTGCAGTTATGCGTGTAGTTTACTTAGACAAGGAATGAAGCAAATTGTAATCAACTTGGATACTCCAGAGATTCAAGCTTTGGAAAAAGCAGGAGACAAGGAAGCCATCACCAAGGTAAAGATTGCTTCCCATCATAAATGGTTTCTATCCAGGTCAGGTGGTTCACTTCTTGGAAAGGAATTAGTTTTAATTAGCCAATTAACAAAAATGTTGCTTGAAGAATATAGTATCTAAAGGTTGCTTTAGTCAAACAGTAGTTTGAAGTAATACGTTCCTTGTGCTTTGTGATAATACTGACACACTTGGTACAAACTCTATGCTTTAGAAAATCTCAATCATCTGTGCTATGCTCGGTGTTATTTTAGAGTGAAAGGAGCACAGCTGAAGCTGTATCTCAAATAATTTGAATTCTGTAGTATTTAAGGTTTGTCCTGACTAATTTTTCCAGGCATCAAAGGAAATTGTTCAACGTCAAATAATTGATGGAAAAGCTCAGATCACTAGATCAATTGGAGACTCTGACGCATTTGCACTAATTATTGATGGAAAATCACTCACTTATGCTTTAGAGGATGATATGAAGGCAATGTTTCTAGAACTTGCCATTGGTTGTGCATCTGTGATTTGCTGTCGTTCATCACCAAAACAAAAGGCATTGGTAGGTTATCATTCTTTCATTTCCCTATTTTTAGATTTCCAAAATGTTTCTTCTACATGCTTTTCTTTAAGGAATGATTTAAACGGTCAACCTCAAAAACACAGGTTACTAGACTAGTGAAAGAAGGAACTGGAAAGACAACATTGGCAATTGGTGATGGTGCCAACGATGTGGGCATGCTTCAAGAAGCAGATATTGGAGTTGGAATTAGTGGTGTTGAAGGAATGCAGGTGCTCTTTTTTACAATTTATAATCAATTTAAAGTTATAAATATGAATATCCATGCTTCTAATTCTTATTGCTTATTGACAATTTTCATTGCATTTTTCTAACGCAGGCTGTTATGTCAAGTGACGTTGCAATTGCTCAATTTCGATATTTGGAGCGTTTGCTACTTGTGCATGGACACTGGTGTTACAGGAGGATCTCAGCAATGGTAATGTCATTCATATATCTTTGGTATCAACATGACTTCTATGTTTTCTTATCAGAACTTTGAACTCTTTTATGATGCTTGTCAATAACTTTTTGTTCTTTTTGGCAGATATGCTACTTCTTCTACAAAAACATCGCATTTGGCTTCACCCTTTTCTTATATGAAGCTTTTGCAACATTCTCTGCACAACCTGCTTACAATGACTGGTTTATGTCCCTGTATAGTGTCTTCTTCACGTCACTTCCCGTGATTGCTTTGGGTATTTTTGAACAGGATGTACCGGCAGCATCTACCCTCAAGGTATCTCCAAACTGAATGAAAAGAATCAATTCTATGATTACTTAAGTGTATAGGAATGTAAACATCTTGGTAACTTTATATTATATAAGAGTATAGCGCATAAAAAGGCTGGTAGAAGTACATAAAAGACTATGCAGATGCATTTGTGTTTAATCCTCTCTATTGCCCCAACTATTTTGTTTTTCTTTCTAATTATTGCTCCCTCAAACTGAAACTGTTTAACAACTCCAATCTCGCCCTTTTGATATTCAGCCTAAAAGCTATCATGTCTAGCAAGAACCATTGGTTTGTAAACTTTTACTTGTTGCTGTATAACCAATAATGTTGTAGGTAGCATATAGGGGTATAAACAAGATATAGAGAAGCTATGGTTCAGATATTCTAATATGAATTAATAGTTTGTTTTGTATAGGTTAAGATATTAATTCTATATAAAGTATCACGACTATTATATTCATTGAGTGTTTTGCAGGAGCAGAACTAGACTTCAAGTATTCTATTCTTAGGGGCCAAAAATTTTTTAAAAAAGAAAGAAAAAAATGGAAAGCAAAATTAGGGGTCAATATGGATATTTTTTCAAAAATATACTAAAGTTAGGGGGAAATTTGAGTTTTTAGAAACTATTGGGGGACAAATATGGATATTTTTTTGAATATATATGTAAATTTTGAAGGGACATTTTGAATTTTGAAAATTTTCAGGGGCAAATATGAATACTTTTGGATAATATATATAAAATTCTAAGGGGAAAAAAGTTCAATTTCAAAAAACACCCTATGTGGATCCGCCCCTGATGTTTTGTTTCTTCCTGGAATTACTAGACAAGCTGAATTTTAAATTATAGTTCAAGGGTCCTGTTGTTTTGCTTTCTCATTTTTCATTTTTGTCTTTTTTTTTTTTTTTTTTTTTTTTTTTTTTTTGTTTCTTCCTGGAATTTTACTAGACAGCTGAATTTTAAATTATTAGTTCAAGGTCCTGTTATGTTTTCTTTCTCAATTTTTCATTTTTGTCTTTTTTTTTTTTTTTTTTTTTTTTTTTTTTTTTTTTTTTTTTTTTTTTTTTGAATAAATTTGCAGTGGGATGTCACTCTGGTGTTCCTAATAAATATTTTACCTCTCAAAGATATGCATTCCTCAATACTTGTGGTTGCACCTTACAATTGAATAGTGAATATGGAGTTTCTGTAGACTCATTTGAAATGTTTTTCAACTCATTCAATTTTTGCAACATGTGTTCACCATTTATCAATCTTGTGGCAGTTTCCTCAATTGTACCAAGAAGGGGTACAAAATGTACTCTTCAGCTGGCGCCGCATATTCAGCTGGATGTTTAATGCGTTCTACACTGCAATTATCATTTTCTTCTTAAGCGCAAAAGCAATGGAACACCAAGCATTCAACGATGATGGGAAAACTGTTGGGCGAGATATCTTTGGAGCAATGATGTACACATGCATTGTATGGGCTGTGAACTTACAAATGGCACTCACAGTTCGTTATTTCACCATCATACAGCATGCCTTAATCTGGGGTTCTATTGCGTTCTGGTACATTTTTCTCTTGATATATGGATCCATCACTCCTACATTCTCCGGCAATGCTTACCAGATTTTCGTTGAAGCTCTTGCCCCAGCCCCTTTATACTGGCTTTTCACACTATTTATTGTGATCACAGCCTTAGTCCCGTATTTCTCATTCTCAGCAATTCAAATGCGGTTCTTTCCCTTGTATCATCAAATGATACTGTGGATGAATTATGAGGGTCAGTCAAATGATCCCGAGTACTGTGAAATGGTGCGCCAAAGTTCAATACGACCAACAACGGTGGGTTTTACAGCTCGTAGAGCAGCCGGAACTGGGCATTAAAAGAGGAGTGAGATAACTCAAGATATTAGCTAGTCATTCTTGTATGACAACAGTTTTGAGATTTGCTGCCATGTCTAGCAGATTCTGAACCCTCCCTGCTGTATATATGTGTACTGCAATCTCGGAGCTAGCCCTTTTATTCGACTGGAAATTATGCTCCATGGATTAAGGATAGTAGATGACACTGTTAGTAAGCATCATTGAGTAGCATTTCGAGCCGTACATAGTGATTTTTAGATTTTTAGTCCATACGTATACTCTTTGTACAATTAATCTTGTATCAGATGTATTTAGTGCAGATGTGAGAAAAATTCATTACAGATTTGTTTAATGCTGGTTTTTACATAAATATACAACTAACATGGTAGCTCAAGTTCTTTATAGAAGTTAAGACTTTGCTTTCAATTTTCTTGCATTGCTTGATAAGTTATTTCAGGGTTGAAGAGATCATTATTGTCTTTCTTTTTTGTGCCTGACAAACTCGTTGAATCTCATGAAGTGAAAAAGCATGCCTGAGTTGATCTTTTGAAGGCTGAATCTGAAAATTTGATGAATAGATGGTTTCTTTGCTAACTGGCTTTATAACTCGAGTTTGATATATGAAAAAAAAACTCATACTTATGAATTTCGAAATGAAATTAGTTTTACACTCAAATGGGATGGGATATGAGAATAATCATGGACAGGATTGAACCTGATCTCTAGAAATTAAAAAAAAAAAAAAAAACATTTTAACATTAAAAAAAAAAAAAAACATTAAAATAAAAAAAAAAAAAAAAACATTTTGCTCTTATAAACTATAAAATATTTTAAGAATTTCAAAAATAATTTCTAGTTCTGCCTCTGGCAGGTGGAAAATCCGAAAACTAACAAAAATTAGTTATTATAACTTATAAGCGAGAAGTCTTGATGCTTCATGTCTTAATAACCTGCCATTTTACACAGGAAACAAATATGCTGCAACCTTTCTTGAGAACTGGATATGGTCATTCAAATTTGAAATGCTGGATCAGATACAAGTGTAAACCAGGACGACAATGGAAAAACTAATTAATTAGGCTTTTCAAAGTCATTTTCATGTCAAATAAAACAAAAGTCACCAGAATAATAACAAATTCAAGTGAGATAATCATAATATTAATCAAGTGTGTGATTGATTTATTTCATATATGCATATTGGTCATTAATTATACAGCTCTCCTCCTTCAATCAAATCCTATCAAGAAACAGACCCTCATCAAGAATTACATATCAACACACACAAGAAAATCAAAAAGAAAAAAAACAGAATCAATGTAAACCATCTCTTTATCACCATCCAATATCACCATTTCTGCAAATTCTTCATCATCCCCAAGAACAGCAGCAGCTATACGTCGACTATGCATGCAATATCCAAACCAAGAAAATCAGTGGCAGATTTAGCCATGATATTAGCAAACTCGTTAAAACTAATAACACCATCTCCATTTGTATCAGCCTCTCTCATCATTTCTGATAATTCTTTATACGATAAAGGATGACCCATTTTAGCCATGGATCCTGCAAGTTCAGCGGCAGTTATATACCCATTACCATCACGGTCAAATGATTTAAAGACCTCCATTAACTGTTCTTGATTTATCAATATTTCTTCATTCATGTCTGGCAATATAGCAGTTACCAATTCATCAAATTCTACGTACCCATTTCCATTCGCATCAATGTTAGATAGCAGAAGGTGGAGTTGGTCACCGGTAGGTTTTAGGCCGAGAGAGCGAAGAAGGGCAGCGAGCTCTAGATGGGTTAGGCTACCATCGGAATCCATGTCGAACCTCCGGAAAATGTCTTTGAGCTGCCTGAGCTGGTTGGATTGAAGGGTAGCCATTATGGCCATAAAATGTAATGGTGATGAAGGAGAAGAGGAAAAAGAAATTACAATGGAAGATTGTTTTTCAGTTTTTAAGGTTTAAAGTTAAAGAAGGGAAATGGTTTTATTTTGAGTTCTGGTAATTGGTTCTTTGGTTTGTTGAAGACGTGGGGCTTATTTTTTTTCTCCTTCGTTGTTCTCTTATAATTTGGAATGGTTCAAAATGAAAGCGCGTCCATTTATTGGAGTATAATTATATTTGATAAGGTTGGGAACCCTCATGAGACCTATGGTTGGTGGGTATCATTGGGGCATTATTTGCTTTGTTACTTACTAATTTAGATATAATCTTAGCATTAATGATTAATAATTAAGTTATTAAGGGAGTGGGGAGGGACACCTTTTGGCCCTACAGCCTCCACCTTTACCATCAACATTAAGGCAATCATGGAAGGATCCACCAAATCTAATTAACAGGGTATTGTTGATTCATAAATGAATTGTAATTGTACATTAAAAGATAGAAAATAAATTAAAAAAAAGCTAAAAATGTTTATTTGGTGGATTGTCATGAGTTGTCTCAAGGAGAATTGATTGCTAGATTATTGCATTGCTTCCATTGACTTGACAAATTATATGGGGGAATTTTAGTTCATTTGTTATTGACGGAGAAAAGTATAATTTAATTAATTTAGGATATTAATTTTATTTTTTTCAAAAATTTTTAATAAATAAAAAGAATTTAGTGCGGTCAAGGTTCTAAATATAATATTAATCTTTCAATTATTTTGAAATTTTCATGTCATGGAGTGTTTGACTAGTTAATAATTTTGCATGTTAAATCAAATAAAATTCTTGAGAAAATTCCTTATTCATACATCATGCAGAATTTGAATCTTTCAAACATTAAAAGTCAAATAGCATATACTATTAGTTCTCTTTATTTCTATGTTAGCACCTCATCATGCAGAAATTGGGTATTTCAATTTTTTTTTTTTTTAAATAAATAGAACTGTTGTTTTGGGACATTTAAAAAGAAATTAAAATTAAAATTGTAAAATGGAGGGAGTATATATTAGAAAACCTGGTATATTTCTGTCTCATTGCCATCCCTAGATATACACTTGCCGCTAAACTAGTAACATATTGTTGTTAGACCAAAAAAAATAAAAAAAAAAGAAAAGAAAAGGAAAGAAAAGAAAGGAAAACAAGAACATTTGCTTGACCAGCATCTAGGCAGGGAAAACCGAAATCCCATTTGTAATCAAATGGAGCTAAGCTACCAATTATGTTCATATAAGTTATCAGTAGAACTCATCATTTGGCTAAGATCAATTTGAGTATCTAAAAGAATTATTACCTATTTCAACTAATTCAAATTGTACAAGTCTAAAATCAATTTCCTGTTTAGCTACACATGTTGAAGATCCTCCTCCTCTACCCCAAAAACTTCCAAATGCAAATTCTCCCTTTCTTGAAAATTCTCCAATTACTCTCTCGACTTCCTCCATACAACCACTTCCAAAACCATTTCTTCCATAAAAATCTTCTACTTGAATTGTTATAGACCCTTCTTGGAGTTCAACAAACCCATCCTCAAATTTACCTTCAAATGATTTTATTCCCTTCTCTCCTTTCTTTCTATACCGAATCCGAAATTTCTTCAAAGCATATTCTTTAGTCTTCCTAAACATTTTGCGAGGAAGTTGAAGAAAGAAATAGATGAGTAGTTGAAATATCAAGCATTGGCAACAGCAGGATATGACTACACAATCTGCGGCGAGCATGTTCAGGTCTTCCATGGCTGTAGTAGATGGAAGGAGAAAGGAGATGATAGAGAGAAAGAGAAATGATATATAAAAGTCATGCCTTGACAAGGAATAAGTTCCTTGTCCTCTGAGGAGGGTAGGAGAAAGGGTAAAGCAAATAGAAATTATATGTGGCAGGGCTGCAAAAGAGGGTGATAATTGGTAATGGCTTAAAAGATTGCACATTTGTGTTGCCTGAAAATTGCAGGCGTAGCTTTTTTGCTGGGATCATTCGAGATAATATAATATTGGAAGCAAAGAAACATGGGTTGTCGTATTATTGTTTCTTTAACTCCACTCTTTGTGGGAATTGAGAGGTTACTTGGATGACTTCAAAGCTTGCCTTCTGCGTTTTGGAGTATGTCTTCAAAGAACTTGTTTACTTTCTTCCCTATAAAGCATTTAGTTGAGATTCTTGCAAAGCATATGCAAAAATTCTCTCTCCATCTACTCTTCGCCGAGTTGTCGTAACTCATTTGGTCGAGTTGACAGTATCTGTGGAGGATATGAGCCTTTAAAGAAAAATTTTTAGAGATGTTTTTGGAACTGAGCTCTCTGGTGGGTAAGATCATAACAGAAGAATTAAAACCTGCAGATAGCAATTCTGAGATCCTCACCTGAAGTTAAATTACTCACAGTAATTTATGGCTTCACGAATTGTTTATGTACATACAACAACTATGCCTTAATCACAAATTAATCGGAGTTCGCATTATGAATCATTTGTTTCCATTCTATATTTTTGTACATGATGATTGGAAAACTTTACCATTTTCAAAAAACTGTTATACAAAATCAGGAAAAAAAAAAAAAAAAGAAGAAGAAACCCAACTCAAATGCCTGATAATGGCACGAGTCCTGGAAGTAAAGAAGAAAAGAACAAAATTGCGTTGTAGTTTTATTAACATAATAAGATTTGTAAGGACAAAATTTGTGCGAGCTAGTTACAAGAAAAAGAATATCACATTTTTTTATGTGCAAAAGCTAAAATGACCTAGTAAGTAGTAAATGAGGGTTTGAAGTCAAGTCCCAATTCAAGATGAGAAAGTTTTCAGATATACACACTCTGTACATCTATAGGTGAGGCCTATTCCAACTAAATCATCTTGAACTTGAACAAGGCTCTATTGTTAATTGTCAAACCCTACTGTTATATATTCATTTCTGCTAGTATTCATCCTCTATTATCTGAGCTACCTTGGGTAAAAAAATCTGTACTGTAATTCTGACTACCAAATGCCATCCTTCGAAATAATCTAATTTCTGCAGATTGTTGTGCTGAATTAAATACCTCACTTTCCCCAACTTTCATTCCGTTGCTTAGATCTTCAGTAGCTAAACTATCAAAAGCTCTAACAATCTGAGAAGCAAAAGAAAAATATTGGAAAATATCCGAAAAGTTCCGGTTCCGGTTCCGATACGGTGACCAAACCGACGGTTCCGATCGGTTTTCCGGCGAATCGCATAATTTTAAATTTTAAATTTTGAAGACTGATTTTAAAAAATATATATATTTGAACATAAAAAATTAAAAGATACACCTAAAAAAATTAAAAAATACTTCAATTAAATTTATTTTTTTAAAGACATAAAACAATTAAAAGATACACCTAAAAAAATTAAAACATACTTCAAATTAAATTTATTTTTTAAAGACTTGAACATAATTAAGAGATTTCAACAAAAAATTTAAACCAAAAATAAAAAAAACTGAACAAGTTTGCTAGAACGCCGTTCGAACCGGTCGAAACCGGCGTTCTAACCGCCGGCGGCGGTTCTAACCGGCCGGGGAACCGGCGTTTCCAGTCCGGTTCCGACCGGTTCTCTGGAACCGCCGGTTCCGGTTCCAGAAAATTTGGAACCAGAACCGAACCGGAATTCTCCGGTTCCGGTTCCGGCTCGGCCCAGTTCCAGCTACGGTTCCGGACCGGTTCGAACCGACGGTTCCGGTTCCCGGAACCGTAATATGGCCATCTCTACACATGGGGATGTTTTTTAATGAAATATACAAGTACCTGTCCCATCCGTGGCCTCTTGGCAGCTAAATGGCGCACACAGGCAGCAGCAGCCTCAATCATTCGAAACATTGCACCTTCATCATAGTTCTTTTCAAGCCTTGGATCTACCAAGCCATCAAATTCCTCATTGGCTAATGCATGACCAAGCAAAGGCCGAGCCTGAAGGAAAAAAAGTGGGTAAATGATGAAAAATGAACTTCAGATAAGTGCAGAAATCGACTTATTTCAATACCATTGTTTAACCTCACAATTACGTTTTCTTCCTTCCATATCTAGAAGTTTGCATCATCCACTGAACTTAATACAAGGCCTAGCAACTTGCCTATCAGCAAATGGGTCCCCCCACCTCTCACCCCCCCAAAAAAACCTTGCCTATCAAGCAAATGGGTCCCCCCACCTCGTCACCCCCACCCCCCCCATTCTCTCTTTCTCTCTCCCCCCCCCCCCCCCTTCTCTCTCTCTCTCACACACACAGACACAGAAACAGCCCTTCTCATTTTTCAGATTGAGATATATTATTCAATTAAAAAAACATTTATATAAGTGGAGTCCTTGCAGGATCATAACACTTTGAAGAAACCCTGCCAACACATATTAAAGGATAATATACCAGTTGTATGCAAACCACAATACAAGTAAATAGGAAGCTAGGAAATAAGTTTCTACAGCATTTTATTTCTCCTAGCCTGTATTCAACCTAGCAGAAGATCATCCCATTGTTATCACTTCGTAACTATGATTTTAATATAAGAGTTGAACCATCAACATCAAATTCTTGCACCAAACAAAATTGAGCATTCAGGAAAGGAATATAGCACAAATGACAGAAGAATGAATTATTCAAACTAAACCTAAGGGTGCATTACTAAGAGATTTTCAACTTCAGCAGCAAAGATTCGTGAAGTGGATCATTTATGCGTGGTTATATAACATAGGAAATTAAGATGAGGTTGTTCAGCAGTAAAATAGTAATAAGAAGTTTGACATCAAGTTATTTACCCATTCCACAAGACTCTCATCACCCAAAGGTTGGGATGCATCCACAGGCTTCCGTCCAGTGATCAGCTCCAAAAGCACCACTCCATATGAGAATACATCAGATTTCTCTGTTAATTTGCCACTTGACGCATATTCAGGGGCCATATATCTGTATGAACAATCAAATATTAGAAACATTTTGATCTATATACACATAGCCATATCTGCCTTCAGTCTCAGAAAGTCCTGCAGTAATGGGAATCTAAATGAAAACTAGATATACTGCCTACCCAAAAGTCCCCATGACGCGTGTGGTCACATGGGTATTTGCATCAAGAGCTAGCTTAGCAAGCCCAAAGTCCGAAACCTACAAAGTAAAATCTAGAAACTTTGAAACATAATCTACATGAAACAAGTAATGCATAAATAAGAGGGTCAAACAGTCATACCTTCGCTTCAAAGTTGTTATCCAAAAGAATATTTGATGACTTAATATCCCTGTGAATAATCCGAGGATGACCTACATGTATAAAAATAAATGAAATCAGTAACAGCTACCTATAATGACTGAAACCAAGAGCTTACAAAAGCACAAGGATTGTGGCATCATTCATAATGTCAAGCGGAGAAAAGTGTCAATGATTATGCATTACATGATTGATAAGTTTCATTAGCAATAAAGATAGATGTTTCTTTTCTCTTGCCCCCCACCTCTCCTAAAAAAACAAAACAAAACAAAAAAAAAAAAAAACCCATTTTATAGAGGACACCATTTATAGCGAGGGGAAGATCAAAATGAAATGGCAGCCCGCTAAAAACGGTTTATGCCCATAAAAAAAGGATAAAATTAGAGACTTTGATCAGAGCAAGAAATTCTAAAACTCCTATTTCATATTCTAGATCCAATGGAATGGTTCCCCTCCCCCCGACTCCCTCTAAAGTTGGGTCATAGCAATTTGGAGAAGAAAAAAAAAAAAAAAAAAAAAAAAAAAAAAAAAAACCCATTTTATAGAGGGGAAGATCAAAATGATGGGCACCTAAAGGGTTTATGCCCCATAAAAAAGGATAAATTAGAGACTTGATCGAGCAAGAATTCTATCCATTCTCATATTCTAGATCCAATGGAATGGTTCCCCCTCCCCCCCTCCCTCTAAAGTTGGGTCATAGCATTTGGAAATGAACGAGGGTGACCATGGAGATCTTGGGCTTCCCTGGTCAACCAGAAATTGAAAGAACAAAAATTGGAGGAAAGAAGAAGAAAAGGGGAAAACTGTCATTTCAAAATGATGAGGAGAAGAATCTTAATCATTAAATATCTTCATCAAATAAGCTTAAATCCCAAAGGGAAGAAAAAAAAAAAAAAGAAAAGAAGAAAACATGCTCAGTGTACACTGCGGGAAATATTTGGAAGTTTAAACGCAAAAGAACATCATTGAACAATTTTTCCACTTTATCAGACAGCATAATTTTGAAATGGACATGCTGATGAGGAGTAAAAGAAAACAGGCGCATAGCATCTTCAATTAATTTTGAGGGATATAATTGTGAATTTGAATTTCACCTAAGATCAAAACTCAAGAAATGAAAAAAAAACTTACAATCTTCATGGAGATAAGCTATTCCACGTGCTGCTCCAGCCGCTATCTTGACACGAGCTGTCCAGTCCAAAACCGGCCTACCTTCCCCTATAAAATGTAATAATCAACACACATAACCAATAAACAACCATATGGAATTTTTATCCATCAAATGTAAGATATAAGTTGTAACTTTACCATGAAGATGGAAATGAAGGGTATTGTTAGGTACATAGTCATATACAAGCAATCTTCGGTTCTCAGAGATGCAGTAACCCACAAGTGAAACCAAATGGCGATGATGTATTCGACTAATAATCTCAACTTCAGCTTTAAATTCTCGCTCACCCTGTCCTCCACCAACTTTAAGCTGTTTTACTGCCACCTCCCTCCCATCAGGTAGGGAACCTTTATATACAGAACCAAATCCTCCCTCCCCCAAAAGGTTTTGGGATGAAAATCCATTAGTGGCCTTGAGTAGTTCTTCATATGTAAACCATGACCTTGAATTGCCTAATCCGCCTGGCTCACTTGGTGAATAAACAAAATCGGTGCTAGAACCACTTCCCATCAGGGGAGCTGTTGTAGAATGTGTCTTTGTGAAATTTGTGTCTGGAGACAAAGTAATAAAAAAACCTTCAAATTTCTTATCAACAATCTCTTCAATTGCAAATATGCCCAAAAACATGGAAAATTACCATCTTGATAAAGCTATCAACAAGCTTCATCCACGTTCTGTTTTTAATATGAGAATTAACTATCTAGAGGTTTAGAATAACCTTCTTTAATTATCAAACAATTAGCAACAATATCCTCATAAACATTCGATAATCAGTCATATGCAGCATTTCAGGTTGCAAAATTTATATCAGAGTATGAGAACACATCCCAGGCAGTTCTCTGTATTTAATGATATCATCTGACAAGTTCATAATTTTCTAAAGAAACAATGCTGAAAATGCTGATTAAGAAAGTACCTGATCTTGAGGAAGAACCTAGAGGGGATGGCATAATATAACCACCATTGAGTCCCAATGCCGCTTTCCTCCGCTTTCTCACACACCAGACAGCCAAACCAACAAGACTGAGCATTATGATACCTACTGCCACACCAATAGCCACTATAGCCCCCGTGCCAATGCCCCCACTAGGTAGATTTGAACTTTCTGGTGCACTAGGAATAGTATTGTTGTCAGATGATGAAGGAGAAGAAGATGGTGGAGAATTGAGTGAAGGAGGTGGAACGAATCTTATCACTGGTGATGGGGGTGATGCTCTTGGAGTTGCATTTGATGGTGCAGGTGTTGGTTGAGAAGGAGGTGGAGATGTTACTCGAGGAGGTGAAGGCGCATTTCTGGGAGTAGGGGCTACTGGTGCGGGCGGAGGAGGTGAATTTGTAGGTGGAATTGATGCTGGAGGAAGACGTGAACTTCTGGGAGGTGGCACAGTTACTGGTGGTGGGGTGGTAGAGTTGCTAGGTGGTTGTGATGGTGGTGGTGAATTTTCAGGTGGCTTAGATGATGGTGGAGATGGTGGTGAATTCTTAGGTGGCTCCGATGGTGGCGGTGGATTTTGAGGTGGATTTGGTGATGCTGTTGGAGGTGAATTTGTCGGTGGTGGTGGTGTTGATGATGGTGGCAAAGGACTTCTAGGTGGGTTGGATGGTGGTGGTGGAGAACTTGGGGGATCAGATGGTGTTGGTGGTGAAGGTGGGCTCACAGGTGGACTTGCTGATTGTGGTGGTGGTGGAGGAGGACTAGGAGTTGGAGGATCAGCATTAGCCGTAGGCGGTGGAGGTGAAGCTGTAGGAGGAGGACGTGGTGCCGCCGGTGGTGGTTGTGGTGGTGGAGTTGTTGAACTGGAAGGAGGAGTTGCTCCTCCAGTAGGAGAGGATTGAGGAGGTGGGGAGAATGGAGGAGAAGGGGTAGGGGGGTCAGGAGGATCGACATTGGGCTGTGAAGGTGGTGAAGTTGCAGGAGGATCTGGTAGAGGCGAGGAAGACTGTGGTGGAGGAGTAGAGTTGGAGGGTGGAGAATTAGCAGTGGATGGTGGTGGTGGTGGTGTAGTGGTTGCAGCTGGTGGAACAGCAGAAGGGGATGAATTTGGGGGTGAAGTTGTAGCCATCAATATATTATCAAATCTAAGATGGCCAACTTCCAACTTTCAAGTCATTAAATTCACATACCAATTCAAGTGCAGAAACAAAATTTTGATCAGAACCCAATGATCAATTTCAATTGAAACTAAAAGTCAAAACTTTAGAATAGATAGATTATCTGAGTCACCAAACTTCACCAACCAAGAAGCCTGAAATCACCAAACCTTCATTCTTTAGAATACAGTAACCTCTTTGGTTTCAGACAACCTTCACCAGCTAAGTTAGAGCAAAACCCTAATCAAAGTTCAGGCTTTTGAGTAAATACGGTTTCTAAGGAAAGCCAGATTGCATAACAGTGTTTGTGCTAAAAATCAGACCACAATCAATACCAAAGCAAAAAACCCCACTTCAAACCCAATTCACTAAGCAAATTTAGTAATACAAAGATGACAAAATTCAGAGAATCAGAGTATAATTAATCTATAAACTTATAATGAAGAAACCCCTACTGTTACTAGTATCAGTGTAGCAATGTATCTAAGTTCAAAACTTTTATCAAACAAATGACTGTAAAGGGAAACCCAAACACCAAAACCCCAAAAAAGTCTTACCTTTATCTTGTTTTAGAAAAACATTGAAGTCATTACTGGATTATTTTGAATTTTGCAGACAATTTTGGCTCGCTCTTGAACCTTTCTCTCTCTTCTAGCATAGGAAATTACAGGAACACGGATTGTGGGGTCCCAAATCCAATGAAGTATTGAATATTGACAGAGACCCTCAAAGAACGAGAAGAAAGAAAGAATAATCAGATTGTGTTGTTTTGAATATGAACATGATAAAAAAATGATATAATCATCAATATTATCATATAATATTCAAGATTCATTTTTAAGCACAGTTGCTTCATGGCAACGTCAAGTAGATGACCATCCAAAACTATAGACTCTAATATTAATAATTATTAATAAATTATACTATTTCTTTACGTTATGTGTCAAAGATTGAAAATAATTTACTAAGATCTTCAAACAAATATTATATTCACCTCACCAAAAGATAATTTTGTCTTCTGGCAAAAAGAAAAGGTAAATAATATTTTAATCTCAAATCTAATCATAATTTCAATTTCACCCCATCTTATTTGACATATATATTAATTAGTCCCTAAAATTTAACCACGTTAAATTTTTTAATACTCTAGTTCAAAAAATGTCATTGTAGATGTTAAATATTCTGTAATAGTTAATTATCTGGTCTTTAATATTTGAATTACTATTTAATATATCATTTAATAATAAAAATGAAATTTTTGTGGATGAAGGACTAAATATTTAACAAAGTTAAATTTTAGAATGTATTTACTAAATAAAAAGAGATGATTAAATCGGGAAATTAATAGTTATTTATTATAAATAAATCCTTTTTTTTCCGTCTCTTTATGTAGACTTTTCTTTTGGAGCCCTAAGTTCAAACTCAACTATAATAATAATAATAATAATAAATCCAAATTTCAGCACAGTTTTTATATTAAATTAATGCATGTTGCTGTTATATTTTGAATTTTTCAAAAGAAACAGATCAATGTAGACTGTAGCCTTGGTGGATCTAGTTACTAATTTTGTTTTCTGAATTCCTAATAAAAACAAAGGCAAGCAAATGATAAATTGTTGTTGTGATTAGAACGAATCAATTCTTACCTCATATGATGTAAAAGAGTATATAACATGTGATAATATAAATATAGATATATGATTGTTTAGATAAAATTACTTGTTTTAGCAGCTTTTTTAGTAAAATGCTAAAAAACTGAATGTTATAGAGGACTTTATCAATGTTATGTTTCTGAATACTACGAAAATTAATTGTTAATCAAAGCGCTAAAAGCTACTTGTTGCTGAACACAACCATAATGATACTTTTTTCAAGTAAGTCCATAAGTTTTTATTTTTTTTAAACTAACAAAAAATAATTTTATTATTGAAGAGTTTTATTAATTGAATGTTCAGAAAAGGAAGGTTTTATTATTTTAGAAGTCTACTAGTATATGAAAATCACGTTATTAGCATTATAGATTACCTAGAAATTTATGCATTTGAAAATATTTTTAAAAGAATTCACATGGTTTGCTTCAAAAATCCTTTTATAATCGAGTGAATGTGACATAAACTTCATCTTATATAAAACCAATATTTGAGCTCATCTCTAAAGTTAAGCATGCATCAGCACTTGAGTTATTTAAGATATAATAATAAATAAATAAATAAATAAATTGATTTTTATAAATATTTATTTACACATATTGTATAGATCAATCCATTTTTAGATTTAAAAGAGGGTATTTTATCATTTTATTGAGAAAAAAAAAAGAACAAAATAATACCCTTAAGAATAAAATGTTGTGAGGGTTTGTTTCCAGTGTGGTGCTTAGACAGAGAAAAATACGTGTGAAGATGAAGATCTGGTGGTGGTCAATAGGCATTAAACGGTGGGGTCTACAGAAGCAGAAATGCCTGGTGAAATGGTAGACAACTTCTCCAATTATTCAAAGAATATTGGCATTTGGCAACCCGTGATAAATCTAACTTCTCTTTTTTATAATTGATAAACAAACTTCAAATCAATAATCATTCTTAGCTTCTCATAAATTCTTTTTGTAATCATTACATTAAATTAACAGTACACGATAGAGTACTGTATTAAATTTAATTTCGCACGCCAAAAAATTCGAGCGTAAATAAAAGAAAATGCATAAAAAGAAAAATATAAAAATGAATAAATAAAAAAAAAGTACATTCTGAAAATAGAAAAAAAAAAAAAACTGTTCAAAAATTTAATAAAAAGAAAAAAGAAATTGGACTATCAAAGGAGTCAAACCATAGGGTTGGGTGTAGGAAAATTTTAATGGTGTCGGTGAGGCTAAAAGTAAAGGACAGTCCGACAATGAATATGACTTTGCACGTGCGCTTTAACTGGTTCACAGTCCATTTAACAAAATGCAAGCAAATGCTGAAATGCATTATACACCAGTTTTCGAAAACTATGGCTCCATTTTCATTTGTAATTTTTTACAAGTTATTTCGTGAAAAATTATCTCTTTAAATAACATTGAAGAATTTTTTTTTTTTCAAATTTTACACACAATAATTATTTTTACAATTGTCTAAAATTATCTATGGCTCATAGAAAATTAGTAAGTATTAATTTTTTATCTCTATTAATTACTAAACACAATAGTTATTGTCCACAATTGCCTAAAATTCATTTTATCATTTTTTTTCTTTTTCTTTAAATTTCAATGACAAATTAATGAAGAAAATTATTGAGATTAAAATAATTAAATGAAATAAAAGGTAATCCAATCAAATGAAGAAATATTTTATAATTTAGGGTGATTTAGGCTCCGTTTTGTTTCCAGCAAATAATTTGCAGGATAATTTTCCGTTGTTTAGGGCGTTCAGGAAAATAAGTCAATGAAAAATATTTTTCTGATCAAAGGAAAATTAAACTATTTTTAAGGAAAACAACTTTCCATTCTCGCGAGAGTAAAACATTTTTTGAATATTAACAAACTTTATAAATCTCATATTTTTTAATTTATTAATCATTATAGTCACTACCACTAGTCACTATTTACCACCGACCACCGCCACCGACCACCGCCACCGGCCACTGGTGGCTTTCATATTTTATATTTTTTTTTGCATTATTTTCATATTTAACAATAAAAATTTTAAATTATAAAATTTCTATTATTATTAATATTTTTATGGTCTAATGATTTTTTGAATATTAACAACTTTATAAATCTCATACTTTTTTTTAATATAATTATCATTATAGTCACTATCCACTGGAGTTCACATATTTACCACCGACCAAACCGCCACCAGACCACACGCAGCCGGCCACTGGTGGCTTTCATATTTATATTTTTTTTGCAATATTTTCATAATTTTAACAAATAAAATTTAAAATTTTATAAAATTATCTATATGATCTATATTATTTATGTCTAATGAGATAAAATTTTAATATTTTAACTTAATTTTAAATATTAACGAACCAAAATATACGGAAAATAAATCATTTGAAACCAATATTTTTCGTAAGATAAAAAAGATAATTTCTTTCTATTATTATTAATATTTTTATGGTCTAATGAGATAAAAATTTTAATATTTTTAACTAATTTTTAATATTACAACCAAATAACGGAAAATAAATCATTTGAACAATATTTTTCGAAGATAAAAATAATTTCAGCAAGTTATTTTACAGAAAAAAAACGGAATATTCATTACATTGATTACCTTATAGATACTACAGAGCTGAAACAAAAATAGCCAGACGGAATATATAAATCATACTTTAATATACAGTGAGAAAACTCACCGGTGACCTCTCAAACAATGGAGAAGACTTAACAAAAAATATTTTATTTTATATAGCATATACCGTCGTGTCGAAGATTCTGTATTTTTAGATTCTACAAGGATCCAGAGTTGAATACTTCAGAGCTGAAAATTAATGCTCTCCCATCAACCAACTATACCGTTGGTTAAGAGCTACGTTCGTATTTTTGCAGCGAAGGAGATAAGAAAAGAGAGGATGGACGTTCATTTATTAAGCAACCTGTGATAACTGTAATAGTACATCATCAAAAGTCAAATGGGTTGACCAGCGACTCATATATTTCACAAAAATGAAAAAGGGTTCAGGGCTGACTTTACATTGGGTCAATTCAATAGCCCAAAGTCTACGCATATATTGACTTTCAGACACTTCATTCTTAGATCTTAGATCAACTTTTAGAAAACGTAAGAGGATCATGGACAAAATCTTACACTGAGCCCTGTGCCACATAGGGAGCTAAGCCACAGAAATACCCTATATTTTTTCTTTTGCCACATTACAGATATGAGATAATTAGTATTTTTTTTTTTTTTTTATTGATAGCAAGGCTCAATACGCTAAAATAACGATATTTATAAAAACTATGGTGGTCAAAAAGATCCGAGAAGTAAGTAGATTGGATTTAATAGGAAATTGATATTTCTAATTATAATTTATCCACAGTTGAAATTCAAGTATATTAACCAATTTTCTAATAACAAAATGTAACAGCTGATTTTCACTTGTCAGTCAATTTATGCAACAAGAAAAGCACAAATTCTCGAATGAATTTCTTGGAGACCCAAACCTTGCAAACAGATATTTTAGACATCATGTGGGAACCAGTATTATATAAAGAAGTCCCAATTAAAAAAGAAAAAAAAATTGCTTATTGCTAAATTGAGAGGGTGGAAAAGCATCAGCTTGTGTATTCCAAAAACATCCATTATTAGATTTGTCTTTCAAATGCTAAAGTTACTGTGTGAGACACTACCCAGGCCCTAGTACAATTATGTGGAGATCTTGTTAGTGGCTACAAAAGGATTTCAAAAATCTGAACCTTTGGTTATATTATGATAAGCAACTCGATGCTTCCACTTACAAGCTAGAGTTTCCGCAATCAAGGGCCTACCTTGGCAACCATATGTGAGGGTGTTTGAAGTGAGGAAGTCTTAAGTAGCAAAAGAGACTAGCCCTACGACACAGAAAGATGGAAACTGTGGCCAAACCATACAATCAATGTAGCTTGCCAGCCAATCTAGAGTTTCTTCTTGAAATAATTTCAGCTGCCCAACTTTTTCCTATTTCAGTCTGAAATTTTCCTACAAAAGAAGAGTTGTAAAATAAGAGCAAGTAGGTATTATTGATCAAGTAAGATTAAAGAGTCAGTTTCAGCTATACTCTGCTGGGATGAACAAATGTAGATCTTACCTGCCGTTGAATGGAAAAACTCATCCAAAACCTTTCCATGTTCTGCAAAAACAAGAAGATAAATGAGAAGGAGAACATAGCTCCCGTGCATAATAAGTAGGTAACTGCTTATAAATCTTACCCATTTCATATTCCAATGCTTGCAAAATCATCTCAACCTAAACACAAGACAGTAAAAATCTTACTAGGGATACAATGCAGTAAAGGATACACACAAAAAAAAAAAAAAAATTAAAATGCAGAAACAAAACAAGACACTTCATATCATGTGGTGCTGCATGCATCAAAAGTGAAGGGAACAGCAGATGCAGGGATTCAGAAACTCAACTCTGTGTAGGTTATATAAACACCCCAAACAGGATGGTCTTAATGTTAATCATGGAAAATCTTGGGTGAAACTGGGCCGTCAACACTTCCAAGTGTATACAGAAATCATGATAAACAAAAGCATTTAGCTTCAAGCCTATCCTATATCAACAGAAATTTTACTGCACATAACAATAGCAAGAACGCCTACTGGTAAATATTATTTAAACCACACACATTTTTCTAGCACAATTTGAGATTTTCCACTTGAATGGCATTTGTACATACTTTGTCAAAATCTTTCACAAGGTTGGCCTCTAAGGAAGCATTGTTTTCATACTCTGCCCATAGTTCTTTGATCTCTTCAGCTACAATTTGAAAATAGTAGGTAACACAGAATTCAAATATAAAACTGTCAGCAATTTAAGATCTGCCGAGATAACAAGGATTAGTAAGTACCCCTCATTCCTCCACCAAGAAGTTCACACATTTCATTTAAAGCTGCTTGCTCGCGTCTACTTTTTTCTTTTTTAGGCACACCATCAGATGGTGTTATGTCTCCAACAATAGCTATCAAAGTTCAAAACCCAACAAAATGTCAGCATATCAAGGGAAAAAACAAGTAGAAATGTACAAGGGAAAAGAAAAAAGAAAAGACAAAAGTTGATTTGGAATTATCAATCTATTATGGTTTTGCTGTTGGGTGTACCCCCTAACCCCTCCATCCCACAACCAAGTTTCCCTTTCGTTATTAAAATATATAAATAAAACAAATTTCTGTAGTAACAGGACATTCATAAACCTGTAGAATCTACATGCCCTTGCTTTCTGAAAAATTTATGTTTATGCTTGGATATGCAGTGTGGTGCTTGTAACATCGTTTGCTTCGACTTTCTCCCTCTATTTAACACCTTTTAGGCCTGACCCAGCAGTTTGCCGCCAATTACAAGCAAAAGAACCACCTTGTACTTGCTCATAAACCAAATATGCCACAGTTGAGTTTTCCAATATTTAGTCTTCTTTTACAATCTGGTAAAAGATATATTTCTGGTGCAGTAGTCAAAATGGTTCAAGTAGAAATTAGAGCTGTATGCTTTAAAAAGGCAACTTTAACTTGTCACTGCGGATTCAGAGCAAAATTTAGCTACACGATTAAGACTTTTCTCCACCCATGTACCTATAACTGTATCTATTTCATCTTCCTAAATTACAAACTAATATGAATAACATACTAGGTTAATCATATTAGGACTTAAGGAACTACAAGAAATCAAAATAATACCTTCCGCAATGTCATGCACAATTGCAATCTTTATACACCTGTTCCAATGAGGACAAAGGTATTCAATGAGCAACTGCCATAAAAAGGATGAAATTTTTGCTTTTGTCATTTGCCAGTACTGAATGAAAAACACTATTTCAGGAGTAACAATTAATTCATCACATCCAGGAGCATCCAAGTGAAATTAGGAAGTTCTTTTATTTTGCCTTCTTTATTTAGGATTACTATAAATTATGTTAATTGATTAGAAAGTTTTTCAGTCTTTCTTCATTATCTTTATCTAGGATTCTTATACAGTAAGTTAATTAACTAACTAGAAATAGTTTTTTATCTAGAATTAGTTTTGTATAGTATTTTTCTCTTCCAATTCAAAATTGTAAATCTAATGTTTCCTTTAAAAACAAATTATTTTATATTGTTCCAATCACCATCACCCTATTCTAGCCCTAGTTATTGAGAAATAATTGCCTTAAAACTCTTCTGTTTTGTCAAGTGGTATCAAAGTGCAAAAGATTGAAAATTAATGTAGGATGTTTTCTTTTCTATTTCTAAACTATGGTTGGTCGAGGCGCCAACAAATACATTTGCTGAGATGCCGAGAATAATTGAGGATCTGACCAGGTTGTACAAGCCTTGTAGCGTCAGGGATCTGTGAAAGCACAAATTGATATGCCGGAAGATGCATAATCTCTTTAAGTTTCCAGAAGGAGGTTTTGACTATGTATAAGAATACATAAAGGAGTATATAAACGATTCATGAAAAATCCAAATGCAGTAGATTAGAAGAGTGATTGGTGATTTACTATTTAAATTCCTGATTTTTATGAATATGCCACTACTAAAGTAGATCAGAAAAGTAGCAATGGAAAGAACAACATAGATGGATGTTAATGATCCTAAAGAGAGTGAAAAGAAGAAAGAAGTTTTAGTTTTAATGCTCACAACAGCGAAGAAATAAAGAAAAATTGTTATTCTTCAAAAAAGCATTTGCTTGTTGATATTAATAGCATTGAATTGCCAAAAACATCCCTACACTAAAAGATGCTCATCATGCAATTAATTTCATTCTAAATGAAACTTTAGCAAACCAACCAAATTGGCCGATGCAAGTAGCCCATGAGGTTCCATAACATATCCAAGTAACATACCTAATTAGTAGAAGGCTAGTGCAAATAAGTAAAAGTCATTGTTTTGAACCAACTTTGCTCGTTTGAAAAAAGGATGGCTTATTTGAATGGCTATTGGTGTTTGCTCTCGCAAAAGCTTTAAGCACGTGGTATTTTGAATAAGAGTTTAGATGAATTGATCCTATTCTTATGATTTATGCATAGTGCTATCAAAATCTTACAATTCACGATCTGAATCGTATGATCTGATTCAATTTTCTTGCTGAACAATTTGAATCTTATGAGTGGATCGAAATTGAGCACGAATCTTACAATTCATGTGATTCAAATCTTATAATTTGAGTTGAATCTCATGCCCAACAATTCTTATAACCGATAAGACAAGTAGAAAAGTCAATGTAGAGGAAAAAGAGCAAGGGATATAGTTGTACTAGAAGATGAAAATGATTAATGGATTGAATTTGAAAATGATAATCAACAAATATGGATTTGGATAGGAAATTTAATGGCTTGATAATTTTACTTTGTTTTTGGTTTAAAATTTTAACATAACTAGTCACATAGCCAAGCGTTGCTTTGATATTTAATTTTTTTTTATTATTTGAAAAAATATTAATGACAATTTTCTGGAAAAATTGAAAATATTAATAATGTAATTATTTTATTTACTAATTTAAAATTATATTATTAATATTATTAATTAAATTATTTATGATAAAAAACCCTAAAACACTTTGAAAGAATATTAATGATATTATTAATTTTATTAATTATTAAAGAACTGAAATATATTCTAATATCGCAAACGATGTTAATTCCAGCTTCATCAATGTCTAAAGAAAATTGAATTACAAAACAATCAAAAAATTAAAAAAATGAAATGAAAAGGCAAAATGATACGGATAAAAAGAAGTAATTTCTTCTAAAATGGAAAAACTTGAAAAATAATTAGTGATATTATTAATTTCATTATAATTCATATATAGATATTAGTTATATTATAATTTTAATTATTACATTGAATAATATTAATGATATTATTAATTTCATTAATTATTAAAAGAAACTGAAACGTTTTATCACATACTAAAAAAAGAAGTTAAAATATTTTCAAAATATTGATGACATAATTTATTTTATTAACTATTAAAAAACTAAAAAAATATTATTAATATGATTAATAATAATAAAGTCACTGCATCAATAATAATATTAATGATATTATCAATAATTTATTATGCAAACCAATGTTTTAGAATTGCGTCGTCTCAACAAATTCTTCAAATTTTATTTATTTATGTAGATAGATAGCGAGTTCAATATTTTGAACTTGACAACTACATAAATCATTAGATTCTCTTCCATTCTGTGTTTAGTATATGATTTGGAATTGAAATTTACATAAATATATTATTTGCAATAAAATTTCTAGTATCTTTTGATAAAAATTAATAAGAAATATATTCCTAAATGCATATATATTTATTTTTAATTAATTTTTGAAAAGTTATATTGAATTATACTATTCGACTTGATTCTCAATTCTAAAAAAAAGATTTTTGATTCTCGATTTGACAACTATGCTTATATATATAAACTTCTCTCATTGGAGCCTAGTTATTTTTTGACCTGAGGAGGATGCAGAACAATCCGAGTTAAATTACAAAGTTTAGTTTTCGTTCTTTATTTAGTATTCCTGTATATTATATTAATTAATTAGGAAGTTTTCAGTTTTTCTTTATATTATCTTTTTGATAAAAATTTAATTAAGAATAACTGGTTATTCCTAAATGGTCATACATATATTCTTAATTTTTAATTATTTTTGAAAAGTTATATTGAAGTTATACCTATTCGATGCTTTGATTCTCAATTTTCTAAAAAAAAGATTTTTGATTCTCGATTTGACCAACTTATGGCCTTAATATATATATTATAACTTTCTGTAATAGAAAAAGATAGAATTTGTTTGAACCTGAGGGAGGATGTACAGAACAGAATCCGAGTATAAAGGTTTTACAAAGGTTAGGTTTTCGTTCTATTTAGTATGTCCTGTATATGTTATTATTATTTAATTGTAATTAGGAGTTTTCAGTTTTTATTTATATATATATAAATATAAAATATAATATATAATATTTAGGATTCCCAATAAATTATGTTAATTAGTTTAGGAAGTTTTTCGGTTTTCCCTTCTTTATCTTTTCTTTAGGATTAATTAACGAAGTAAGTTAATTAACTAATTAGGCAATTTTCAAATCTAAGAATAGGACTTGTCCTACACTTATTAATAAATAGGACAACAATAAGGTCCAAGTTTTTTTGTGCTTGCATTTTATTCTTTCAATTATATATTTAGGATTCCAATAAATTATGTTAATTAGTTAGGAAGTTTTTCGGTTTTCCTTCTTTATCTTTCTTTAGGATTCTTACGAAGTAAGTTAATTAACTAATTAGGAAATTTTTCAATCTAGAATAAGGACTTGTCCTAACTATTATAAATAGGACAACAATAGTCAGTTTTTGTGCTGCATTTTTTCTTTCATTTTTTCTTTCAAAACTTCAGAATTTTAATTCTAAAGTTTTCTTTAAACCAATTATTTTATATTGTTCCAATCATAACACCCAATTCTATTCCTATTGTTGAGAACTAATTACCCTAAACTTTTTTGCTACACACATGTCTACACATTTCAAAAGTAAACTATTATTATTATTATTATTTTTTAGTATTAAAGGAGGAATTATAATTTGGATCTATTGCCAGTTCGTATATGCACTTACCACTAGGCTATGCCTTGGTGTGCTCAATAGTAAACTAAATTAAATAGCTTCTAACATGCAAAAAAGCCAGTTAATAAATCCAAAGATCACAAATATTTAATATGTGTAGCATTTAGCTAGCTGATAAACTAAGAGATCAATAACTTCTCTAAACTAATACATAACTGGATCCCATAAGATCAATACATGTGCCAAATGCATAATTAGTGCCTTGTATGTCAGTCATAATTAACACTGCCAATTTAATTTTTATATAATAAACGGATATAATAGGGAAATTTAGATGCCTATAATGGAAGTCACAAAAATGATTAAAAGAATAGACATTGACATGACATGACAAAGTCTGACCTTTCTCGGTTCACACCAGGAAGATCGCCCGCAATGAGAGCCATCAATGCCATGCGGTACATATGGTCAGCAATTGATTCAGGACCCTTTATCCCATGGTTGATCCATCCCTTCCGTTTTGTTGTCTTTACAAGAGAGGAAAGACGGATAGAGGTTAGAAATCCTTTTTTACTTCCAAATGTTATTTCACTAAAAATGAATTTAGGCCTATATACATTTCACACAAAGCTTATTGTAGATCATATAAATAACAAAAATTATACATCTAGGCAGTTATTGTAACATTCCATTTCATGAACAGAACAACCATTATACTCAGTGGTATAAACAGAGAGAAATCATCCTGTCTGGTTACTGCTAGGAATTGGGGATGTAAAATGTGGAGCTGGAGAATCATTCCCCATTCCCCTACCTTATTCCTAATGGTTAGTCCCCATGTGGAAATAAAAATAGGTATTGAAAGCATGTCTTTCCAATTCCCATTATCTAAAATACCTTCTTATACAATTAAAAGGGAACCGAAATCCACTTTTTTATCATTAATAAAAATGAAATGAAACCAAAAAACAAAAGCAACTGTTTTGAATTCCAGCATATCCAAAGAAGGGTTTGAAGGCTTGTATTATTTTCTAATGCAATCAAAACCAATCCAACAATAAACTTATCTGTGCATGCATTAATCAGAAGACAATATCATCAAATTTCTTTGGTTACACCAAAAGTTATATAGACTTTGGTAGACCCAATTTCATATACTACTGAGAGATTATTATTCGGAAAAAAAAAAAAAAAAACAAAGTGCATCTTTCTATTCTAGGCAAAGTGATCACACATAAATGTTCATTTTGCCAAAATTCAATCTCTTTGTTGGGCAACTAAGAAAGAATAGAAAAGCATTGTGGTTCTTTACCTTCAATTGATGGCACAATGTGAGGAAATCAATCGCGGATGATGAAGACGCACCAGATGATCCAATTAGAGCTTCAGATTCCACCATGGATTTCATGTGCCCAAACCCATCCGAACTAGGCATTTGGGAACGAACCGAGACGATTCTAGGATACGAAGCTTCGTTTAAGGAAGTGAGTAGCGATGACGCCCGATTGAAGGCGGCAAGAGGTGGCGACCGAGGAGCTAGAGACCGACCCAGTGGAGGCGTACAGTGAGTCGATGGATTAACCGCCATTGTTGTTGTTGAGATCGAAGGAAAAAGAAAAGAAAATGCTCGTGGGCTTTTGTGGACGGAGACAGAGAAAGAAAAAGGCATGCGTTTTTCGGTTTTGTTTTCTACTTTTTTTTTTATAATTTAGTGGTCTGCGTTGACACGAAACGAATTCAGGAAGTCCGATTTTTGCTGATCTGTCTCTAAAGACCGAGATTCTGCAGCTTCGGGTCTGTAAACACGGCAATATGTCTCTCACGCAGCACGTTCGCGCGTGCAACTTACAAACAGTCACGTTTTTCTTTTCTTCGGACTCAAATTGGCTAAAAATTTGTTTCCAATATACAATTTACCTAAAAATTTAACTTGCAAACCGAATTAGTAATACTATTTCTGACAATTTTTTTCTGTTCTACTCAACTTTCTGTTAAATTTCACAGTTTTTAATTTTTTTATTTAAATAATACTTTTATTTATAAAATTAAAGATAGTATTAATTATTTTATTTCAATTTATCTATGGTTGGATATCTAATAAATTTTAACAATATAAAGGTGATTATTGAATTCCATAACCATCATAATCTAAACTACAAGCTCTTAATATAAAAAACAAATGTTAACTAACATCATGAGAGGATCTACAATCCATATGGGTTTTATAAAATTAAGTCAAAAAATATGGAACTAAATTAAAAAAAAATTGAAATCATTAGCAAATAAATAAAATACGTACTAGGTAAATTTAAATTCCAACAATTATATTGAAGAGCTGAAAAAACGCCGTGGAAGTATGAAACATATGTATTGTATATTGAAATAGAATTGCTTCACCCATTCAGGGGAAAGAATTATAGTTTATGAACTAAATGTGCACATTCATGAGTGACTGAGAAATTTTAACACGTGTTTATTGCTTAACTAGAAGCATTTATGCACCAAAATCATCGAATGATTTGTGTGCTTCAATAGAAAAATGATTTGGTCATTTGAGTATTTTTTATTGAAACCATATGAAATTTATTTCATATGATAGAAAGTACTTTTTATTTCAACCATTATTTCATATGATAGAAAAAGGAATTGGAGAGTGATTTTTGTAATAATGAATAATTGAATATATACACAAGAAATTTAATAAATATATTTTTCAGATACATGTAAATAGTTAGAAGAACAATAAATGACAATGTGTGTTTTAAATATATATTGAATTCAAGTCTTTTAGTCTATTTTTATTTATTCGCTTGGTTTATTATACCCTCAAATATGTTTGAATTAATTACTATGTTGATGTAAGGAATTATTCTTTTCAAAAGAAAAAGGTTCAAAAAATAAAATAAAAATAAAAATTATCATTAATTAACAAATAAATAAACAATTGCTTCAAAAACTAACCCCACAAAGAAACCGAGGCATTATTGAATTCCTGGAACCAAATTTTTTTTTTTTTTTTTTTTTTTTTTTTTTTTTTTTTGAAGAAGAAGAAGAAAGAAAGATTCATATTATTAAGCCAAAACCTACGGGTAGTTGGTCCCACTATATCAGGACAAAAGGATTTTTTTTTTTTTTTTTTTTTTTTGAAGAAGAAGAAGAAAGAAAGATTCATATTATTAAGCCAAAACACTACGTGGGTAAGTTGTCCCACTAATATCAGACAAAAGGAGAGTAGAAAACCCACTAGGAAGCTGAGAACCAAACCTTGCAAGCCAGTCAGCACATTTGTTACCTTCTTTATAAATATAGATAGAAACTTGCCACTCCCTCTGTAAAATATTGTGGATACGAGACATCATTTCAGAGTAAGCCAAAGGCACAGCACAAGCCTTAATTATAAACTTGAAAACCACCTGACTATCAACCTCACATAACACCGCTCGGAAACCCTTTAGACCACGCTAACTCCAGCCCAAGCAACAAGCCCCACAACTCAGACATACCCACCGAGTAAACACTTATATTTGCTGCAAATCCACTCAACCAAGAGTCCTTATGATCCCTTATCAGAGTCCCTGCAGCTGCCAAGCCCGACTGTGCCATATAAGAGCCATCAGTATTAATCTTAACCTGCCCATACACAGGAAAGGACCAGCCCACCCATAAATCCTTACGAATAGCAGACTGATGAGGAACTTCCTGTAGATTTGAATTATGAACCTGCTTAGCAAAGGCCAATATGCTGTTTATTTGGTGCAAAGACCAATTTCCATCAGGCCCTTTAAGCATAGCAACTTTGTTTTGCCTCCGCCGCTGCATAGTGATGGTGTGAAAAAATTTTATATTTCTATCACAACATGAAAGCCACTTACTTCTTGATTTCTGATGCCAGTACATCTCCTCCTCATCCAGAATATTTTCATATTTAGTATGCAACTCTTGCTCCAGATCAACAAGGGCATCATAAGGAAAACACTCGATAGCCCTTTGAACCCCATCCAACCTCGCTAGGTTCTCCGTTTACGAGTCACCACACTACCACCTGAATCCTTGTACAAATGCTCAATATCAGTTGCCATAGTAGATAATGCACCTTCCACATTATCCTCTGCCTTCCAGTTAGCAGCTCGAAATTGCGAAAAACCATCTCTATCTTGCCAGGCATTTAGAAATTTGAACTCCCGACGCACCCTACAGCCATTGGTCCCCAAAGAGCTCGATAAAAGAATAGGTCTATGATCAGACTTTATTCTAGGCAAATGAGAGACAGATGAGTCACCAAAAATATTAGACCAATCCTCATTACGGATGACCCTGTCCAGCCGCTCAAACAACAAATCCTGACGCCAAGTAAATTTCGGACCAGAAAAACCCAAGTCTATAAGGGGAGCTTTGTCAAACCAGGCACGAAACGGATTATTCCGCCCCCACTAGGCACCCTTCTTTTCTTCTCATCAGCGTATAAAATAGCATTAAAATCACCCCCAAGGCACCAAGGGCCCGAGAGGGATTGCTGAATCTTATCTAATTCATACCACAAGCAAGATTGTTAAGCATGCAAAGGACTCCCATATACCGCAGTAAGAAAAAAAGGCAAAGAATCCTGCCTGAAGATGATTGCGCAAAACTCTCACCTTCCACCCATCTTTCCAAAGAACCCATATGCCACCAACAAACCCCTGTGCTTCCACACGATGCGAATTAGGAAACCCCAAACGTGCAATAGTTTGGTCTGGCCTTAAACCACTGATCTTAGTCTCAACAAGAACAACCAAATTAGCACGATGCATAACTACCCAATCTCCAAGAACCTGAAAAAACTTCGAGCTAGCTGCACCTTGGCAGGTCCAGAAGAGAGCTCTGAGCATCATGGGAGACATAAGAAATTAGACCTTCTCCACAGAGTCAAAGCCATCACCCTGACAATCCTCATAGTTCTCAATTTGATCTGACTCAACAGCATCGACAGGAAGAACTTCCTCAAACCCCTCGGAAACTGAGACAATCTGATCAAGTTTCGATGCGATGCTTTTAAGAGCGTCCTCGACAGGCAAGAAATCAGCAAGCGTAGGCAGGGGAGGTTGCTGTTTGCGCTTGAAATTGCTTTGGTGTTTACGGATTCTCGTGTCCAGGGGCTTCTTTGCGTTGGCTGAGCTAGCCATTCTCTCCGTCATAGTGGTGATTAAAGGAATATCAGGGGTATCAGGGATACCATCAGAGACAACCGATGGAGGTACAATAGCCAATACAGTGTGGTTACCAGCCAGAGAAGTTTGGACTCGCTGAAGCCCAACCCCAGCACTCTTAGGCATATTCTGCAGGCTCAATGGTGTTTTTGGAACTTCTTTAGAATCACTAAAAGCAGTCTCAGAGGGACCAGACTGTCCAACATCCTGTATTAAAATTGGCCCATTCGATGTGGAGGTCTGGGGCGAAAGGGAGACAGGCCGACAAGAACTTGGGCCCACAACCTCTAGCCCATTAGCATGCTTAGGACCTTTAGGGCCCCCTTTTGAAGCAAAACCTTCAAATCTAGACTCTCCCGCCAAAGGAGTCGACTTCATAACTTCCTGCTGGTCCTCTAGCACAATATCTTCCGTAGAGTTCTCCTTTGCCATATCTGATAAAATCTCAAAACGGGATCACGAGATTCCAGCAGCGTGTTGGGATCTTTTAGGACCACCAAAGCGATCCCCTACCTTATTTGGACCTCCCCGCTGCCGTCTCCCTGGCGCAACCATCCAATCGCCAAACCGTTCTTCCTCTGGTTGATTCTGCATGGTCCTAGACCCTGAGCCAAAAATGTACATGAGCAGGAACTGGAGGATCCACAATGTCCTCAATTCTAGTTCCATCAAGACCTTTTGGGCAAGTTTCCCTGGTATGGCCAAAACAACCACAACGAAAGCAAATCTCTTGCAGACCTTCATACTCAATCTTCTGCATGTGGTCATCAATTAAAAGCTTAGCCAATAATTGCTTTTCAATGTTAACCTCCACCGCTACTCTAGTAAACTTACCCCTGCTAATATCCTCAGTATTATAATGTATTTTGACAGTCTTGCCAATTAGATTACCTATAATTCTCAACAACTTCTTATTATAGAATTGAAGAGGCATGTCCGGAAAACGGACCCACACCACCACCGAAGAGAGGCCCTCATCTCAGGAACGAAATTGCGAACTCCATGGCTGAACGATAAGATAATGGCCAAAATTAACCACGGTCCCTGTAGAAGAACCTTTGCAAAATCATTACGGTTGAAAAACTTGACCAAAAAATAGCCATTAGCCAAGTCTATAACCTTATAGTCTCCAACCGGTTTCCAAGAGCCTGCAACTTAGAACACAATCCTTTATACCCTATCGATCTGCCAAGCAGACGCACTACCACTGAATCCAGCCAAGGTTTGTTAAGTTTCTGTTTCAAGTCCTGGGAAAGTGTAATGACAGGGAAAGGTCCAGTTGAATCCACCAAAATATCGTTAGGAAGGATCTCAAAACCATTGTCATTGCTACGCACTACAGGCTCATCTAAATGCTCTTCAGATTGCTCCTCCCTTATGCTCATGTTATCCCCATCTGAGTTAACTTCCTCATCACTTACATCCGCATCACTCATAACAGCATCATTCCTACGCAACAACACATCTCTAAATGAAGATCCAGTCACCCTACAAGCTGAGGATCATTGTTTTTCACTTTTTTAGTCAGTAAATCATCTGGCATGTCCGTAGGAGGCTCCATCTGGGAACCAGAAATTATTCAGATATGCCTCTTTTGAAGGACCTTACTGGTTAGAAGGACCTCAGTGGTTTGAGCAATAACAATATTATACGTGTTTTTATCTTCTAACAATCGAGGAAGCAAAGGTTTTCGGATCCATGGACGTAGACGTGCTTCAAGGTCCATTTTATCTAAGCGACTCGATAATCGAATTCTACTTTACACATTTACCTTATCAGTCTGCAACTCCGGCGATATTCTTCTGGTTTCGCTGACTGTTTCATTCTGGTTGGCAAATTGCAAAGATTACAAAACCAGGAAAGATTTCCTTCAACCTCTAAACCTAATTTTAAAAAATCTGATTATTTTCTCCGTTAATAACAGTGACGTTGACGAAGGCGATGGCCGCACTCACTGGAGTTTACTTGTGACAGTATGCGAAGGCATAACAGTTTTTATGCCTTTGTCCTCTATAAGATCGTGCATGTTTAACTACTCAATCTAATGACAGCTAGCTATTTGAAATGGGCATGTAATCTCTTACTTCAATACTCTTTCTTCTCCAATAACCACCTTGACATGCCAGAAATTCTCCAAGAATTCATGAGCCTTTGCTACTATGACGATAAGAAAGAGAACTGTAATAATGAGTTGTCCATCTTTGAAAGATTGAAAATGGAGAAGAAATTAGAGAATCGAGATGCAACCATGTCTTCCATAGAAAAATATATCCAACTAAAACGTAAAAAAAAAAAAAAAATAAATAAGGGTACGTTACAAATAAATTCGAAAATTTGAAAGTGGTATATCTCTATTTACATAAATGATTTTTTTTTTAAAAAAAAATATATCCAATTAAAACATAGAAAAATAAAGAAAATAAAGAAATTTATATAATAAATATGGGTATTTTACAGATAAATTCAAAAATTTGAAAGTGGTATAGAAAATAATTTTTCAAAAAAATATCCAATTAAAACATAAAAGGGTAAAGGAAAAAAAAAATTATATAAATAAATATGTTTATTTTACAAATAAGGAAACATTCAAAAATTTTGAAAGTGGTATATATATCTATTTAGAGAAATTTTTTAAAAAACATATATCCAATTAAAACATAGAAAAAAAAGGAAAGAAAAAGTTCAAAAATATCTAAATAAAATGCTGAAAAAGGAATTAGTCATTGTTTGGATTTTAATATTTGTACTTTGAGCTAAATATTTCACCATTAACCTAGTATAGTAACCTATTCTCATGAATGATTTGTGGACATGACTTCCCCAATTTCTATGACCTTAATTTGGTTTTGCAGTTCACATTGAGATCACAAGAACAGATCTTGCACATCGAAATCAGACATGGTCAAAGCTAAAATTATATATATGCCATTGATTTCCTTTCTGAAATGTGAAACTCTATCAATTATTGATTAAAATTGCTACCCATTACACTCATTACTTAGACTTTATAAGTTTTCTACATTGAGAATATTAACATGTGAGTTTTTTTCCTCTTCCATATAAATTCTTGTTCTTCTTTCTTCATTGATGTCCTTTGTCCTTTGTCCTTTGTCTAGGATTTCAGACACTCTCTCTTTCAATTGTCTCTTTCGTTTTTTGTTCTTGTGGTTATAACTTCTTCTCCTCCTTTTGTTTTTTTCCTTAATAATTGTCTCTTTCGTTTTTTGTTCTTGTGGTTATAAATTGTCTCTTTCGTTTTTTGTTCTTGTGGTTATAACTTCTTCTCCTCCTTTTGTTTTTTTCCTTAATAATTGTCTCTTTCGTTTTTTGTTCTTGTGGTTATAACTTCTTCTTCTCCTTTTGTTTTTTTCCTTGACAATGCAGCCAAGTGGTATGATAGGTCAGTTTTAAGTCACGTTTTAAACATATTTAACGAGGTGATCCGAGTCGAGACCGGAAGATTCAACAATTTAAGTGTCTGTTAATATGACAAGATTAGTGAAATTGATTGCTGCTGTCAAATCTAGACTTAAAATCTTTAAATCCAAGAATTTATATAACAAAATTGAAAAGACTGAGAGCTCAAGAATGGATATGAAGCACCACAAAGCTCAGAAGTTGATAGCTAAAACTTTGAGGAAAGCTGATAGTGTTAGAAAGAACAAGTGATATAGATATATATATATATATATACTATATATATATATCACGTCATTATTTCTTGCGTCATTATTTCTTTTTATATGTAAAAAAAATTGTTAGTAAATCTAATTAAGAACTGAGAGTTCAATACTTCTTGTCATGTAAGAAATTATATATATATATATATTAGTAATTCAATTTTGAGAATTGTGTTAATTATTTTTATTTCGAAAAAAAGAATTATGTTAATTAGTTGAAGACTATAATATATTCTTTGTGCCCATATCTAATTAATAACCAATTTTTAAGAAATTTAATGATTGATATATAATATTACTTTTATATATTTTATACCAAAATGTTAGCCTCAACTATTTATTATCTTTTTATCATTTTAAATAATGAAAATTGCATTTGCCCTTATAAATTTGTTCCTAAATTTTAAAATTTTATCCGGAATTAATGGTTTGGTCCATTTTATAAAGCAATGTACTTTTGCTCACAGCATCTCGGAATCAAAATGCAAAGGACTCCCTATGAATACCCGCACCCATCCGCTTGGCTAACTTAATTATTCCTTTCTCCTCTTCTCTTCTCTTCTCTGCTCATTCTCTAATCTTTACTTCCATTGATTAAGCAATTATAAGATCATGTGTAACTACTTGGTCTTGATAGCTAGCTATTTGAAATGGGCATGGAATTTCCTTCACTGCTCTTTCTTCTCCAATAACCGCCTTGACATTCCTGAAATTCTCCAAGAATTAAACCTTAGCTACTATGAGAACAAGGAAGATAACCCTAAAGAATGTGCTGTCTGTCTTTCCAAGATTCAAAATGGAGAAGAAATTAGAGAATTGAGGTGCAGCCATGTCTTCCATAGAGTATGCCTCGATAGATGGCTTGGTTACAAATCAACCACATGTCCTCTTTGCCGCGATTTGATAGGTCCACGCAAAACTTTAGCTGATGCAGCTGGAATTGAAGTTTTAGTGTTCAAGTATTGTTCTTTCAATTCCAGAAGTGACGGTGAGACTTGGTGGCTCAGATGAATTAATATATATGTATATAAAAAATAAAAGATGTTGGGTTTGAGTTTTTTCAACTGATTTTCACCGATTTAGTGAGTCAAGTAGTACTATTCCCTATTGTGGGGTTGATCGCTAAAAAACCTCAAACTTTGCATGTAGTTTTAATTGTATTATAAAATCCAACGCTCTTCTTCTAATATCTTGAATTTCATTTTTAATTACAATACACTATAGTTTCAAATTATACTTAATTTAATGAATAAATATTATTTTCAATTAATATTTTATTGAAAATAAAATTAGATACAATTTTATTTTAATCATATATAAAATAATATTTTATTATTAAAGTTGAAATTTATGGTATGAGGAGAAGAAAATTAAATTTAAAGTACAATCAAAACTACTCGCAAAGTTTATAATTTTTTTTAATGATTTAGCCCCTGTTATATAGCCGAAAATGTTATTTTAATCGATTCAACCTCCTTATAAAAAAAATTATATATCAATTTGCTAATTGAAGTCTTGTGGCGATGTTAAATCACCAAATAATGAAGATGAAAATGTAAATCATATTCCTTGTAATGTAAAAATTTTGTAATTATAATCTTCAAGAAATGTTAAATCACCAAATAGTGAGTTTGAAAATATGAATGATTTTCTAATTAGAGTTTCATCTATATCAATAAAAATATAAATCAATCAATTCAAATAGGTTAAAGTCTCATTCGTCCACTTACGTTTATGTCACTACTCAAACAATAACATCCATTCAATTAAGCTACCTTTCAACATTCTTTTTTCAGAACTGGATAACTTCATCAAATAATAATAATAATAATAATAATAATAATAATATATAAAATTAATTTATAATCCAATCCTAGTGAAGAAATAGAATGTTCTGTTTTTCTATGCAACATTTCAGAAGAGTTTACAGAGTGAAGGTGTAGGCCATAGATTTCAGAAAGCTTGCTTAGACAAACGGGTTGGTCATGCTGACAGGTATAATTGGTTGTTGAGATAAAATTATTAGTCAATAGTTATTATGATAATCATTATTGTCTATATTATTATAATCGTAATTTACCATATATTAAAACTTAATTTTTAAATTCAAAGATATGAATTAAGATACATAAAAACCAAAGTAAAAAAAAATTATAAAATTTATCAATTTTCGAAAAATATTTTCCTCTCTTTATGAAAAGTCATTTTTAAAAAAAAAAAAAAAATTAATTTTCCTTTCACCAGAAAAATATATTCTATTAACTGATTTTCTTAAGCACTTCAAATATCGGAAAATGTAGAAAATATTTTTGGGGCAAGTTGTTTTAGAACCTTAAAAGGGCCAAAAAAAAAAAAGGAAGTTCTTCATCGAACTAGCAAGTAACATATGCACAGTAACCAAAATTTCTATAACAGGATACAATGTCGCTTTACAAAACCAACTCAGTAGTTTCTATGATCAATCAATCAAATAACCTTTGCCATCACCTGCTCCACTCTACCCCACTAATATTCTGGAAAAATATTTTAAAAATAATGAATCAGAGCACAGAATACGACCCAACAATCAGATTCGCAGGTCCACGCACAATAAACACTTCAATGCTCTAGAACTGTTCGAATGGCATCTCGCTGTGCCTGTGTTAAACCCTGCAATTCAAAACTTTTAAGTACAATACTACTTCGAAAATTTTTTTGCAGATATCATAAACTGATTTTTAGGAGAATGCAAGTTGACCTGGCAAAGATGATCAAATAGCCCTTTGTCGCTAGAAGAGAACTTAGCAAGGAACTCAGCAAGATAGCTCGCCAAATTAATCTGTCAATTCATATATCTAGCGATTAACATAGGATAAAATACAAATATGGAATGTACATAAATTGTGCTAAAAACGCACCTCATTCAGTGGATCAGCAACATGCAATAGGTCATCATCATCCCCATCTTCTTGATTCTTCATATCCATGTCAAGAGTTTGTTAGTGTTGTCAGACACAAGAAAAAAAAAAAAAAAAAAGGGGTCCATGTCAAGAGTTTGTTATGTGTCAAGACACAAGAAAAAAAAAAAAAAAAAAAAAGGGAAAAAAAAAAAAAAAAAAAGGGGCAGTGCATTTGCAGGGAAAGGAAAGAAGAAAATTTTGAGTTGACCAACCTCACTAAAAGCTTTTGCCATTGCTTCAAGTTGATCATACGTGGTTCGACTAAATGATGAACCAGCAGCCGAGTAAAGCAAATCATCTCCAGGTTCCGCTTCTCCTTCCTGAATTTCTTCCCAGTCACTCTCCTGCCACAATAGTTGGTTCAAAGATAAACCCAATTCTTATGGCTAAGTTGTGCGAAATGAACCTGAAAAAGTAATCTGACCTACCTCATCACCACCACCTGGTACTTGCACTTGCTCTTGGATTTCTATCAACACGTCAGCCAACAAAGCCAGTATCTGAACAACAAAAGGGAAAAGAAAAGGCTTTTGTGATTTTTCATATTTGTTATCTGATATTAACCAGGACAAGAAATCTATGATTTCTGTTTGGAAAGAAGAAAATCTTAGGGAATGAATAATCATTCACGTGAAAACTTGTATATTACAACAGGAAGCAACACCCATGGTTACAACATATGGCAATCTACAAAATAAAGAAAATTACTCACTGTTTCTATATCCAAAAATTTTTGCCCATGGAACTTCTCCCAGGAGATTGCTCATCTAGTTCAATGAGTAAGGCCTTGATTGTATAGGGTAAGCAAGATTTAGTAAAGTAAGATGAGGTATGTAATGTAAGGTAATGATCTTTTTATATTTGGGAAGAAGGTAAGTTATATGAAGGTTAATAACCTTGTGTTATTTTGTTTGAGGGTATCCAAAGGTAAAGGTTAAATATGAATATTTCAAAAATATTTTTCTCACGATAGTTATTTTTTTAAAATATAAATCGATTAAAAAATTTTTTTAATGAAATATTAATTTATGGATATTAAATTAGTTCTTCCAAAACTATGAAGAAAGGAGGCAGAAGGAAAAAAAAAAATATTAAAAACAAAATTGAAAGGGGAATTTGGGATTTAAAAAAAAAATATATGGATAATAAAAGAAACTAAAATGTTTCTCTCCCCAACCCCCTAATTTGGTGGGTAGAAAATGGAAGGTTTTGGGGGTTTTCAACCTCTCAAATAACCATTAAAAAAGATCTTTCCCTCCCTCAAATTGTCTTCCCAAAAAAATCCAAAACTTAACCTTACCCTCAAAAACCCCCACAACCTAAACAAGCTGTAAAGCATTTGCTAGGCAATTTGGCTTAAAAAAACATATCATGTATCAAACTTACCAAACGAGAGCCCCTGCCTAGCAACTTGTCCATCTAAAAGTTTCAAGCCAGAATTTGATCTAGAAAATACCTTAGCAGGAAGTGGCACAACAGTCCATTGATCTGGAGCCAATTTAGCTTTTGAGCGAGTAGTTATCCCTGCAGTAGACTACATAAAGAAAAGTAAATCCTGAACAAATAAACAAAAACCTAAATATACCTGTTAAAGCAAATGGTCAAAACAAACCTTAATCAAATGGCCTTGTACATTAACTTTCCCCAGCTCAGCATGTCTCGTGGATAGCAGCAAAGCCAAAGCACTGGTTGTAACATTAATTTGATAGGCCCCTTGTATTTCCCCTGAGCTCAACAAGGATTTTTTTTTTTTTTTTTTAACAAGGGATTTTTTTTTTTTTTTTTTTGGGTGGGGGGGAGAGATCAGGTAGGGGGGGAGAGATCAGTAAATTTAGGCTCAAAAAACCATATACGTAGTGAGGCAAGTCAATGAGAGAATATTATTCTAAAATGAAAGGCAGAACAAAGATCAAGGTTGGGGGGGGAGAACACTGTGAGACCACTATTAAGACAATTCCAATCAATATACAATGTTTAACTCATAAAAAGAGCACTGCATTTACATCCTCCTTTATCAATTATGAATGAAATTACCACAACAAGGCTATAATAGTTTCACTTGTAGAAAAAAATCAAAATTATCAGTTTTGTGTCACTCAAGCAAAAACAAATCTTTTAGATCAAAGGAAAGGAATCATATTTTTTATCAATGTCTCATGGCTGTGCATAATTGACATTCTCAGTGTGGTGTTTAAAAACAACAAACAAAAGATCTGATAGGAAATATTGCTAACTATGAAGGAGAAAGAGTGTGCTAAAAAGATAGCTACCTTGCAGCTTAGTCCATTCAGACATCACATAAATGAAGGAATTATTATAGCCTTCAGCAGGGATACTGATCAGCATATCTATGAACTGTTCAACATTAGGGGCACTCGTATGCACCTGCATTTTAGAGCAGAACAGTCAAATGTCAATCCATAAAACCACATGGAGTGCATGCTTAAATATCACAAAGGCAGCCTATTAGAACCCAAAATGTGCAAGACAGATAAATTTGACAAACTAACTTTCAAGCAACTGCAGGTAGGCCAAAGAAAAGGCAGCTGAGGTCTTGTTCATACAGTACAAACATAGGCAATTCAGTTGGAGAAAAATTCCAAATAGCTAGAGAGGTTTTTCTTGCTAAATAGCCAATATAAAAATAGAATTTCACGCGAAAAGTATTTTCTCAGTTCTAGTTTCATTCATTAATGCAAAAGAAAACACTAGTAAAATGATTTACAGCTTGTAAGAATGATAATTTAACATGATCATTTAGCAATTCTGCCCCCGAAAAAAATGTTATCAATGGAAAGTTTTCAAGTCCACTCAGAATGAGGTGACAAGTGTTGAAGTGCATACCAGTCTAGCAAAAATAAGTATTAAGGAGCTTCTCAATCCTGTTATTTGAGCTGACTGCATTCGTCTAACTAGAGCAGCAATAAGATCTCGGATATGTTGTGCCATTTGCGATGGCAGATGTAAGATAAGTTGCAAAATGTAACTCCCAACAAAAAGAGATCCAGAGCTTTCCAGATCAGGGTCAAGGAGTCTGCAAAGTCCAGAAGTTGGTATCAAAAAACCACAATCTACAATTACCATATCAATATACGTCTTACAAAATGTTCCTAAGAATATCTTTCATGGTAAGATTTCTATCTAGGGTATTATCGTAACAAACCATCATGTCCTTGTTATCATGTAAAATTGCACACATTATGAATAGCATATCAGATAAATTTGTACACATTTATGATGAATAGCATGAATAAAAGAGCAACAATGTCCCAAATTTCAATATAAAATGGGACTGCAAAAATTTGCCACGAGCCTAACTTGCTGTATTAGCTGGCTGTATCAGTGCCTGGCAAAAAAGATGCAGAATCTGAGTATGAAGAGCTTCCACAACCAAATACAAAACCAAGTTGAGCCGCTAGTGGAAGGTAACAGACAAGATAAAAAAATATGATCAAATATCATTTACTGTAAGTACAACAAGTATTATAAGTAGGGCAGCATTGCTGCATCAATAATGAACCACTGTAATTCACATTTCATGATTTGAGGCAGAACCAAAGTTGTTTGATTTCGAATACAACACACCACACATAAATGATATTCGAAGCTGGGGGACATTTTAATCATCAGCAGAACTGTTTAAGAACGATTACGGTAGTGATTGAATATATCTCAAAACACCATTATTATCTCCAAATAACACACATCTGTCATCAAACCCCTACGCGTCTTCCCATTCTGAACATGGACCAAGAAATTGAGAAACTGTAGAATCACTTCAAAGAAAAAGGAAAATCACCAACCTTGAAGCTACGTCAAGCAAACTTCTCATTGTGAATCCAGAGTCAACAGCCCAGGCAAGTATTTCTTGTCTTCCTCCAGATATAAAAGCAGCTAAACATTCAGTGGCATTCTGGTCGATTATACAAACAAGTCATTTATCCATTTAACAAATTCAAAAAACTAAAATTAACTAAAAAGTTACAAAATCTAATGTAAAAAGAAGAAATAACCTGCATTTCACTGTGATCATCACTTTGAAGGACTATCCGGATAACAGCATCAAAACAAGCATCATACACTGCTTTTACTACATCGCTTGGAGCATTCTGTACAATGCTATCACAAACTGTAATTAGCAAAACAGGTATCACAATTATGGCGCTGCTTAACAATTGCACAGGAAAATTAATTTGCTAAATTTAAATACAAGAAAACCTTCTAGTGTCTAACTTGCCTTTAATAGCATAGTCACCAGGTCCAAGGATCCAGCTATCAGTCCATCAGGCTGCTGGTGTGGCTGAAAATCAGCAAGATTCATCAGAAACCGTGCCTTTTATCATAAAAGAAACCAAAAACAATTTATTTTAGGAAAATTTATGACCGTACTTTATTTAAGATTGGACCAATATGCGGCAAAATTCGAGAAACCAATGGACGAATACAGCCAGGAGTTTCTTTTATTGCCTGGAAAAATTTTGAGCGACATATAATAAGTTAAAAATAAGATACAGATACATAGAAACAAATTGCAGAATATCATCTAATTAAAATCTTAAAAAATTCATGTATGTCGGTGGCACAAATACTAATATGATTAATCCAGAAATTTTGGATAAACTCTCATTGCCAAAACATTTTCTGTATTTTCATGTATTTTTTTTCTAAGACTTTTGACTCTAACGGTTTAAGGATAGTCCAGTGTACCACAATTCAATCATAACAATATGAGGATCAGTTGAAGCCAGCAGTGCCATAAATTCTTTTTAAGAAAAATCTAGATCAGGAAGAAATTAAATCCGAGAACAAAATTGCAACATTACATTAGGCACTATAACTGGTAGGAAGAAAATTTAGACCAGCTTTATCCTTGCGTGGTGATGAACCTTAACACACATGCGCACCACATAAATATGATGTCAAAGAATAGTTGGTCCTTTGTATGCGAAATGGTTATAAAAGTTTGTTGAATAAAAAAAGAATTCATAACATATTTCCTCTATTTGATGCTGGTTGTCAGTCGACTTGAGACGGCTAATAGTGATATTACTAATATCCCACCAGCCACTGACTGACTAAGGCTTATTGTTCTAAAACCTCCTGGTGGCATTTATCAATGTTTCCAAGTTTGATTGATAATACAATGACAGCTATTCGATGAAATACAAGACCAAGGGGCAGAATAAAACCATTGAAAAATAAATAAGCAATTTATGCTGCAATAACAGTTAATGCCATAAAAAGTAGGCAACACTCTCACTCTAGCTCTTAACACTTTACCATACGTAACAAACCTCATAATTTCAGAAACAGGCTTCAGAATAAATAGAGTGTTTAAATCATAAATGAAAAGTATTTAAGAATGTCTCTCCACCTGCTAAAAGAAATGTAATGTCTTTGCATTTGAATATTAATCCAATGACATACCAATGAAATTCACACAACATCCGAAGAAAATAACAATGATAAATTTAACTTAATCCAATCCAATTACCAACATTATCCGCCTAACATGAGTAGTCGGCCAATAAAATTGAAAAAGAAACTTTAAAAGAAGAAAAAGAAATCAAACACAGAGAAAGGTAATTATTACCTCCAGAACCTCAATTGCATCAATACTGATAAAGGGATCAGAAACATGCAATGCCCACATATTAAGTATTACAGGAGCGATAATAGACTCAACCAACTCCGATGCTTCATGAGCTACAATCAACAAATGCAAACAGTGAAACCAGTAACAAGAAAAGTAAAATACTAAAGTCCACAATTGTTACTGATACCTACCTGCCTTAATGGCTGCATGCAGTGTTTCTAGTACTAGGTGTAATGTTTCATCAGATGCCTGTGAAGCAGAATCTTATAGCAACTTTTAGATGCAATTAAAATAAGAAAAATTTCAAAACCTATTTACAAAATACCTGATGAAGAAGATCAGTAAGCGACGAAAATAAACCCATCATTTGAGACTGGATAATTCCTTTGTTAGCTTCAGGTAGCAGTTGCGAAAGTGCCCGGCAAGCACCTACCTTTACAGGTGGGGGACTGCTAAAACGAAAAATGTCATAAGATTCTTACACTTGTTGATCAGAAACATAGATATCACTCTATATTAGTTTAGCTTACACATTCATGCCAACTGCCAGGATTGCAGCAGAGAGATACTGCTCGCGAATTCCATGGCTAATCTGTAGAATACTGATATTGACTAACAATTTTTCCCCAAAATATTGTCATGTTATGGAAAGATAAGGAAATATAGTAGCAATACCACAGAGGAGAATTTAGCAACCGATGTAAAACTACGAGCGCAAAGAAAGGGATATGTGTGCACTCCTGCACAACAAAAACAATACCACCAAATATTGTCTACCTTCAATATTAAACCTACAATTTTCAGTTTGGCACAAAAGAAAACAGCTGAAAAAAGAAAAAGAGAGAAGCACCCGTTCCGATGTCTTCAGTAATCATTTGCTCTACAAGGCTTCCTAAGCCAATGTTGCTCACCCCTGAAGCCTATCAGAAAAGGCGAATACTCAGGGAACAGCATGTCACAAAGAAATCACTGCCGCCCCAAAACAAATAAAAAAGCCCATCAAAACCATAATATGAAAAATACAAACCTCTGCTTCAAGTAATTGTTCTGACAGAGAAGCCAAAGCAAAGAGTGCAGCCTCCCTCATCTGCAATATTTCGTCATGGAAAAGATAAATAAGATCAGATAAAAAAAAAATCCGAAACAAGCACTAGAACTGCTTCCATCAGTGCTGGTGTAGTTTAAGTGCAAAGCTACAACCAATTTCTTTAAAGAGAATAATAATCATCATGTACAAGTAAACAACTAACAAAAAAACAAAAATCCCCTAACTACCTAAAATATTTTGTCATGGGAACAGATATAACATGAATATAAACACAATAGACACAGCCTCATCCCGGATACATTGGCACAAATGTGGAAGGGAATGGAAAATAACTTGATAAAAACATAGGTCTTGTAAAGCAGCTTAAAACTTTAGATACTAATTTTGAAGTCCAGTGATGAGTCAAAATTAGAGGAAAAACGATTTCCTACAAGAAAAGATAATATGATTGGTAAGTCTGTAGAAGAAATAAGATGGGGAAAATTTTCACCAGCCTCAAGGCTTGAGTTGGTGGGTTAATGGTTTGGGGGATTCCACATGAGGATTGGATTAATTTGTTGCAGATTCAGGAGTATTTCTGTGATTTTGTCAATTTTGAGGGCTAATTTTCAAGTCTTAATATTACTGTTTTTTTTAGTTACCCTAGTCACCATAAGTGTTAAATAAAGGGGGAGTCTTTTAAGTTCTATTACTACTCCAAAGTCAACCTAGGAGCCAAATAAAGGTTTATCCAACTTTTTACATGAAATTGGAGTCCAAGATTTAGGATTACTTGCTTGAGTCTATAAATACTCATGCTTGTAATGCTAATTTCAGATTTCAGCTATAAAATTTCAGCAACTTATGCTCTTATTTTGAGATACAATTATAACTCAAAAGTATGAGCCTTGCTTGATAAGAGGGAGTCCTACTAGATCCTATTAGTGTAGTCATGATACTCGGTTGTTTATTTTCATTTAATTGATTTTTCCTTTAATATTCCAAAAGAAAATAAGATCACAAGTTTAGTTTAATCCCTAATTCTTGATTTCTGAAAAACCTAGCCTAATTCCTAAATCCAAATGCTTTCCAAGTCCTCCATCAATAACAGCACAAGAAGCAAAACCCACTACCAATCCTAAAAGTAAAAGTCATTTAGAAAGCCGAAATCAATCCACATGAAGAAAACAGATACTGCCAAAGATGATTTAAATAGGAAAAGATTGCTTGGGTATCACTAGGAATGCTATGTAAATATGTTAGGAGATTAAATAGAACTCAGCACCTAAGGCTCACAGCTTCGTGTAATACAGTAACTTCTAGTATAAAATCACAAATGTTTTAGAAGCTAATGAGGATGATCGAGTAGTCTTGTATATATAATACTAATTGGATATAAACTTAAAGTATTGTTGACCAAGGAGTTTAAAGCCAGAAGTGCAGGAAGCTATAGGTCCAAGGTTACCTTTTACAAGATGATCATTCAACAAGAAAATAAAATTCCTTCACTTACTCTCCACCAAGTTACTGAAGAAGCAGCTTTTTCTCGTTGAGACTCATTGAATATCTCTCTTACAGAATCTATAATGGCAATGATTCCTTCTCCACCAAATGAGTTCACTATCTCCTCCAATAGAAGTACACCTGCCAGTAGCAATTTTGAGGCAAAGTCACATTATAGAATATATATTATACAGCTAGGAAAGAAAATTTAAGCCAGAAGAAAAACCAAAGATATATATATGTATATAATAACGACTATTGTTCCACATCAATGCGCTCATATACAATATACATGAATTCAGAAGATTGTAAATTAACTTAGTCTATGACACTTCAGAATATGCGATTCATATTTTTTAAGGCCTTATGCTAGGCAGGGCTAGTACCCAATATCGTGAACACAATTCCAGCCAAAATCAGAACGTATCTTCCTCCCATTCTTAAATCAATCCAAATTGAAGAACCAAAATCATTTTATTAAGAAAGAGAAAGGCTGCTGTTATGGTCCCAAATTAGGATCTAGTTATGGGTCTTTGAATTAGGGGAATCAGGTTTGAGATGGGTATCTTAGAAGGAGTTTTCTTCCCTCTATCAGAATATTATTCTATGAGAATTCAGCCAAAAATTGATTGTAAAATAAAACTTAGAAATCTAATTTTATTGCGATCTCATTCATTTTTTGAAGTAGCCTTATGCTTGAGGGGGAGCTCAGTACCGGCTCTTGTAATATAACTATTTTTTGGCATTTCCTTCTCTGTGAAACCTCACAATTCGCAGCCAAAAATTCAAGTATACGTAATCTTTTACTATACCATTCTTAATAATCAATTTAACCAAATTGAAGAACCATATAAACATCATTTTATTCCACAAAAGTTACAGATAAGGCTGGCTGTTATTCGAGATCCCTAAACATTATGGATCTAGTTATGGGTCTTTGAATTAGGGGAAATCAGGTTTGAGATAGAATAATCTTTACAGAAGGAGTTTTCATATACACACCATCTATGATATCATCCACGTTTGGTGATTCAGGACTTAGAGCAGAATCTAAGCAATCTCACTAGAGCTCGTGTAAGACGCAGGAAAACATCAATACAAGTCTATCCCGTGAGTCATTGTAGGGAACTCAAATAACCCATTTTCACTAAAAAATTACTGAGCATGGTACAAAGGTTTTTAACCGAGATATTATAAAGAACAGCCTTTTAAACAACTAGAATGTAAAGCTACAAACTACCCACTAACCCGACACTAAATAACTAACCCATTACAATAAAGTTACTTTGCTTAACCACTACCCACTAAAATACACTAAAAGTAAACTGATAATAACCATGATAAACACATGAATAACTAATAAAAAAAACCGTAAATAGCAGTAAAAGGAACTACCCGGCTAAAATAGTTGTATACACATATGCAGCGCCATACCACATTTATCAACCCTCTCCTCCCTAATTCACACGAAAATTTAAAGATATGCGCCTCCACTCCTCAACGCGGCAAAAGGCACGAGAATGACATGCAATTCACTTCCAACTATGTACGCAAATTAAAAATTGTGATTAGCAACAGGAATCCTTATCTCCGACACTCACATAAATTATTCACTAGGTCAAAATAAAGGAGCTTGTTTATATTGTCGCTTTCTATATTTAAACTCTAACATATTTCTTTTCCACTGGATCTAATTAGGGGCTCCTCACTAAATGTTTTTCCTCCTATGTTCATTCTTTCACTCGAATTGGCACTTTCTTCCCACTCACCGTTGCCACACCATTTAGAGGCTGCCAAATCCAAGCAAAGACCCTCCACCAATTGTTGCTTACACAATGTGAATGATATGAATTTAATGTATCTTTCATATTTTGCTTCCGCTCTATTCTCTCTATATCCACAACTTTATTGAGTTATTCTTGAAAACATTTGCTGGAACACTATTTATTACGCCTCCATAAAACGCGGCCAGCTCTTTTTGGATGATTCCAAATTTTGCTTCCCAACCCCATATTCCTCCAATTATTACTTCCATCATAGGTGGTACCCAAGAAAACCTCCAACTCCCCGTTCGAATTATCAGAAAACAGTTTGTAGTAGGCCTCCAGGAGAATTCTAAGTCCCTGCTGAACCTTATTGGACCCTTTGCTTTCGGTGCTTGACTTTGAAGCAGATTGAGGAAGTCAGCCCTTCTTTATGGATTTCCAAGCTCAGAAGACATGGAGCCATCCAATTTGATTCAATGAAAGTTGGTTCAAAAAACCGTCCTTCTCACTAAACGAAGGATCTAGAATTGGCTGGCTGGCTCACGGGATAAAGAGTAAAGTATTGAAGAGTTAGGTAAGACTGGTCTTGAACAGATTCGCCACAATTAACTTGTTGGCATCTGATATTCATATTGTTATTGGTCCCGCTAATTAGGAATCCTAAGTTAATAGCGGTCTTTCTGAGAATTAATTAGGGGGATATCAGGTTTGAGATGGGTATCTTAGAAGGAGCTATTTCTTTCCAACTCTCTACTCAGTGTCAGACAATGACTTAGTAGAAAGAATCTGTCAATATCTCCCTAAATGAGCTCAGTTAAGGATCTTGAGAGAACTCATACATGATCTCGTGAGTTTTTAAGAAACAATTTCACTACCTTTTCATAAAATTCTGGCTTACATTTTTACACATAGGGATAATATACAGCACTTTATTAAAACTATAAATGTCAAAGCTAAAAACTACCCACTACCCCATCAATACAAATACAGTCATCATCAAATATTAATTACCCACTAATACCACTAAACATTCTCCAAGTGCATCTATATAGCAATAAGCAAAGTTACATACATGTTTAACCACACCCAACTGGGGAAAAGCCACTTAAACAAAGAAACTGATAATAACATGATAAAACAACTGAATAAACTAAATAAAAAACATCCGTAAAATAAGCAGTAAAACTACGCTAAGTCAGAGTGCAGCAGCAATAGCACAGCGTGCCCTTTTATCCTATTTCATTAGCTTTAATGAGAAAGTTCATCGAAACTTGAGAATAGAGGAAGAATGAGGCAAACAATCTTTAAAACCTGGGCGATAACAAAGAAACTGATAATAACATGATAAACACTGAATAACTAAATAAAAACACCGTAAATAGCAGTAAAACTACCCTAAGTCAAGCAGCGCCATAACAGCTGCCCTTCATTTCATTAGCTTTAATGAGAAAGTCATGAAACTTGAGAATAGAGGAAGATGAGGCAAAACAAATCTTTAAAACATGGCGAACATATATTTGATCTATAAATTCAAATATTCCACTTCTATAAAATTGTTATGGAACTCCTTAGACAATTTGCAACTTCCATTGGTTTGTTTTAATAGCATCTCTCTGAAAAGAAAACTATTGAAGTTCCACTACTGAAATAGAGCAGCAACTGAGTGGCTTAAAAGCCACTTACCAGAAACACGACAACTATATGTGACATCATCCTCATCAGCAACAAATTGATTAGCATCTGCCGACCACGTATGAATCTAAGCAACAGGTATAATGTAAACAATAGAAAAAGAAAGAAAAACGAAAACTTCAGCATCAGAACCATAATAATAGTAGTATCAAGCATGTTGAATTAACAGAGAGCAATCGGAATAAGGGATGGGAGAGGATATACAATAATGGAATTCAGCATGATCAATGAATTATAGAAAGCCCGATTGCCCGAAATATCTTCCCAAAAAAAATATGAGACCAGTCACCAACTTTGTATTCAACAAAAGGAGAGAAATCCATTCCTAAAATAAACCTATCATCCTACAGTGTCAATAACCACTATATGATACACATGAAGCAAAATAATAAGTGAACAGGAACTTGTAATGCATAACCACCTGTTGTTCAGTCATTTGCAGAAAACCTATGGTGTAAAAAACCAACTCCTTGATATTACCCCTAACAACCTGAATAAAGCATGTTTCATAAGCCTGAATTCAATATTTAGGTAAAAAAGAAGGCTAAAGCAAGCAGAAATGCAATAACAAGGTTAGATCTGAACCTTCATTAGCTTTGCACTGCCAACAATAGTCAACAGAAACTCAAAAAGCTGCAAGCACAAGAAATTAAGAAATCAATCATTTAAGAAACTAAAACTTAGTACTCAAAACATTTCAAAACAAGAGTTCCAGATTGCAGATTCACTAATGCTGTTCAGGAATATAACATGTAATTATGAATAGAGGACATGGTTTAGTGCATAGTTATCTGGGACGTGGTATGTTTCGAGTCAAGGTACAAGTATGGGTGCGGACTACAAACTATGCCACCTAGCTAGATATACGGTGTACTAGGGGTAGACGTAGCTGGTATGCTATTTTAGTTCTCAGTACGTAAATTATACATTTTTGGGTCTAGGCTTTCCGTTACTAATAAAATAATAATAACAATAATAATAACTATTAATATTATCATTAATTGTCAAAATTGTTTTTTCTAGTTTTGGTAAGAGAAATTTTACGTGGGTGAGTTTGAAATAATACTCTTCTTGAACAATTAAAACAAATAATTGTTGCATCAGTAAACAATTTAAAGAATACAAGGAGTCCTCTAACGGCTATAACCTCATTCGCTCAAATTATAACTTATTGGATTATAATAACAAGTAAATATCTAGTCCCCACCTCCCAATTACCCCAACTTCTCTCCAATTGTCATTTCTATTTCTTTGCAATTCCTACAGCAACTTTGGCTTTTCATTACCCTTTGCTTGTTCAAACGATTCGAACTAAATCATTCAATACTCTTTCATCCTCATTAGATATTATTTGAAGTACTTGCAAATTAACTTGAAAAGGTGAAAACAGAATGGGAACCCTGATTTTAGAGATTTGGATTGCATGCCATCATCATCATAGTACCTTAGGGGTAGCGTATCACGACTATGGTTTACTAAAAAAGAAAACTCAACTTCCAATATACTTCTAAACCATTAAACGTATGAACCAAGAATACTTTCTTAGTGAGGGAAAACACACTCCTACATGACCGAAATACTTGCTTACACTTAGTAATTGAAGCTATAAAAAACCCTAGTGTAATTGTTCATAATCTAACAGCTAATGGTTACCTACAATTCTTTGTTCTTGTATCTAACTATTCAATAAACAAGCATCTACTAACTTTGAAATGTTGAATTCACCATGCTCAACTGAATGACATCCAAGGAAAATGAGGATGGAGGTTCCTTGTAATTGGCTATTATTCTCGATCTAATATAGGGGTGAGGCTTCTGTCGATTCAATCAACTCTGTTTGAAATTCCTCAAAACCAAACAACCCAAATCTGATTTGAAAAACTTAACTGAACCAAACAGAAAAAATTCACTTCTGTCACCATGCACTATTACGACCACAGTTCAGTTTCAAACCGGAACCGAACCGGTCAAAACCGGCACTAAACCGTGGTCAATGGTTCTAATTCTAAAACCATAATCGAAATTGTGAACTTCAAGGTTCGGTTCCGGTTCTTCATTTTTTTGAAATCAAAACCGACGATTTTGGTTTGAAACCGTGAAAAACACGTTCTTAAAAAATTTTCTAACTTATTTTTTTGTTTTATTATAGTTTTTTAAAGAAATTTTTTGAAGAATTTTTATTATATTGATTTAGTTTTTTTCAATAGTAATATTTATTATTATTATTATTATTTATTCAAGCTCCAAATCTTAAAAAATATTTTAAGAAGTTTATAATATATTATTTAATTTCAATTCAAAACCGGAAAAAACCGAAACCGGCGGTTCCAAAACCGTCTTAGAAACCATTTAAAAGCAGTTCGGTTCCAATACCAACTTTTTAATAACTGGAACCAGCAGTTTTGAACTCAAAACCGGTGGTTCTGGAACCATGGTCATGCCTAGAGCGTATTGTACTGGACCTTAGCACAATTAACAGGTTAAAAGTCCAAAATAGTAAAAACAAAACTTGATTGCTTAATTTAAAGCTTAAATTTACAGGAAATAGTTAAAATATCTTTGAATGAAAATAAGAGAAATATGGAAATTATATATTAAATAATGAAAAAATTAACACACCCAGATTTTTAGGAAATATAGAAATTCTAGTAGACCATAAAATGTATACAAAACAATGAAAATAAAGTGTATAACTAGGGTTGAGTTTCTTTAAAATTGCCTAATTAACTACAACATTAAGAAGATATGGCCTATATACGTAAGAATGACAACCATAGCTAATCAGGTTTTTTAGCATTGTCAGTTTTGAAAAACTATAACTGAACCAAAAACTGAATTTTTATAGAATATAAAACCAAAACAAACTGAAATTTTTAAAAACCGAAGCCATTTAACCGAATTTTATTAGTTTAATTCGATTTTTCAGTTTAAACCAAATAATCCTCACCACTAATGCAGAGTTTTAGTGGAATATAAGAGCATACTAAATTGAAGAGCTAGCCAAACTGCTCTACATTTTGGAAAAGTTGAGAAAGATATCCTGTGGTTTAACAATTTGACACTCGAAGAACAGATTTTTTTTTTTTTTTTTGGAGTTGTTTTAGTACCATGAAATTTCATCTATTTTCTTTTTAATACCATTTTGGCTAATATTATTAACATTATGTTAATAATTAATTATATGAAATCAAAGGTTCTTCTAATGATATTTATAACGTGTCTAAGAAATGAATTAGATAGTACACTTTACGTTTTTTTTGTCCATGATAAAATTATATTTCATAAAGGGAAAAAAATGTAAATGTAATGCTAAGAAAATGTCATATGGTCATCTAAGTAATTACTATGTGAATAATACTCGAGTCTAATTGTCATTTTCCAAAACACAAGCACCATAAGAGTATGATTTTAGTGATATCGGCACAAGCAGCATCAACTGACAATGAAATATAAAATCACACAATAAATTAGTCTGAAAAGTGTCAAAAAAAAAAAAAAAAAAAAACGAGTTGAAGTTTTCTTCTTAACCATTAGCCTAAATGAAACTATCATACACCAACATAGACGAAAGAAATTGTAGAAAAAACATGCCATATAATTCAGAATAAAGAAATAAATGCAGACAGAACAGCATAACTCAATTAAGCTAAATCAGGATTTCTCTTCATGCAAGCACATTCAGCGAGTACAAGTTATTTTCAGAAATAAACTATACTGAAAAATAAGAATTAAACCAAATTAAACTGTAATATATTTTTATAATAGAGATATTATACATTAACCTACACAGCAAAAACAAACTGAATTTTATAAATATTAAAAACTACAAAATAAGCCCAAATTTAAATTCCATCGATATTATTATATATAATATATTAGATTAAAATTTATTCGGATATATTTTACCCAGTTTCATAGATTAAATTTCTACTAATAAATACTAAACCCATCAGATATAATATCCTCAACCACCAACTAACTGGGCAAGTTTAGGATAGGAGAATATAAGAGAAAACATAACAAAAATACCATTAGAAATGTAAGCCATAATGCCAATATCCTAGCTCTAAACAATATTTGGAAATACTATATAAATAGATTTAGAAGAAAAATGATATAATCCTGTGGTTTAAAACACTTAATTTGAGCAGATTCTTAAATACAATATTAAAGAAAAACGAAAAAAATGTATAAGCAGCATTTTCTTCTATTTCTTCCTTCCTTAAGAGAGTTAGTATTTAAGAGAGTAACATACTTCATTATGAAAAATTTTTCTATCCCTTATATTTATATCTATTCTCTAATATACTCATATTTATTGGCCATCTAATATTTCTTTAAATAACATTAGTTCATCTTAACTAATTATATCTCACACAAAGGCATTCTCTCAAACACTATAATGAGTATATTTTACTTCTCACACTATACACCACGTGTCAAAAAGAAACTCAAACGATAATTTAGACTATAGATCATCCAACGAGTCTTTTCTAGTCACCAGGGCATAAAAAATAATATTATTAATCATAAGAAGGATAACAAATGAAATAAAATCGCGCTCAAAAAGTTAATTAAACAAAATATACCGCTAGAACAAAATGTACAAAATGTAATCATATCTAAGTAATAATCTATCTAACAGTGGACCTGAAATAAAGTACTCGAGTCTAATTGTCATTTTCCCAAAAACCAATCACTATAAAGCTACAAGCTATAAGAAAATTATGATAAACGTATTTTAGTGATCAAATATAAACTCATAAAAATTACATGGCATTATATAACGTTCAGACATTAAATTCATGACGAATGGAAGATAATACAACTATCATTACACCCCAATAAATTGAGTCTGAAAAAAGTCCACTAAAAAAATATAAAAAAAGCAAAAATTAAACAAATACAATTGGATGAGTAAGCGTATTCATTCAGAAGCACTTCTATTATTCTTTATTTGCAGCAACCCTCATATCAACACTGATACTTAATTATTATTAGTATGCATTCCGAACTATGAAAATCTAATTAAATCCAAATCTTATATAGCTACCTGCTATTGACAGAATTCGTACCTACATAATATCTCTACAGACTTTACAACATATTTAATGCTCAAATTATGAACGAGATTAACTTCATTAGAAGATCAAAAACGAAAAACTTCTTTTGGGCAAAAATACTTTCTTTGTAAAGTGTGCACAGAATTTTCACAACACAACACGAACTATTCTCTGGAACATTTAGTCGAGCAAGATAGAATACTCCGTACAAGGAGGAAGCAGACAGCAAGGTCATGAAGAAATTGTCTACTCTCGCTAAAAAAAAAAAAAAAAAAAAATCAAATGATAAGGTATTTTCTGAACTTTTTTTTTTCGCACTTTCAATGAACTTATATGTAAGAGCTCCCAACATGAATCTTAATCCAATCTGATAAGGTTGACAGACCAAATATCCAAGCCACAATTATAGCTCAAATTATGAGGAAACATAGAACAAAGAAATCTTTGGCAAAATTTAGAAGGCAAAATTTTAAACACAAACATTTGGACATGCGCAAGAAGATATCACAGGAGGAAGCAGCAGAAGGTCATGAAGAAATGTATTTGTGATGAACCTTCAGATATACATATTCTATAACTAACGTTTCAAGAAGAAAATTTTAAGTGAATTACATGTATCAATCAATATGATAAATCTCACATTTACTGATACGAGACTAACTAAAAAAAATCAATATACTATTTATTCACTAATTAACAGCAGATGAATTTTTAGTGATTAGAATTGCAAGGAATGTTATTACCTGGATGACAAATGAATCAAGACTTTTCTCTGCACCATCCGAATCATATCTACCCTCATAGGAATCTTCTGTACCTTCAACTGATGACTGTTTGTAAACTCTTAGAGATGTTACGAAAGTTTGCCACAGAGGTCCCACAATAACTGCAAAAACACACATTGTAATGGGTCAATGAGTGATAATAGAATTATCAACAAGCAAACTTCTAAATAGTTGAGATGTAAGCTTCATGTATTAATAAAATAACAAACCCACCTGCAAATTCACTTTCAGTAAAGCTAGGGAAATTCTGAACAAACTGATTCAAGCACTTTAAAACCTAATAACACAATATGTATTATCACTGATGCAATTATTTCTATCAATAACCAAGACAGAAAATTAGTACAAGAAACCGATCAAACCTCCATTCTCATGCTCCAATCATCAGGATCTTCAGATTGTACCGGCTGTTCTAAGATCATAGAGAACTTATCCATCCATGGTTTAAGCATTGGTGCCATCAACACACTGGTTTCTGTCTGAACAGTGTATTAGATCTTTTAATCAATAATAGAAGCAACTAAAACAGAACCAAACACAAATGACATATAAATACAAGACGGGCATGTGAAGAATATACCTTGTATATACCACTCATAACCCCAAGCATGGATGTACAAGAATAAACTATCGAAAGGGCTTTTGTGCGCAAATAATTGTCATATATCTGCCCCAACAGCACTGGAAAAGTAAGTATACAGCATAAAATGAAAGAAATACTTTAATTTACACTCCAGAGAGCAATAACCTCAAGAAGAGATTTAACACGAGCTATGCATCAGATATTAAATGCACTGGATTCAATTCCATCCAAACAACAAGATGGAAACAAAATCTCTAAGTGAGTTTGTAGGGAAAATAAAGAGTTAATTGGGTCTTCTGATATTGTGTTAATGGGCAACTTCTTTTCCTTCAGTATTGTGTATTATGTTGCTCCTTAACCAATTAACTTTATCAGCTGAAGTCCTCAACTATAACAGTCGCAGTATTAGTGAGTCAATGGCTTATGCAAGCTGAATCTTTTACATGAATTCTTACTTATTTGCTGCATTTTTTATTTTCTCATCTTAAAAATTATACAGATACTGAAACATAAAATTTGGAAGTAAATGTCAGAACAATCTCAACTCAAGCAAATATCGCTGCTACAATACCATTGAAATAGTCACTTCAATGGCAAAGCTAGATGCCATAGTCACCTAGCAGCGTGCAAACATGCCCATTCATGGGTCTACCCACATAATTCTCTAGATATCTTCATGTTTACTCTCATGAGGGTCTTGTACAACTAAATAACTAAACAGAAAAAGTACATACAAGATAAAGAAATAACTAGCAAAAGCTACCTCTTGTAGGAGTAAAACATTAACCAATAGACTGAATGCTAACCTCAGGGGAAGATACGATCGTATGTAAGCATGGGAACAAGACAGGAACTAGTGATGGCACAACTGTATCATCCAAGTCGCCAGACAGAAGAGCCAAGCACCTTAGAGCTCCACGTACTACAAATGTCAATATAATTATCATAGTTTTAATCTAAACTGAAGCAGGATTCATCTTACATGTTATGAATGGAACATGAAATAATTGAAATATATCCAAGTATTTAACACCCGTAGGCCATAATAACCTTAAATTTATTGAACAAGAAGTTGGCTCTAATAGAGTTAATTATTTCAAAATTGGTTGTGATAAAGTAGTTACCCCAAATAGTGGTGATAGCACAATCTTTTGGAGCACATGTCTCAGTTTTAGAGGCATTAATATCTCTACCAGCAGCAGATTATAATCATGATATCCTCAATTGATTTATTCAAAAAAAGAAAGAAAGAAAGAAAACAAAAAAAAAAAAGGACAGAGATTCAACTGAAAATGAAATTTCTAAATGCTTACCTCCATTCATATTAGTTTGATCAGTGAGTAACTTCAGAAGGAATGGCAACAAGTCAGGCCAACCCTCTGGCCAGTCATACATAGCAATTGATGCTATAGCCATACTAATCGCAGTGCAGATTTTCCTATGAGAATCATCTAATGAAGCTAAAAGAAGCCTGCGTATGACTTCCTGAGAACACAATAATGATGAAAGGTTACATTGGGCTATAAATATTAAGACCTAAACCAAAATGAAAATGTAGCTCAAAGGATTAAATAACAGTGAATCTGGTTGGCTTGAAATCAAATTGATACATATCAACAACATGCATAAGAAAAATACTTCATGCATCTCAGAAGTTTCATTTAGCCCCAAATCTTTTTACCAATGTTGTTAATGTGATGCAAACTAAATTTCACAAGAATGTCTACCACATTGTTGGGTTTACTTGAATTATTAATTTTTGTATACATGTACTGAATACACGTAATATCATTTTTTTCCTGATTTATACTTTGCTTGCACTGCTACTAATTTGATCAGAGCAAATATTGGAAACAAAAGATTCATAAGCCGACCCCAACTAGTTTGGGACTAAGGCTTAATTGTTGTTGTTGTTTGTGTACCGAATACACATGGAAATAATTTTTAAAAACACCTTAATTAAGCTAAGTTAGTTAAATCATTGTCTTAAAATTGATTTGTCATTTTATGAGCTTTAAAAACAAAAATCAATAGCAAGATTAATAGAGTTTGACACTCTGACATATCACAACCCGTACATCATTTGAAACCCTCGAGATGAATGTACTTAGAATTTCAGTCTATCAAATAACTGCACATAATATTATTCAAGTGACGCAGTTAAAGGCATAATCATTGACTTCATGAATTTGCCTAGATAAGGGGCAAAATGAAAGAAGTAGTATGGTAGAAGACAATAGGGTTTCAGGATATCATATATGAGTTTTTCATAAATGGGAAATGAACGGGGAAAGGTGATAGATACCTTTTCTTGACTTGATACAGCCGGATGTTCAAAGGAGTCCTCACCTTCTTGCCAGTGTTTTTTGATGAATTGCTTTAGAAGAACAGCCGCTAAGTAATACTATGTTAAAGCTCACAAGACATAGAAACTCCTCAATTAAGCTAGATGTGGATATCTAGTGGACAACATGCGATATTTAAATCCAGTAGCTCAAAATAAAAACAGCTACATACCATTCAAAAAGATGGAAAATGAATGTTTTCCCTTGTCATCAAATAAGATAAAAAATACATTACCACATTGACAGGCAATTAAACAATACCAGGAAGAGAAACTGGAGGAGAGTATTATAATAAACAAAGCAGAATATATAACCAATAACAGTAATTAAAAAATAGGATATCTGACGCAATCCTGGAGAAAGCTCCCTGTTTGCAGCAACCTTGGATAGTGCCCCTCCAAAACCTTCAAGAAAAATGTGAGCTTGTAATTTTTTTTTATAAAAATAAAGAAAAGAAACCAAAAAAAAACAGCACTAAAAACCACATGATATATAAAACAACAATAAAGACACAGGATAACAATATATGGACAACCTGTGAACAAACAAATGAATCAATTACCAAGACGAAGAATTGAATCTATGATAGCATGTGTATCAACAAGATAATGATGATCAACAGCCTAAACTATAAAAGCAAAAGCCATACATCTCCAAGTGTGGATAGAGAAAATTCCTTTCCTGAAAATACACAGCCCAGAAATAGTGAGATGAAGCATGAAAGAATTTCTATTATTCCCATACCAAGCTAATCTCCTTCCAAGTTCAAAACTCTCCCTCCACTTAAAAAGCAACCAATGAGATGCCCATTAATGTATAAGCTAGTTTCCATAGTCATAAGTAATCCATATATACAATGCAACAAGGTGATTTAATGATTCAGCAGTTAAAGAAAAAATTATCAATCATAGGTTTCCCAGTTTTGAAGACGATGGATTTTGCTTTCCAAGTTAAAAAAACCATGGTTGTAAGCACGTAAGTCTCCCAACTGACCTTCCGATTGAAAATGATTTCACCCGCATTTGCATTTTATCCAATTAAAGCCAATAATAGAACTTGACATTTGAACAGTTATATCCATAGACATCAAAAATAAAATCTAGAAATTGAAATTTCAAAGATGCACAACCATAAAAAGCCACCACCCACCCCCATTATCCAATTAAGCAATAATAGAACTTGACATTTTGAACAGTATATATCCATAGGAATCAAAAATAAAATCTAGGAAATTGAACATTTCAAAGATGCCACAAACCATAAAAGCCACCACCCAACCCCCCCACCCCCCTCTCCCTCCACCAAGGCTCCAAACCACCCACCCCCACCCCCCTCTCCTCCACCAAGGCTCCAAAATCAAATAATGCTACTTTAGACAACTCATCCTTAACTCATCTACTCCACAAACAAGGAATTTTGTACCCACCAGTACATATTGAAAGTGCTTGAGATTTGTCCAAGATTAAAACATTAGTGCACTAACTAGTACAGCTTCCTTTAATTTTCTTTTTTTTTTTTTTTTAACAACTCACTCCTTAAACAAACCCTATAGCCTTTTAATGGGTCGCGTTAAATTATTGATTCTCAAAGAAAAATTGGAAAAGAGAAAAAAACAAGTAAAAGATAAGTTGGAACAACTAGTTCAGCAAAGTTAATGCTACATCAAAGTCCAAGCAAGAAACCAGTACAACAAAAAGTTCAAATTCACTCTCAGAACTGATCCAAAGGGGGAGTGGGAGAGGAGAGAAAATAACATTAGAGACAGTTACAGTGCAATAGAGCTTAAAAATAAAAGTTGGAACATGCTTCTCATATACCCAATTCATATTCCAAAAAAGATAGAGCTCCCTCAAGCAGAGGCAAGAGTTTGGATGAGGCATGCACTATCACTATACTCAGCCAAGAAGCATCATATTTGGAACCTCTTTATATCCATCTAGTCCAGTTATGGATAATAGCTTGTAACTCTAACTACATGAATCATAGGCTCTCATGTCTTTCCAAAGAATCTTAGACTGATCTTTTCCTTTCTTTCCATCCCACGTTCTCTACTAGACTACATATTCCACTTCTTCATGTCCGCTTAGAGCATTCAGATTGAATAAAATCCTTGCTAATTCCTTAAATATGCACTAACAGGTCCATGTCGCACCCAGGCCAACCAAAAGAGAAATCTCTCCTTTCCACTTGATTAGAACCATCTCAATTTTCTCTTTCTTTTGTAGGCGAGAACGCTACAAACACCAAATGTATATAAAGAAAGTACCCATAGCAAAAGTATAAAATAAAAAGACAACCTAAAAATTTAAAAGGCCTATAATCTTCCAAGTACACGAATTAGAAGAGACCGTCTCTGGAAACTATAAGAACACGATTTTCAGAAAAGACCTTAATTTATTCAATATCAAGTTCTTTTCCTGTTCCAACCATAAAACACTCATTAAAGATGTAACAATATAAGCGCAAGTATCCAGGCTTTAGGCCTCTTAACTCTCTAGCTTACTGGAAATGCCTTATTTGATGCCATCCAAGTCTCTTCATCCTTAAAACTATTATCATTTTCACCTTATATCAACTCCCATAACCGGCTATATCTAAGTTTCATATTATTCTCCACATTAGAGCCTTCATAACACACTTATCATCTGCATTGAACACTAATCTATTCTATGATGCTCATTTGTATATTTCCATTTAAATTCGACAACCCCAAGTAAATTTCAACAGAAAGAGCTCTCCGACTCAAAATCAAAGTTCATTTCCAACTATAAATCTCTCACTCTGCACCCCATTACTTCCCCATGTACTGGACTTTCGTTAAAGTTAAAACTAATCAACAAATAGAAACAGGAATGCAAGTACAACAAGCACCAAAGAACAAAAAAAAAAAAAAAAAAAAAAAAAAAAAAAAAAAAAAAAGGAATGAAGAATCTAAAGAGGATTAAGGAAGGAACCTGGTTGAAGAAAAAAAAAAAAAAAAAAAAAAAAAAGGAATGAGAATCTAAAGGAGGATTAAGGAAGGAACCTGGTTGAAGAGAGGCCTGATTCAGAGAAGCTTCGGCAAATGAACGGACTTCCTGGTTGGGGTCAAGAGTGGCAGTCAAGCAGTTGAGAAGCCATTGCTGATCTTGATCAACTATATTCGCCATGAATTTCCAAAATTCAGAGTAACTACAAGAAAACAGAGTTTTTTCTTGTTTGTTTTTCTCTTTTCAAATTTCTTGCTCTCCCAAAAAATGGAGCTCTACCACAGAAAGGGAAAAAATAGAAGACAAGACTCTTGAAGTTTGGAGAACATTTATATATTGGGGGAGAGAAAGATATGAACAAGAATGGCAGAAATGAGAAACCCTTCTATGGTGCTTGATGAAGCTGTGAGCCTGTGACTAAGGTTTTTAGGGTTTTGCATAGCTCACTGCACTGGGCTCATCTCTGTCATTGTTGGGGCCCTTTCCTTTTTTTTTTTTTTTAATATTATTTATAAAATATTTTTAAAGGAACATTTCCTTTAGAAAAATTTTTTTAAGCAACTCATTTTGTATTATTTGCTTTATTAAAAATTAATTTTAAAATATAACAATTTTTAATTTCTAAAATATTTGAAATTATAAAAAAAAATTTCTTTTACTAAATATAAAAGATATATAAAATTATGAATTATAATAATCACACGGTGTGATCAGAAATCATATTACATAAAAAATAATAATCTTACTATCTAAAATAGAAAAAAATGATAGTCAATATCCATACGATGGATGCTTGTCGCCAGTAAGACTAGTGATGATAAGGAGCCATTAATAATTGTGATCATTAATAATATATGAATTAATAAATATATGTATAAGGTTGTAATATAAAAAGGAAATTAATTTTCCTTTAAAACTTTTTAACTTTTCTTTTAACTAGAATAATCTTTTTATAATGCCAAAACAAAATAAAGAACAAAAACAATCAAATAGAATGCACTTTTATTCCAATGAAAACAGAACTACATAATCCATAACCAAACATGCGTTTAATTAATTAATGTTTTTTCTACAAATCTCTCAACCAAAACATAACAACCAAAATTTCTCCACTTGCCAATTCCTTTAAACTCCTCCACTCTTTTAATCCTTAATCTCCTTTCACTACCACTAACCCAACCAAACCTCTCTTGCTCCCACTTCATCCTCTCAAAAACTACTAAAATCAACCCTAAATTGCTTACACCACTCCTAAACCAAATCACCCCATCAACCACATTACTCTTAATCTCTCCATCTTCCATGCCAGCAACTGCAGCAACTTCTCTTTCAAAAACATCTACCTGCATTATTGCTCTCATTACTATTTTAACAAGCAAAAACTTGTTGCCATTGTTGTTCAAGTGTAATCTCATAGAACCTTGATTTATTCACTTGATCTTTAATATTCTCATCTTTAATAAACATGAAAGGAGAATACCACTTTCCTACTACCACAGGACTTTATATTTTTTCTGATAATGGGAAGTCGAAGCCTGGAAGGCGGGCGCTAAGAGCCCTGTTAAGGCCTAATGCTTCATTTAATTCCAGTTTAGGTGAAATTGCAGTTTGAAGTTGCCAATCTTTTCTGCTTAAGAAACTTGGAGGGTGCCCATTTAAAGCTACAGGTTTGGCAGCAAACCCCCAACCCCCAATGTTCAATCCTGAATTGCTGATATATGTCATGAGGATCTAATGGTTGAGGTTTTATATCAGGAACAAATCTACAACAAAAACAACATGTTGTCATGTCCTCTTCTTTTGAGTTCTTGTAAGCTTCCCTGAAAATATATTCTATTAATTAACAGATACAAGAAAAGAAAAATAGGTTTGTGCTTTTCCATAACAGAAAACCAAAGGAAATTTAAGAAATACCCTTTATGCTTTCCATGTTGCTCTATGCAATAATATTGATTGCTAGACAATGGTTGATTGAGAACAGGAATGAATATAACTTTTTTTATAGTACTTTTCTGCAGCCCAGATTGTGTTGAGTACTCAACAATTAAGTTCTTGTTCCGAGGGAAGGGAAGTCTCTAATTCGATAGCTCCCGCACATGCAAAATCCAAAACAGCCAAGTAGTTATGTCTTCTTCTTCATCATCGTGAAGGACCAAAATACCAGAATTTGGACCTTCAGGAGGTTGTAATGAAAGAGCAGAAGGATCACTTCTGTACATAGACAAAGGCCTTGTCACATACATTTCCTAAAATAAAATGAGGATGATTTTTCAATATGCGTGTGTAAAATAGATAAGCTATGAAATTGAAAAGGTCAAACTGAGATGTACAAATTGTAACAAGTAATAAGAAGATATCCATTTAGTAGCTGCTAGTCAAACCTGTTGATTTAGTACAAAGGAAAATTTGAGACAGAAAACATTAAATCAGAAGCAAAATTGATTATTATTAGTTTCTAGTATATTTCTTGGAAAGTGGTAACATGTCTGTAATGAACTTATAATTGTCTAAGTAACAAAATTCTATAATTTGTTCTACTAAAATTAAAAATTTAGGTCAAGGTTACAGGAAAAGTTCATGAAATTTATAGAACATGGTTTATAACAATATTTTATTATTATCTAAAGATACTCTCATTAGATTATCTGTTTTTTAAGGAATTTTTATTGAAATGTCAAAGGATGGATTAAGTAGGTGGATTTACTCCTCACCTTCTTAAAATTTTTGACATTTACTGTTCTTTTTAAGTCACAAAGGGAATAAGAAAGAAAAAAGTAATAACCGAAAGTAGTAAATTGTTGGAAAGTAATCGAACTTGAAATCTTACACTCTTTGCATAAATAAGAAGACTAATCAGACCACCACCTGATAGATCTTTAGTGAGTATATCACTAAACATGAAAAGAAAAATAAACAATATCATTATTATCCAATCCAATAGAGTACAATACATTCAATTTTACATACCAAATCAAAACAATACAATATCAATACAACATCATCCCAAACCTAATTAAACATTAAAAAATGAAGAAAAAAAAAAGAACAGAACACCACTATTCCCATTTGCTAGTAACATGTTGAGTATGCCTAAATTCATAAGTCAATAATAAGCTTCCATTCATTCTTTTCAATACAAAACTCTCCACCAAAACATAGCAACCAAATTTCTTCCACTCACCTGCACCTCTAAATTCCTCAACTCTCTTAATCTTCACTTCCTTTTGACTTCCACTAATCCACCCAAACCTCTCTTCCTCCCACTTAATTCTCTCAATAATTACTGAACTTAACCCTACATTACCAAACCACATCACTCCGTCAACTAAATTATCATCACCATACATAATCTTTTCACTACCAATCTTAACTACTTCATTTTCAATTGCAACATCCACGATAACAGGAGCATTCCCTTCATTATTATTATTATTTTCGCAGGCGAAAATTTGCTCCCATTTTTGCTGCAATGTCATTTCATAGTATCTTGAACTATCAAATTGATCTTGAACTGCTCCATCTTTAATAAACATGAAAGGGCAATACCATTTTCCCACTACAACAGGTTGAGAAGTTTTCTGTGACAAGGAAATGTTGCTAGAGTCTGGAAGGCGAAAACGGAGAGTGTTGTCTACGCCTTGTGCTTCGTTTAAATCGAACTTGAGCGGAGATGTTGTATATAATCTCCAACCCTTTCTTCTTAAGAAATTTGGAGGGTATCCATCTGAAGTTGTGGATTTCCCGACAAAACCTCCCCAATCTCTACGTTGAATTTCGAATTGTTGATATGTGTCTTGAGGAGCTAATGGTGCTGGTTCAAAATCATTAATACAGTTGCAGAAACAGCATGTCGTTTTGTCCTCCTCCTTTGAATTTATATAAGCTTTCCTGGAATTCACAGTTCAAAATAGCCGTGTATAAACCAGATTGAAAAGAGAAAAAAAAAAAAAAGGAAAGATAGAGGATGAGGACGTACCCTTTATTCTTCCCTGCTCGTTCTATGCAGTAGTATTGATTGGAAGACAAGGGTTGATTAAGAACAGGAATGAAAGCAACACGGTTTACAGAAACACTTTGATGTTGACCAGCTTGAGTTGTGTACCGGACGTTTAAGTTATAATTTTGAGGGAAAGGGAAGTTCTTTACTTGGTCGCTATAGCACAGTCCAAAACAGCAAGTGGGTTGTGCTTCTTCATCTTGTATGACGAGTATCCCAGAATTCGGACCCTCAGGAGGTGGCAAAGATAGAGCTGAAGGATCTCTCAAATAGAAAGAGAGTCGCCTTGTTACATACATCTTCTCTTTCAACGGTGGAAATCAACAAGATTATCAAGAACTGATGCATATATAGATAGAATTTGGGATCGGAAGTTTGTGGTCAAATTGCTAGGAAGGTTTAACATCATTTCCTTATGTTGACTTGATTTACAATCTTGAATTTGAATATCAAATGGCCAGTCTTTAATTAAAATTCGAGCATGACAGAGGCAATTTTTCATGGATAATAATTTGATAATGTTTTGATGACTTGGTCAAAGATTTATCACGTTAGATTTTTTGAGATTAAATAAATAAATTGAGTTTTTTTTTTTTTTTTTTTTTTTTGTCCAAAGATATTATCACGTTAGATTTTTTGAGGATTAAATAAATAAATTGAGTTTTTTTTTTTTTTTTTTTTTTTGTGTTTTTTGAATCCATATTCTCGCTTAAATTGTTTATTTTTTTAGTCAAATTAATTTTTTACAATTTCCTTAATCTAGACGTAAGGTTATCCTTAATTTTTTCTACAAATTCCTTAATCCATAGTCTCGCTTAATTATTTTTTTTTTAATACGCCTAGTGCTGAAATTGAATTCTCGTTCAAAAATTTTTTGTTAAAAAATACATGTAACTTCAAAACTGTGAATTGCTATAATTTTATATAATTTGATATATAGTTATTACAACTTTTAAAATAATAATTTTAAAATTTTAAACTGTTTAATAAATATTTAATTGATTTATTTTTATAAATTAGAACATTTAATAAAATAATTTTATAAATTAAAATGATAAAAGATATGATTTTATAAGTTATAATTTTAATTTTGAATTTTAATTATTTTAGTTTCTATTAGCTATTTTAGTAATATTTAACTGTTACTATTTGAATAATTTTTCATAAAATATTAAAAACTAAATATTACATAAATTATCTTTTTATACAATAATATTTTAATCTCTTAAAACTAATTTAAAGAATATATTACCGATAACTGTAAATGTAAAAATTAACATTAAAAACTACTTAAGAGATAGTTTTATGCATTTGGCGTTTAATTAACCCTCTGGTATCAATCTTGAAATATACAATTTTTTTTTTTTTTTTTGCCATGTTATATACAGAGTCATGGGGATAGAAAAAGAACTGAAAAGGGCAAGCAATTGGAATTTTCTTTTTCCCTTTGGTTCCCCTAATCTTCAAGTGAAACTCAAGCAAAAGTTCTAATTCCCACTTCTTTTCTTTAAACTTGATCAAAATAGAAAGCAGAAAGATGTGACCAAATTAATACACAACATAAGAAAAAAAAAAAAAAAGCAGATAATAAATTTAAACTGGTCTAATTATGCTAATGGTTTGACTACATATTCTTCATGTTTTTTTCTTGCATCTGAATTATTTTGCCTGAAAATCCATCTCCAGCTCTTGAAACTTTTCCTGCTCCTTTTAATCCCTCTGTCACTAACTGTAATTCTACATGATCCTCCATTACTGAACATCCCATCTCCAACAAAACTCCCAAAACTGCCTCCACATTGTTCTTGAACTGCCACAAAATCACTATTGCCCTTCATGCTACCAAAAGCAGAGTTTGAATCTGATAGACCATCAAATTTCAAGTCGATGAAGCCTGAATCTTCCATAGTAGTGAAGTTTCCTTCTTTGAGTGAAAAAACTCTTCTAGTGTTAGTATTTGCTCCATTAAAACCAGAAAAATCAAGTTTTTGATCAGAATCTAATAACACACTGTCAAAGCCACTTTTTCTTGGCTCTGTTTCGCTGCTAAACCCACTTTTCCTTTCAGGATCAAAAATCAAACCATTATTAACACCAGAATTTCTTGCAGCAGAAATTGAACTTCTAGCACCTGAAATTGAACTCCGAGCACCTGAAAAGGTTCCATCCTCTGATCCAAAAAAGCCGCCGCCGCCACCTCTGAAACTGCAAAGAGACCTTGATCTAGAAACACCCATATAATCAACAACCCAAAGACTGTCACTCCTTTCTTCAAATCCACTTATACTATTTCTTTCATAACTACCCTTTTCTCTTTTCTTGCTAAATAGTTTTCCAATTCTCCAAAACCCACTTTTTCTTTTTATCTCGACACAGCTACTACTGCTTCTTTTAAGCAAGAAATTAACTTCTTCTGTTTTCTCTCCAATTTTGGGCTTGGAATTTGAAATTTCATTGTTCCTTTGATCATTTTCTATCAAGAATGAGATTCGACCAACACTGCCTACATCAACAGTGCAAGAATTACGATTGGAAGAGATCTCAGAGCAAGAACAAGAAGAAAGCCTTTGTTCTCCACAATCTGAGCAAACAAGATTCATTAAACGATCTTTGAGACAATATGCACAAATTCCAACTGAAGAAGATGATGGGTGTTTCTTGCATGGAAGATCAGATGAGGATGTGCTATAATCTTGAAAATACATGTCACTATTGCTGTTGTTGTTATAAATCTCCACTGCTTTGCCCCTCTCTTTCATTGCTTTTCTTGAATATTTCAAGAAACAGTCTCAAACGAATAAAGATCAAACAACAGAAACCCAAAAAAGATTGTTTTCTTGAAATTTTCAAGAAACAGAGAATCAAAGAAACAAGATTGAAAAACAGAGCATGTATACACAGATCAAAAGTTGCCTTCTATGGTAGCTTTAAGGGGTACAATTAATGAAAGAAAAGGAGGTGGCTGCGTGGAGAAGTAGAGTTTAACTTAAACAGCTAGAGAAAGAGACTACTCAGACGAAAGAATTTTGAAAGATGAGACTTTCAAGCAAAAAAGGTACAATGACAAGTTTTTTAGGGGATGGACTGATAGATTGACAGAGGCAGAGAGAGAGAGAGAGAGAGAGAGAGAGAGAGGCGTCACCTTTACGTTTTTTTGCTTCTGAAGAAGAGTGGGCAAAGTGTAGAAAAACTTATAAAAAGCAAAAAGAGTGATGAAGGGAAGCACTAGTTCCTGCAGCGGGTATAATTGTGTAGGGAAGTGAATCCAACAGCAAAATTGAGTAAAGCAGTGAACAAAATTCTCTTTTTACACTTAAATTTTGGTTGGCTACTGCTACTCTGCTTGCTCTTTCACTTTCTCCAGTACTAAATTGCAATACCACTACTGGCCAGTGGATTTGGTGGTCACGTAACATAATAAACCCAACTTGTAATTCAGAAAAAATAAATAAAATAGATTTTTCAGTTGAATTCGCTCAACAACTTAGACTCAAAGAGTATAAAAAACCTCTAATATTATAAGTTTGAAGGAGCAAATTGAGTTAAAAAGATCAATTTTGAACTTTTTCTCTTAGGATTATAAGTTCAGGGTGCAAATTGAACTTTACTCCTAATATATAATGACCTATAGATCAAAATTTTTCTATGAAATAAATTTATCAATAATAAAAAAAAAGTACAATATCTGCTAATCTTATAAGAAATGGGGTGGAATTTTGAGTAGTAAGTAAACAAATATATGTGGCTTGCTAATAAATTATTTTGGTTGTTTATACATGATTATTTATAAATTAATTGTTTATGCTAAACATAAAAAAAAAAAAAAAATTGAAACAAAGTTTAAGTTACCCTGAGTTTGTAAATGCTATATAATTTGCCACCAAATTTCAACTTACCTTCAAATGAACAAAAAAGTTCAATTTACAAAAAAATAAATAATAATTTTAGGATTTTAATTAATAAAATTATTACTACTATTAAAAGTAAAATTTATCATTTTATTAAAAAAATAAAAATATTAAAACTATTGTGAACAGATAAGCCTTTCCCTGATTTAGTGTAAAGTTAGAATTGTTATTATATAAAATGTTAATTTTCTGATAAAATGTCTGTTGAGCATTTGAACTATTAAATCTAATAGACGAACAAATTTTATTACTCTAAAAGTAATATTCCAAATTAGATTTTCTAAGTTTTCTCTCAACTCTCTCTATAATCCCATTTCCAATGAACTCTATGTGGGCTGTTAAGGATGATTCTTCACCGATAATAGCCATCTCTCCGCTTTTATTTACTTTTCTTTTCTTTATTTTCTTCTTTTTTTTTTTTTTTTTTTTTTTTTTTTTCTATAGTTTTTCTCTGCCCTTTAAGGCTCTATCCAGGGTTCATTCCCTCTTTTGTCCAATGTAAACCTCTTGTTTTGTGCAAATCTATGCATGGGGTATCCACTAGAGGAGTTCTTGTCTTGATATATTCATATGGAGTTCTTGTATCTCACTCCAAGATGCTACGAGGGTTTTATAACACCATAGAAGACTAGTGATTTGGAGAGTTTTTTTCCCCCTCCATCTGTCAACAAATTACTTGGACAATCTCTAATTCACTGCTGTCGAACTCAAATATGGAGTTCAAGAGTTTCTCTCAAAATCCAATCTTCAAATCCAACAATGGTGGCAGTGGTGGATATGATGACGTTTATGGATTTGAGATTTTCCTAATGGTTCTCTTTCCCTGAGTCTTTATTCTAAACTTAATTTCATCACGTTTATTTTATGCACCCCTTGAATTTATCTAGTGTTCCAAAAAAAAAAAAAAAAAAAAAAAATAAAAAAAACGTAAACTTTAAAGACGAGATTCACATCTAAAAAAAAAAAAAAAAAAAAAACTAAACTTTAAAAGACGAGATTCACATCTAAAAAAGTTTCACAAGCTGCATATATATCCTAAAAAAACAAAGTAGACACTTCGCACAAAATTAAAGAAAATTAAATAAAAGTCTTCAAATCATGTGGAATAAATCCATTATTCATCTATCTGGAGGTATGTAATTTGTTAAACGTTTTTCAGGGATTTTGCACTCTTGCGTATTGACTTTTCTCTACAAAAAGACATGAATTTGCCTCCCAAATCCCAATTGTTAGGTCTCTCTTTTTAATTACATTGGTGGATTTGTGAGAGTAATCCATTACTACTACAATTTTATAAAGGAACGCAAACCCAACCGAGACCAAGAAAATAAAATGTCAAACATGCATCAAACAGTCATATACTTCTCATCACGGGCTCTTGTGAGAAGAAGACACCTCTTATACTATGTCGTTTTCTTGTAGATATTGGGCACGTGTCCCACCGACATATCCATCTTGCATGGGTCCCAGTCCCATGTTGGAAAAATTTGACAGAAAGTATACTCATCGACAAGTATACTTTTCTTAGAGTAATTCTTTTGGAGAAAACGTAATTTAAATGTGTTTAGTATATAAATTAATTTATTATTTTAATGAATAAAATAAAAAATATATAATATAAATTTAAATATATTTAAATAATAAAATAAATTAGTAATTCATTGCGTTTAGTTAACAATTGCCAAGAAAATTATTTCTTATATAAAGAAAATAATCGCTAAAAACAAACTCTTTATATATTTTTCAGAAAGTTACACGTCATTAACCTATTTACTTCCAACTAAACACAGTCTAGTCTAAGGTTTGACTTTTCTAATGCAGTAGCATTATATAAATTGTAGGGTTCTGATAGGGTCGTCTGCATCGGCAATCATGTTGACGAGTAAGTATAAAAGTACCAACGTTTTTAAGGCATGCTCTCTATTTCAATTGAGACCCTCAAAGTCTCTAAAACTATAGAGGTGATGTCTACATGTGTCACTCCTTAAACGTGTCGTGAATGTAATAGATTTTTCATGTCTACCTTCCCTTCTGTCTTTTCTTTATATATTTTTTATTTCATTTTTATAAAAATATTTCAAAATTTATACATTTATTGAAATTTTTTCTTTTAAAAAAAAATCTTACACTAAATGTCAATAATTAAATCTTAACTATCAAAGTCACAATTAAACTCATCTTTATATGAATATAAAATAATATTCAATTTAATATAATATAGGCTTAAGTATTTAAAAAAAAGGCTAAATTTTTTGAGTTTTTTTTTTTAATTTGACTAATATTTTTAATTTTATCAATTACTGAATCATTAACGGTGCGAGTTCAAGCTTTATATATTTGTGTGTGTGAGAGAGAGAATTAAACGATAACGAAAGGGATTAGAGCCATTTTTGCATAGAGCTCAATCATTAATTAAAAGAAAAAAAAAGGAAAATTTAAATAGAATTCTTGGATTCTAGGAAAGAAAAAAAAGAGGAGTTAAGTGAAAACAAACAACAGCATAAAATAGGAAGAAGCACGTTGCTAGTGAAACATAATGGTGAGGGTTGCACGCGCCCCACGCATGCATTATATCATTGGGGCACATAAACAACTGTTTTTAAGGAATGTTTTTTGTCTAATTTAATCCATTTTTAAAATGCTCATAATCATCATTATGTTCCGTTTGTCTTTGCTCACTAATTATTTTGTTGTTTACCAATTGATCATTATATATATATATATATGTCCAAATATATTAAGGTTTTCATGATCTATACCTAAAGTCTTTTACCAAGCAACATTTTTAAAATTTTTTTTTTTTCAATCTCATCAAATTAATTTCTACATTGCATATAGTTATTTCATTCTCTAATAGTTTAAAAAAAATTTAATCCTACAAATTAAGGTTGTGTTCGACAATAGCTTCAGGTTTAATTAAAAAGTCAAACACTATTTTTTTATGGTGTTCAATAATGTATCGTTTGAACGTAGCATTTTAAAAAAGATTAATTCCTTATAATGTTTAACTTTTGGTATTTTATAAAAAACTAATTAAACGGTTAACAGCTACCAAAATAACTAATTTTGCCGAATAAATCTTAAGAAATTTATATAGAAAAAACAACTAATACTATAATACATTTATGCGACTATTAAGTTATTAGGTCAATAAGATATATATTTTTTGTATATAGTCATTTTTTTAATTACATCACGTGATAGTCACATTTACTTGAAATTAATTCATGTTTCAGAGTTGTATTTAATTTAAAAACATTCCTAATAATATTGAGTTTGGGTTTTCGACTCTTAATTTTAGAGATAAAATTTATCTGGAAATAGAGTATATTCCAATTTTTTTTTTTAAATAAAAAAATTAAAATGAATGAATTATATAAAAATTTTAACTCTTAACTTTATGAAGTGCTAACCATATCCAATAATTTGTTAGAGACAAATGGGTTTATGATTGAGCACAATTTGGTTTGACAACATATATATTTGCTGTCCAATTGTATTTAGGGGACCCCATCATAAGCTTAAAAGGGTATATGTTAGTGATATTGCATGGCTAGGCAAACAATTTAGACATTTAAAATTAAATATTAATTTTTATTTTTATTTTTTTTCTAGTTTTGTAATTTAAGGTTGAGTAACAATTATTAGTTTGCATATCTTATCTTTTTTCGACAAAGCCCACTTAATTTCCTTTTGGTGTAAGCCATTATTATTCTTAACATGACTATTAAGCTTGCTGTCTATATGGGAAAATGATACTTCATGAGTAATTTTTCAATGAAGCTAAATTTTGGAGCAACATAATTCTAACACCCAAAGATGATCATTAGTTCAAGATATTGTCATTAACTTTACTTCATCAATCAACTCTCATGTTCTATTTTTCTTAATTACTTCTAATTCACATGTAATTTTCATATTGAAATTGAGGAAATAAAATATATTTGCACTTAAAGAACATAAATTTAATTATAACATATATTCATTGGCATGTTTACATTTGATAAAGAAAGAATATATGTCTTTAATAATGTCGTTAAATTTAATATAAATTAATATATTAATTCACTGAAAAATATTTTTATATTTTTAATTAGAATGAAAAAAAAATCATCTACAATTGTGCACACAATTTTAATATTAGTGTACCAACCAAAGCTCATAATTAATATGAAGATGCTTAAAAAGTTGATAGGCTACAAGAAGAGAAAATAATAGTCAAAAAGAAAAGCTCGTAGTGACGGCTGTAGAGGGCCTAATGAGCGGCTGGAAAACCTTGCTTTGAGGAAATTCAAGCGCTTTTGTCTGGTGGGCCGCCCGCCCACTTTTGCCATTTGGCCCGCCATACACCATCCTCCATCAAATTTAGCTCTTTCTCAAAACTTTTGTTAAATGCTCCCTTTGCCTCTTGTTAAATACTCCCTTTGTCTCAAAATATAAACCATTTACTGAATCAGGTAAGAGACAATCGAGAAAACTAAAACATCTTAGTAACTAAAGAAAAAGAAAGTAAAAGGGATTCCTATAGTAGCAGTGAGCGAAATGAGAGGAGCCTAAACCGTGAAAACTGGATTGTAGGAAAGCAATACAAGCATCATGCTGCTAGGCGAAGTGGCAGAGTGCTATGCCCTGGATGGCAAGAGTCCAGTAGCCAGAAGCATCACTAGCTTACGCTTTGACACGAGTAGCATGAGGCACGTGGAATCCTATGTGAATCAATAAAGACCATCTTGCAAGGCTAAATACTCCTGGGTGTTTCAAAATATAAGTCATTTTGAGTATTTCAATGAGTAATGAATGATATTTTTTCAATGTTACCCTTATTCACATTAGATACAATAATTACCTTCACAAGTTATCTTTGGTTCTGAGATAAAAGGTACTTTAGTCAAACTATCGTACGTTTTGTTATAATTTAAGAAAATTGATTGCTTTCTTTAATTTTATATAAAAAATTTAAATGACTTATATTTTGAGACATATGGAGTACTTTATAAGAACATCAACAACCAAATTCTAATTAATATGGAATTTACTATATGAATCTTTTGTTTTTATTTATAATTGAATCCGTCTTAGTATCAAAAAGTTAGCACGATGATAAATTTAGAAAAAAGAATTTTTGAGATCAACGTATGTAAATATAGAGAGTTTATTTTGAATTTTAACAGGACCAAATAAGGAAAAAAATATTTAAAACTAAAGGAAATTGAGGGGGAAAAAAAGAAGGTAAATTGACCCTCTTTGGCTTTTAAATTGCATAGATCCACTATTTTTTTTTTTTTTGACGAAATGCATAGATCCACTATTGAAGAAATAGATATTTTAAGACATTTCTTCTCCACGTGATTCTAGGTTTTACTTTTTTTTCCCGGTTTAGGACATTCGAATATTGATATTTTTCTTCTTTTTATATGTAGGAAAAATGATAAAAATGATTGAAAGATTTTAAAGTTGTGTTCGACGATGACTTTTATGTAACAAGATGCTAAACGCTATTTTTTATAGTGTTCATTACCGTAGCATTTGAACTAGATTTTAAAGGTTAGAGGTTAAAGGTAACGTTTTGTGAAAAGTTAACTTATGTAACGTTTAACTTTCAAATATTTCATGAAAAACTACTCAAACAGTCAGTAACTAAACGCTATTAAAATAGTTAACAGATATCAAAATAACTAATTTTGCCAAACATACCATAAATTAATAATACAACAAATTTAAACCTTAAGACTTAGATGTTTGGATCACTTCCAAATCATCGTTTGGATAAATGTAGAAATTTTTTAGGCAATATTAGAGATTGATTAGTTTAAAATAATAATATAATGAAATAAATTTGTAGCATTGTTCTATAAAATTTTATTCTACCACCATGCATGGATTTGTTCATTCATGTGCCATAAAATACCAAGCTTAAACTATCATCAGTTTTTAAAATTGCCATTGTTGCTTGTCGTTTCAAATGGGAGGCCAATGAAAAATAAAAGTTGAAAAGGGCTGAATTTTTTATGATCATGAATTTTATGCAAATTTTTTTTTAAAGCAAAATGAAACTTGTTTCATTAATTATTATAATAGGGCAACAAACAGTATGAAACACTATTCCATACTTGAAAACGAGCATAGAAATAGGATGCTCAAACATCTATATTCGCTTGTCTCTTAATCCATCTAACAACCACATTTGGTGTAGAGACTAATAAAGTTCTATAATCATTCAAAATTAAACCGAATTTAGAGTCATCTAATCTATTTGAAACCAAAGAAAAAAAAAAATGAGAGTTTGACAATTAATAAATACACATCCAAGAGAAAGTTCTACAATCATTCAAAAGTATACCGAATTCAGAGTCATCTAAATTATTGGAAATCAAAGAAAAAATAAGCAATCACTCTATTCCAATCAACATCGGTAATTATGTTAACTTTATAAAGAACTATTAGTAGTAATTTCATAAATTAATATTTTATGTCATTATTTTCTTTATAACTATTTAAAAATTAGAAATAAATTATAAGAAATATTTAATTAATATTTTTTTTATTTATATGATGTACTAAAATAAAAATAACAAATTGGGCCTTTGATCTACACTTCTACTTCTATTTGATAATACAATAAAACGTCCCAATAACCATTTGCGCAAAACACATGGGCACAGGTTAACAAGCCCAGTCCAAAGCCCAGAGTCATGTATCCATCCACAACTCTTTCTCGCGCTCTCAGATTATCTTTATCTTCCTTCCTCCATTTGATCCTCCATTAATGAAAAATGAATCTCCACATAATCCATCAGTATCAACCCCTGTTTTTCCATATTTCCCCAGTTGCCCCTCCTCATGACATCTCCAGTGGACTCAAATCCCCTTTCACAAAATTTACGTCTCTTTCTTCCTCAAATATCTTGCCAATTTCTACCTTTGGACCCGCCAGCTTCAAAATTTCTTGTGTTTCGAAAGCTGAAGCTTCGTTTTTCAATCGTAAAAAACAAAAACGAGAAGATGATGATGCAATCAATGCAACAGAATTCGAGGACTTGGCCCAAGACGGTGTTGTTTACCAGAATACACTGAGATTGGTAGAGTGCTCCATGTTTGCTGCTGTAACTGGGCTCGTGTATTTCTTGAGCAATTCCCTCTCAATTGAGGTTCGATTTTGATTTATTGGACTCCAATTGATATTGGGTATTTGGTTTTTTCTTTTGGTAAAGCGGGTTGCTTGATTTGATTATAGACTCTTGAATTTGGTCCTTCATTTATAATCTTTTAAGTTCTTAAAATTCTGGATTGTGAAAATTGATGAATGGAGATTTTTTTTTTTTTATTGGTGTTTATACTTTACGCATTCCATTCTGTTAGTAATTGTAATAAAATTATGCATTTTCTGTACTGTCTCTCTTTGGTTGGGAGTTAGTTGTGTGCAATGGTGTCACTGCCCTTGCGGGTCCTTAATACGTTTTTTTATGCTTATTTTATCCAGAAAGTGAAGAAGAAGGAAATAGATTTTTGATATTTGATTTGGGATTTCTCTTTTTTGAAGTTTCATAAACTGTTTCTTTGCATTGTGCTATACTTGTATCTTAGAAGGGGTTGCTTTTGGACAGAATTACTTTGGATGCTTTTTTTCATTACCAATAGTAATATCTTCAATGAGATGGGGCGTTGCAGCTGGGAGAAAAACAATGGTTTGTAACCTTCTATGGTTTGCATTTTTCAAATCTAAACCTTGTTGATTCTCATAATTATTGCATTATTGTTGGACTGATGTTGCAGTGTGGCAGGTGGCAACGGCTATGCTTCTATTTGTCTTATCTGGTCCCTTAAAAGCTTTAACATATCTGGTGAGAGAACTTTTTATGAAGTGTTGATTGTGTTTTGATTGATGTTCATGTGTGGTGATCTAGTTGTAACATTAAATGTTGTGGCATGTCCTAGAACTTGGCCAGATATTAGTAGCTTTCAATTTGAACTAAATCCTACTGTTTTAGGACCATACTTTGAAATTGCAGTGGTCTTCATGTGTCTTAGAAATGGGGCTGTCTCTAACATTGCATATCTGCAACATCACAGATGTGGTTGCAGCTATCACAGCACAATATATTTTGTTTTTCAAATTTTGCCTAAAATACATAGATTTAACTAAAGATTTAGGAACGCTAAGTGTAAAATGGATTAATAAGAATGAAAGTATAATTGTATTTATTATCTATCAATCAAGTTGAAAGCAAAACCAAGTAAATAGTAAAGAAATTTCAAATCTTGTCATAGAACCACACAAAAGGTATCATAAAGAAGAAGGCTAAAAACGTTATGATTTTTTAACTTATATTTTGGGAGTCCTTTATTCTTTTCATTTCCATTTTAATGAAGTTTTGTGCGCCAGTGTTTCATCTTAGCAAGCACAATCAAATGTTGATCTTTAAAGTTGCAAGAGATTTGGGTTGTTTAGCATAAAATAGGAGCGAGAAACTTAAAAGACCTTTGATTTTCGTTGGATAATGGGGGAGGGGAAGGTGACTACATGATTAAGTAATGGGCTTTAACTCTAATTGTTTGCTACCTCTGTTAAATAACAGGAAAGATAAAACCCATTAAGTAATGGTTGTTACTTTACATAACGTCATTATTTGATTATCCATGGTTAGTGGAATGAACGAAAGAAGTAAAGTTTCATACTCTTGACTTAGTTAAAATTTGGATTCCAATCATAATAACAATGACAAGGCATTAGTTTATGAGCATATTAAATAAGTTTGCAGAAGTGTACTTGAAGTTATATTTGTTGAAACCTCAAGATGATTTGTGAACTACCTTAATACGCCTGCCTTTCTATTAATTCATAATTTAGTCGTTCTCTGCAAATAGCTGACAATGTTTGTGTTTGTGCTTCCTTTTTTCAGCTAACACATGGAATACTTGGTTTCACAATGGCTTCATTGTGGAGGTACTTGTCATTGCTTTATAATTTCTACTTGTTTTTGCTTATCTATCGAATATCTCAATTTTATCTAATATTTAAGTGACAATAATATATTAAAAAAATATCACATAATGTTTATTCCTGAAATAATTTTGTCATAATTTCATTCCTTCAACTGTTGACAGTTTAACACATTGATTTGTACTTTCCTTATCTGAAAACTAATTTTCAAATTCTCATTAGCATCGGGCTAACTGGATTTGGTAAAAGTTACATTCTTTAGTGATCCATTGTCATATGAGTTTAATTAGTGGCTTTGCCATTATGATACCAAAAATGAGCTTTCAGCTACTCTTATGACATATAATTAATAATTATATTTAAAGCAAACCCTATCTAGAGAACAAAAACATGAGACCATTTTATTTTAAATTAATCAGTCACAGTAATACTTGGTGGATTTTTTTGTTTTTGAATCTTTTCAGGTTGAGAGCAGATTGGGGTCTTTCGATATTTTTGTGCACAATTGTAGTGTTTGCTCCCTTTGGCCTTAGACTTCCAATTTTCTTGTTTTCAAAATTTGCATTTATCGACACATTCTTAAAATGCAGGCTCGATCAATTGGTGCCATGGGCTATTTATTTACATCTTCATTCTTAATAAGAGAAAACATACTTACTTTGGTAAATGTCTACTTCTGACTCCTTGATTTTCCTTTACTCTGCGTCACTGCATCAGCAGTTTGGTTATGAAGTTCTTTAATTTTCTTGCAGATTACCATAAACATTCATGCTTCTCTGACATTAATATTTACTGCCATTGGTGTCAATGTGATTCCGTCAATGGAAGTGATATATGCTATATTTGGGATTCTGGTAACTTTAGCTATCCCTTCTCTCCGTGATTTCCTTCTCGTTCTTTTTAAAATAATTATGACAATATATTTTCTAATCGCCAAACAGGTATTGCTAAATAGTGGATTCTTTGTTTTTTTGCTACACCTTTTATATTCTGTGTTCCTCACACGGCTTGGGATGAAAGATTCATTGAGATTGCCAAGATGGCTTGAGAAGGCCTTATAAATTGTAAGTCATTCACATGTACATGGTATCATATTCCTGGCAACACACAAGTCAAGAGTGTTGCCTCACCTAGATATATCTATACTAGTTTTAGGGCTTAGTTGAGTTCAATTGCCACAAACAGAAATTCTTGAAGTTAAGAAGGGTGACCTCTTATACTGCAACACAAACAGACAATCATACGCTACCAGCATAGTAGCTAATTTCAGTTTTTTCATTAAACCCTAGTGGAACACTTGGATAACAAGCTAGATTGTATTGAGCAGAGTTCAATGCCTTTTGTTATGTATTTAAATTTATCTGTTGTTATTAAGTTCGAATATACTTGATAAATTGAACTCCTGAAGTTGTACTAAGCTCAGTAAAAGCGTATAATGGACTATTCTTTTAATTGGTCATTTGATTCATTTATCTAGTTTTGAGAGAGACGTTCCAATTTCATAAAGTTTGAAGCAGGATTTCCTGGAATCTTTTTTTCTTGGTTAATCTCCTTTATCATCATTTATTGAGCTCTGTGACATGTTAGTGTTTCCTTTTGTTTTTTTTTTTTTTTTTTTTTTTTTTTAGATGGCACCATCTTCTTTTAATTTGGTCATAATTTGATTCATTTATCTTAGTTTTGAGAGAGACGTGTTCCAATTATTCGAATAAAGTTTTATCATGCATTTCCACGATGGAATCTTTTTTTCTTGGTTAATCTCCTTTATCTCATTTATTGAGCTCTGTGAACATGTTAGTGTTTTCCTTTTGTTTTTTTTTTTTTCTTTTTTACTTTTTTCGAAAAAATTTCACAACCGGAATTTTAATAATCTTATCGATATATCTTCGTAATTTCTACCCCATTGCATAGTGCATTATATACATAATTCACAATTTACGCTTTCTCTAACCAATATCAGACTTATGATTAATATTTTTTAGCAAGTTTGGAAACCCGCTTGAAAGCTTCCGCCAAAACCAATTTTAGTTTCAAACACAGTTTAACGAACTAAATAATGTACATATCTAGGCCTAACAAAGAAGCATTAAATTACCCTGATTATTCAATGGTGAACAAGCTGCCATTTACTAATTATATTCCAAAGGCCCATTTACTAAGCAAAGGTCCTATCATAAACTCTATAATACTCTCTTATCACAATCAACAGATTAAGTATAAAAAGAGGCTCAAGCTCCATCTTTATAAAAAACTCAACAAAATTATAGACCAATAAACTATTGGACGGTTTTGCATCCCTCCAGCTACTCTTTATGTTGATTTTAAATAAAATAATTGTAGTAACATCAATGGTTGGAACCAGATGTGTTGCCTCTGAAAATCACAACGTATAACATATACCCACAATCATCATTAGATTTTTTTTTTTTTTTTTTTTTTTTTTTTTTTCAAATTTCACAACCGGATTTATATATGATATTTTGTATTTCTCCAATTGCATAGTGCATATATACATAATCACATTTCGCTTCTCGTACATTCAGATATGATTAAATATTTTTAGCAAGTTGGAACCCCGCTGAAGCTTCCCAAAACAATTTTAGTTTCAACACCATTTAACGAATAAAAATGTACTTTAGCCTAACAAAAGCATTAAAATTACCCTGATATCAATGGTGAAAGCTGCCATTACTAATTATATCCAAGGCCCATTACTAGCAAGCCTCTAAACTCTATAAACTCTCTCTCACATCAACTGTGTATAAAAAGCTCAAGCTCCCATCTTTAAAACTTCAAAAATATAGCAATAACTATATGACGGTTTGCATCCCTCCAGCCTACTCTTTTGTGATTTTAAATAAATAATGTATAACATCAATGGTTGAACCAGATTGTGTGCCCTGAATCCAGTTACAACCCCATCATCATTGTTAACCAAAAAAGATACAACTACCAAATCATCAATTTTGCTGCATTGCTCCTAACCCAGCTGAATCGTAATTGGGCAAACAGATTTCGCGTCCATCAAAAGCAGTCAACCACTGAAATATAGCATTGAATATTAATAATTATAGAATTTTGAGAAGTTATAAAGAAAATTTCAACAACCATAGTTAATGAGGCTGTACCTAAAAATAAGAATCTGCATTTTCAAGCTTCTTTCCTAGTTATCCTGTCAATTTAGAGAGAGAAAACGAGTCAGTAAGCAAGGTCCTGTCTTTTGTAGGAATGCAAGAGGAAAATCAACCCTTACTTCTCAATGGTAAATAAACACGATTCAGAATTTAGATTTTGACTAAAAGAACCATGTTTAGTACATCCCAACGAAGCAAATTCTCACCTGAAACAATTAATGCCCAAGGCCGTTGTGATTTCATGAATGACTGACGTAGCAAAATGTAAATATAGTCCCACTGAGGTGGAAAAAAAAATTCTTTAGCATAAAATATAAGAATATCACAGAATATCACAAAAGAGAATAAAATTACATCTATATCTCAAAAACTATATCATTTCAAAGGATTTTCATTAGCAAATCGAATTTACTTCATATTCTCAATAGAAATAAATTCATGTAACATGCCTGTGAATAAACAGTAACCAAGAAGGACCCAGAACTCATCTACCAAAGGAACTCTGCAACCAAAAAGGTATAATTACTCTATGACAGCCAATTATTAAAAGAAATGTCTATTGTTACAAATCAGCAGCTACAATCAAACTACCACATACCCATCATTCAGTCTGGCTGTGAGTGCATTTGCGATGGCAAATGGTAGATATAATAGAGACTGCAGCAATTAAAAAACAAAGAATTCAGTTGTCTGATTCACCCAGTAATTAACTGAATATATGTTGTAGATATAAAAAAGGCTGCGGAAACTAAAACAAACCCACAGCAATACCCCGTTTGCAATTGAATGGAATTTTACAAGCATACATAAATATTTCATTGAAAGCAATCCTGCACTTTTTTATTACAGAATAGTCTGAACAAAGTATTTATGCATGACTTTCAAACTCGCACCAACTTTTAATGCACATAAACCACCTTTTATATTAAATGGTTTTCAGCATAGATAGTAGAGAATCCAAAGCTACATACCATGCACATATTAGTTTTCAATCCCTTTGGTTCATCACACAAGTGGGCGAGAATCATCCTTCCCTGTCAAAAGAAACTCTCCTCAGAAACAATATATGAAGGTTAATTGTCCACTGCAGTTCGTTGAATTTAGAAAAGAATTCTAAAAAAATTATTATTGTAAATGCCAGAGATTAGATGCCTCTTTTAAGCACCTGATCCTTCATCAAAGTAAATTTGTGTACGATTTGGCACTACAATATCTTACAAACCAAAAAGTGGCAAATATTTTACCAGATCCATGCCCACCTTAAATATTAAGCTTAAAGTTAAATGCTATTCTAACCTGAGATAAACCTGGAAATCATAGCATCAGGCGGGACATAACAAGTAATCTAAATGTCTTCGAATCACTATTTTAAATTGAAACAATGCAAAAATAACCCAAAAATTAATTGCAATAAAGCTGAGTGACCTAACTCATGAACAAAATTTCCAAACCCATTAGATGATGACATATACAACAACCACTATACAGCATTTGGAGATTATCGCTGTCATATATATATATGTATACCGAGCTATTAAAATTTTGAAAAAAAAAAAAAATAAAAAAAAAAAGAGCCATGTCTTACCACAAGAAACCCAAAAGCAAGTCCAGTTCCCAGTATAACAAAATGAGGGTACTTCCCCATTATATCAGACGGAGACAAATAATCCCTGCATAAGATGTAGGATCCTCAATAAAGACCAATATGAACCTCAAGAAATGACATTATGCAAGATAATGTTTCAGGTTAAGTCATACCATACCAAGACGCCTCCTATAAGCACTACAAAAGGGTAAAGCTGACAAGAAGAACCAAGAATAAGGCATCTATCAAGCATAATTATAATCAAGAAATGCATGTTCCAGAATTTACAGATTTACCATGGCTAATGCCAGTAACATGCTGCCTTTTCTTGACTGTACAACCTTGTAGACATTGGACACGCTGCAGAAAAAGGTCATATTGCAGAAAAGCACCAACATTACATAAAGGAATTCGAGCAGACCTTTAATCTAACAGCAATCATTATAGTGGTATATATAACATAATACGACCTTTAATGAACCCGATGTGAAAAATTTCATGCTAAACATTTGGGCATGTAGCATTGTAGTTTAAATTCAAGCCAATATGGAAACAGCAAAAGCCACAACACCCATCACCCCATTGGATAGAGGAGTAGAAAATAAAAAAGAAAGCAATAAAACAAGGGACAAGTAGCAATAAACAATTTCAGGAGAACGAGCCTAGAAGTGGCCAGATGAGAACAAAAAACATCATGTTTATGATTGTCAAAGTAAATTAATATAAATTAGACATGCAAAAATGACATGAAATTTTCAGTCACTTAAGAAATGCTTAAATGCTTACTTGAATGAAATGGTTGGTATAACACCAAAAGCTATCATGAAGAATAGCACAGCTCTGTAAGTTGGGATTTCTGAAGTAAAAAATAAAAGAGTCAGTCAAATTACGAACATAAGACAGCTGCATATAGAAAAATAATTACATAAAACAAGTAAAAAGTTAACAAGGAAGTACTAATTGACATTTTAGTGCTAAGTTGAGCAATAAGGATAGAGATGAATCGATAACCAGATAGCAGTGATTGTTGTAATAATGCATTATTCCAAAAGCAATCAATAGAAAACTTAAAAAATCAGTACAACAGAGCATTTTAGTGCAAGAATTCCAGCAACTTAATGGCATCTGACTTCAAATCCTTAACCGATGGAAATGAAAATATTCCAGATGGGGCTGTAGAAAATCCAATATACCATGAAGAATGTCCAGAAATGACATATAATGTGAAACGTTGCATGCGTATAAAAAAATAAGGATTCATAGGAGAAACTCTTCCTCCAGAATACATTGTATCATTACCATAAATCATAACTAAATGTTGCATGGTATTTCATTCTCATAGAGACTCTACCAAGAAAAACTAAAACAGCATTTCAGCAACTTGGGTATGTCTTTGTGCAGAGCTTGATTAAACTAAACTTTAGTCATCCTAATTGAGAGTGTGTAGTGGAAAAAATAAAGTAGAAGGTGAAGCGATCAATTGGAAAAAATTATAAATGTGCACAAATCACTTATGCTATCATTATCAACTAAAGAAACATGCATAAAAGATGATAAAAATAAGGATAGCATACATCACCATCATTCAAAAAAAAAAAAAAAAGAATAGAAAAGAAAACACACATAAAATGTAAATGCATTTTACATTCCAAATATCACAGAATTTTCAAAAATGAGCACATGAAAATCACATTCCTAGGTTTAAGGACATTATACGACAAAAACACAACAAAAAAACTCCAGCTTAAGGCATCTAACATATTTTACTTCAAAGATATAATGGTCGATCAGAATTTTCATGGAAGTTGTAAAGCATGTTTCTACAAGAGGAAGGGCCAGAGGTGAGTTGAGGGGTTAGTGGAGAGAGGAGAAGCACACAGTACATCATTACATGAATTACAGAAGATGCCAAGAAATCCATAATTCTTACCACTAACAATTGGCACCCAACTTAGAAAGGGTAAAGACTTTCCGAAGTGATGAATCCACCACTCAGCGCCTTAAGATGAAAACAACTTAAGTTATAAGTAAACAGAAAGAAGATAGAGGAAAACAGAAGAGATAGGTAATAATATGATGTGATCAAGAAACTTATAAAGGTACATTTACGAATAATTTTAAGCACAACAAAGGGAGTAGAAAGACTATACCAACTATTGCTGTGAAAAAATGCGCCACATATATAATCATCAAGCCCTCTGTAGGTCCATTAATTGCAGGAAGGATAAGAGTATTTGTGAAAAAGCTAGATCAAAGGAAATAAAGTGCAAGTTACCAATAACACATCCAAAAGTTACAGCAATGACAACTTGGGCTAAACAAAAACAAATGACAGAGAGAAATGAAATGAAACCTATCTAGTACCATACTCTTGCATTCAATTCATTAAAAATAAAGAATGAAATTTTTAAACCACTTACTGTTCCCATGTTGCACCATAAAATGGAACGGCTGAAATAACCCAAAACCAGAAGGTGTCTCTTCCACACATGGCAGTACTACCAAAAGCCATGCTTTCAAACTGGGAATAACCAATAACAAGATGTTAAAAAAAACTACACTTGCTAGAATCAATAACCAATGATGGAAAATACATACTGCACATGCAAGCGCATCACATCCTGCAATAGATTGGAATAGCAAAAAAAAAATATTTCAGCAACGCTTGGTAATATTAAATATTAAAAAAAAAGGAAAATCATTTAATAATAAAAGAAAAATCACCATGGTCAAAAAGTTCTCCTAATGGACTTGATGAGTTTGTCCGCCGTGCTTGCTTCCCGTCAACAGCATCAAAAGTCTGAAATTGTTGAGAGGTCAGTAAAAGCCATAACAGAAACTCAGTATGTCTTCTACAAACGAAAGTATAACACAAATTATTATTAATTCAGGAGGCAAATGAGAATCAGATTCACCTGATATAAAAATAGAAGTAATCCATGTGCAAAATGAACCCATCTTGGTGGTGCTGTATCCAATTGAGGTGAATATAACTGGGATCCAAATGTAAATTAGAAACTATAAAAAAGAAAAACTTAAATCAAACAACTAGTTTTCTACAAAATTTACAACAAAGAAAATCCTGCTTACATAGCCAAGCAGTGCAGATGTAACTAAGAACATGAATCCTGTAAGAGTGATCTAAAAGACCCAAAGCAGAAAAGGTTAGCAAACAATAGCAAAAAAATTTCATTAGACAAGTGAATGCCACAAATCAAAGTACAATGAGCATATTATCTCACCATGTTTGGTCTGTATAAGATCCGGAGACAAATATGCAAAAAGGGGAAAAAAAAAAAGACAAGATTAGAATATTAACAAATAAGAACAAATCTTTCTCTAAGAAGAATCTAACGTGAAGCATAAGCATGGATAAACTGTAAAAAGTCCCAAAACCTTCCATGCACATTCAAATCATGAAATATTCTTAGAGAAATGAACAAGATATCTTATTATAATGCGTGTTTAAGAAGTATCAAAGTTAGGCGCATAAGCCAAAGTTTATGTAGGTGGACCATCACAAATAAAAGCTAAACATGACAAACCTTGTTATGCCAGACATATAACAACCAGGGATACCAAGAAGCATAAAAAATAAAAAAATAAAAAAAGAAAAAAGAAAAAAGAAAAAAAGACAAATAATGAGGGCCAACTGGTGCATAGTTTAAATAGGGTCAATTAGCATGCAGCTTTAGCACCAAATTCTCAATTTAGTTCAACAGTGAGAAACTGGGTTATGACCATGTGTTTCATCAACAAAGCATTCACATAGTAAATTTCAAAGCTTATTACACTACACAATATTAAGTAGGAGCACTTCCAAAACATTTGTGGATACATCAATAAAAGCTCAAAGACAAAATCAACCTTAATTCCTCATTCCAGTCCCCAATTCAAAAATCCACATAGTTAACTCCAGAATTAAACCATTTGAGACTGAAATCAATACCCATTATCAATACTCATTTTCCTCTATTCACCAGCTTAACCTATGCTAGAAAGAACTTACATTTGAATCCAACATCAACTGGTGAACATTGAAAGAGGTCCACTTCAATAAATTAAATCAACCCAACCAAATAAACAATGCAGAAAATATGAAAATAGTACTAAAAAATCCAAAAACATAAAGAATGTACTCACGGCATCCAAAGAGGAAAGAAGTTAACAAATCGGCTCCAAAAGGGTTGCAACACATATTTAGCAACATAAGAGTGATCAACTCCACTGTACTTATATCTATGAAGTGCTGCTACTCCATGAGACCCTATATACCCCATTCCTCTGCAAAAGAAAAATCATTATGAAAAAAAAAAGAAGAAGAAAATAATCAGAAATATTGCGTCGAAAACCTGATGAAGCGTCACTACAACCTGAACCAAAATCAAGAATTAAAAATGATAACATATTTAACAGATTTCAAGAAACTGGCGAAAGGCAATAAATGGAGAAGCGCTAACCTTGATTTGCTACTAAGAGCAATGACTATGAAATTGGATTGACAAAAAGCACAGATCTAACGAGCAAATAAAAAGATTTCTGAACGAAAATCAAATTGAGGATTGAAAAAGAAGCCTAAACCGGTTAGAATGAATAGATCCAGAGGAATCTGGGGAAATTTTTTTTTTTTTTTTCCTTTTCAAGAATGAAACTTTTGGCACGAACGGGCAAAAGAGGAAAAAGGCAAAGAGATTTTATTTATCTCCCGCCCTAAAGCAAGGAGTATTAGGTTCTCTCACAAATAAAATGGGAAGAAATTTGATGCTTGCTCTCTTTGACGTCTCTTTTTCCTCTCCTCTCCACGGGGTCGTTTTAGAGCACAGATAAATATTCCATGGGTCCCAAAATTACAGTCCAACTTATTCTTCACACAATTAAAAATAAATATTTATGATTATAACTTTATAAATTTTTGGCTTAGCTAGTTTCGACAATTTTGAATAGACAAGTTTGAGCCGTGACGATCAATCCATTGAATGTTCTTTATTACTGAACTACTCTACTTAGATTATTATTATTATTAAAACTTGTTTTCAAAATATTTGTTACGTCGTAATTTAATATGTAATATAATTATGTTATTAAGTATATTTAATTTTATTAATTAGTTTTTTTTAAATAGTTAGTATCTTATTTGAATTATGTATTATTTATTTCAGGATGTGAATTCATATCCTAATCTGGTCCAATCCAATCCGCTTATAACATATGAGTTTAGGCATTCGTTGGATTGAATTAGGTTAACAAGGTTAAGTACTTTAAACCAAGTAACTCAACCCGATACAATCTACTTGCAGCCCTAGTATTCAAGGCTCAAAATTAGCTCGACTTAATAGTTTTAACTTGATCGATTTTAAAATTCACTCAAAATGGTTTTAAGTCAATTTGAACCCTTAAGCAATAAATATATTACCTCCGTTCTATAATATTTATCACATTTAAAAAAATAGTTTGTTCTAAAATACTTTTCACATTTATGGTTTTGAATAGTAATAAATATTTTTTTCATGTTTACCCTTTGTATATAACCAATAATTATTACTTCAATTTAATGATTTTTTAAGAGAAGTAATATTAAATTAAGGGTAATATAGTCAATTGGGAAGAAATTTGATTTGCTTGCTCTCTTTGACGTTTTCTTTTTCCTCTCCTCTCCACGGGGTCGTTTTAGAGCACAGATAAATATGTGTACCGATGGAGCATGGTCTCCACAATATTACAGGGATCTCGAAACCTCTATTCTTCACCACAATTAAAAATAATATTTATGATTATATACTTTATAAATTTTTTGGCTAGTCTAGTTTCGACAATTTGAAATTAAGGACAGTTTGAGCCGTGGACGATCAATCCATTGGAATGTTCTTATTACTGAACTATCTACTTAGATTATTTATTATTTATCAAAACTTGTTTTTCAAAATAATTTCATTTACGTCGTAATTTAATACTGTTAAATCATAATGTATTGTTATTTAAGTATCATTACATATTTATTAAATAGTTTTTTTTGTAATTAGTTAGTATCTTATTTGAAATAGATGCTAATTATTAATATTCAGCGGATGTGAATTCATAATCGCCTTAATCTGGTCACAATTCCAAATCCGCTTAAAACATATTGAGTTTTTAGGGGCATTCGTGTGTAAATGGGGACATTTAATAGGTTAAATCAAGGTGTTAAGTACGCTTTAAGAAGATGAGACACTAACCCCAGAAACAGAGATACTACTTGCAAGCCCTAGTCAGTTTTCAAGGGCCCTCAAAATTAGCTCGACTTCAAATCTGTCTTAACTTTGATCGTATTTTTAATAAAAAATTGGTGACTCCAAAATGGTTTAAAGTCTAATTTTGGAAGCCCTTAAGCAATATAAATAATATGTACCTCCGTTCTATGAATATTTTTATCACATTTATAAAAAAAATAGGTTTTGTTCGTAATAATACTTTTCACATTTATGGTTGAGGTTTTGAATATAATAAATATTTTTTTCATGTTTCCCTTTGTATAAATAACCGAATAAGCTTCATTATACCTTCAATTTAATGATTTTTTTTAAGAGAGAAGTAATAATATAATTTAAAGGAGTTCAAAATATAGTAGCAATTTCTTGGTATATAACCAATAATTATTACTTCAATTTAATGATTTTTTAAGAGAAGTAATATTAAATTAAGGGTAATATAGTCAATTTACTCAATAATTTATTGTAACTTACACAAATTTTATAATTTTCTTTAAAAAATATAAAATTTCAAAATTTTTTATCATTAAGACTTGTTATATAATACTAGGGGGTCCATTGAAAGTATCAGCTTTATTGCAAGGGCAAAGCATCATTTGCTAAAGCAAAATTACATTATTTGATGTTTTGTATTCACTTTCATTATCACTTTATGCCTCCCCTTTGAACTTGTAAAGTACATTTTCTTACAATCTTTTAATATTTGTGCGGTTGTCCCATTTTTTCCTTATATTATGGAACGAGCATCAATATCTAACGACATTTTCTTTCGTGTCATTTGGGTTAAAAAAAAAACAGTTGAAAATTGACGGCACGCTTCTTGTAATATCAGGACCATGCCAAGCGTATGTTTCTTATATACCTTTTATTTCACGAAAGCACCATATTTAATATGAACTACGTCGGCATTTGGTAAAATTGAAAAATAAAGTGATATTTTGATAAGTTATTATTATTATTAAATAATATGAAATTATTAAATGAAAATTTTAATTTTAATTTTTAAATATTGAATGATATTATCAAATATATTTTTATTATAAATCAATTCTTATTACAATATAAATAAATATTTGTTTAATTTTTAAATATTGAATGATATTATCAAATATATTTTTATTATAAATCAATTCTTATTACAATATAAATAAATATTTGTATTTTATTTGAAATATTTATTTTTTGAAGCTTATACCAATTATATTCGGACAAGCGATTATTTTCAGTTATCCTACACCAGTTATTAAGCATAATTTAAAAATACATATTTTATAAATATTGTAATCTATTATTACTATACTGTGTAAAGAATATGTGATTGATTCTCGCATAGAAACAAACACACAAGACAATACCCAATTACTTATTCCTTAAGTTAAGACATTGAATATTATTGAGGACAAATAATATTTGTATCCTTATGTTTTCATGTAATTAATTACTTTTATCATTTTATTTTAAAAATTACATTATTTTTATCTTTATAATTTAGATTTCGTCTATTAAATTATCATTTCATCTATTATTTAAGATTTAAATCGTGAATTACTAATGAAATTACAACACTAAGCCCATATGGATATATGCATACAGGATTAAAAGGAAAAAATTATATTTAAAAAATTATATTTTTATCTCTATATTTTATATATACGAGTATAAAAATTGAAGAGTCCAATGCATTTGAATTTTGAGTTATGGCAGTTGCCAGTTGTATTTTCTTGTGGTTATTAGCAAGCAATTCAACTGGCCGTGCACACGTTTTGATGTGCATTGTTCTCATAATCTGTCTCCTTCCCTTTCTAATTTTCTCCATCCTTTGCTTAACTTTGTGTACTGTGGATATGGGTCGTAGGCAAGATAAGCAAGATGCATTGCGGATATGGGCTTAGTTCAAGATTCTTTGACTCATTGTTTCAGCAACCAGAACAAACGAATTGTCGTTACTTAGAGCCACCCCATTTGGTAATGCTAAGCCTTTGAATAATCTTGCACTTGTGTCTGAGCCGTTTATTATCCGCATATATATATATATATTCCCTACAAGAACAAATTGAATTTAATTAATCGAAAGGTAATTTTTGTGTGCAAAATATTTACCTTCTTTGGAAGTTACTGCTACTATCTGCAAAATAAACTGCTACAGTTCTTGTGTCAATCGACATCTATGCCATTAGTGAACCGAAAAGGGACCCCTTCAATTCTGAGACATAGACAGACAGTTGATGGTATGAATATGAATGCCATCTTTTCAGTCTTTCATTTTATATTTTATTTTCTTTTTTTTTTTTGAAAGAATATTTTATTTTCTTTTGTCAACACAAAACAGTTATACAAGAGCTCAGGTATTAAATGCATTTTCTTTTAATAATAATAATATTAATATTATAAACTTTGAACAAATTGGCATGGTTGGTTCCTCACTACTTTTTTGCATTTAAATAGTACTTTAAATAAATTAAAAAGTCAATAGTTTTTTTTTTTTGAAAAGAAAAAAGTCAATAGTTTCAAATGTGTTAAATATGGCTAAATGTCTTGTCTGCTAACTGAATTTAGCAGGAAAATAAAATTAATAATTGAATTCATTTTTTTAATATTATTGAAAAATTTAATGATATTTAATTTTGCTAGAATTTTTTTTTTTTTTTGGAAAAATCAAACTAGAATTTCACTTGGTAGCTATTCATGGCCACTGTTCGACTCCACGGTCTTTCTTTTTTTGAAAAGAAAAAAGTCAATAGTTTTAAATGTGTTAAATATGGTTAAATGTCTTGTCTGCTAACTGAATTTAGCAGCAAAATAAAATTAATAATTGAATTCATTTTTTTAATATTATTGAAAAATCTAATGATATTTAATTTTGCTAGTATTTTTTTTTTTTTAAATCAAACTAAAAATTCGTTAATGAAAATTGTATACAGATATGAGATACAAAACATTATGTTTCTATATTTTTGTATAGGAAGCCTAATAATAAACCATTTATACAAGAATAAAACATAAAACACAATCTTAATTTGAAGTATCTGATCGAGTTGGCAGAACATAATATTTATGTCATATGCAATCGCTTGTTTCACTCGGTGGCTATTCATGGCCACTTTTCGACTCCATGGTCTTCCTACAAGTCCAATCTGATTACCTTCAAATTTCTTTATTTTATTGGAGATGAGATCTGCAGTTCTTTTTGCATAATTATCCGAAAAATAAAAGACGCTAGACAAAATCATCATAATGGTGATAATAATAACTCAGAACTAGATTTGAGGACAAAATCTGAATGTATGAGCAACAATAAATCCCAACATATAGGCAACAATAACTTAAATATGTAAACAGATCTGAGAACTATTACAAAAAAATCAAACAAAAAAAAGGGAATAACTACCGGTGAGAGCTTACCAGTGGTCGTCCGTGGAAGACTGAGAAGAGAGAGTTTTTGCTGGTATTAGATCTGCATCTTGTTAAAAAAGAAATATAATCATGCATTAATTATATATATATATATCATTGCATTAATTACTATCCAATGCTTATCATTCTCTGTGCTTACTTAGACTTTTCTTTAGGTATACTCTGTCCTTCACACGTACTTACGGTGCTATATATATAAACGGTATAACCTACTCATTAATGCTACTTCTCTGTGTTCCACGAGTCCATCCACTCCTGATATATATATTGGTTCACGTATTCATATGATTATATATCATTATTTAGAAGATCATAGTTAATTATCTTATATAGATAAGATAACGTTTATCTTGTCATTAATGTTAAATTAATATTAGATGTCTATATATATTCAATGTATTAGTAGCATATGAGTTACTCACTTCGTTTCCAAATATTTGTCATATTTGAGAAATTATTGTATTTCAAATATTTATCAAATCGGTGGTTTCACACATAATAAATTATTTTTTCTATTTTTATCTTTTTGTATATGACTAATTAAGAATAATGTAGACAATTTACTTAACAATTTATTAAGAGACTTAAAATACTCAAATTTAACATGTATTTGAGAACAGAGCGGTAATTATCTTTCTCGTGTCAAAGAGAAAAATTATATGCATTTGCATTATGATTGGAGTGTGATAAATTATGATATTATCTTACAATCATAATGCAAATGGCTAGTATAACTACACCCCAATCGTTTTATTTTCCAAAAAAAAAAAAAAACACCCCAATCGTTTCATTTAATGTCAGCCACTTGATAATGATGTATAAACAAACTGTATTGACTTTTGAAATTTGCTAAATTTTGGTATAACCAACATAAGGTTGCACAGAAGATCCAAACCACAACCCTCCATCATATTCTGCAACTTCACTAACAGAATCAAGAATCTCTCCACCATTTCCATCCAACATTTTCACCACTTTCCCATCTTCGCTAAATTTGATACCTACAGTATCATTAAAAACCCATCCTTCATTAATCATTTCCTCTTTATATTTTTGAATCTTTCCTTTTCATCTCCAAATTTTCAACCACCTTTCCCCATCTTCGCTAAATTTTGAGTCACTAACCAGTTCATTTAACAAAGCCCATCCTTCACTAATTCATTTTCCTCTTCGTTATATTTTTTTGAATCTTTTCCTTCTTCCGCTGTGTTAAACTGCAACCCAAATTCTCATTTATCGTTTCTCTTATTATTATCAGGAAGTCTTGCCAACGTTTCAGCCAAAAACCTTCTTCTTGATGTTCGATTATCGATTATTCATTATATTTATAAGGGTCGATCTGCGGATATAAGAGGTGTGATTCTCCTCTGATACTCTCTCTCCTCATGAACTACCGAGAGACACCGTAGCTTTGTCGATGTGCACCTTCGTCGCCCACCCCATTTGGTCAAACACTGCTACTACGTCCTTGAGTGGAATATATATAACGATTGTCGTTACTTAGAGCCACCCCATTTGGAAATGCTAAGCCTTTGAAAAGCACAGTCACTTTCTTGCTATTTGGATCATACTTTAATAACCTTCCACTTCTGTCTGAGCTGAGTATTGCCCGTAAATATTCCCTACAAGAACATAATTAATCACAAATCGTAAGTGAGTGCCACAAATCGTTTGGCTATAAAAGTTATAGTAGTTAAGATTCTTAGGAACAGGAGAGCTCACAAAATATTTACCTTCTTTGGAAGAAAATGCTGCTATCTGTAAAATAAACTGCTCCAGTTTTTGGGTCAATATCTAAGCCATTAGCGAATCGAAAAGGGACTCCTTCAGCTGAAGCAGCAAGCTGCGTAGGAACACCACCCATTGGCCCTACTACCAGAAGCCCATAATAAGCATCTGCAATGTACAGATCACAGGTTGCAGGATTAAATTTGAGGCCTAATGCTCTCCCACATTCTGGTTCCTTGTTGGGGTCTGTTGAGCCATCACATTCTTTCTTGTCCCTAATAATCAAACACAATACAATACAAATTCATTAATGGTGTTTAAGTTTTATATATAATTGAATCTATAGCACTTTGATAATGTTATCAGATGTTTATAATATATAGTGTCAATGAATCTTGTTAAAAAAGTTTTTATTGCTGCTATTTTTTTTTATATAAACAAGAGTTGTAATTCCGTTCGATCTGCAACTGTACAAGATTGAAATCGTTTATCATCTCAACCAACACGTATATCTTAGGTGGTAGTTTTTATTAATAACTAATTAGTTTCAAAAAAACATCAAATTAATTAGAATAATAATTATTGCCCAGATACTATAGTAATAATTACATTATTTTATCAGCAGTAATTCAAATAACAACATCAAGCAAATCCTAAGTGAGCATGTTGTATGTTGGATTCGAAGACAAGCCAATATAAGTGTTCATATATATACTTTAGCACGAACATACTATCAATTTGCTAATCTTTTTGTTTAAGATTTTCCTCCCTCAATATTTGTTCTCTCTGAATTATTAATGAAGTACTCTTCTTTTTATTATGATTTTTTTTTTAAAAAAAAAAACACTAACTGAGCAAAAATATGGTAACCAGTAATCCCATTGACCAACTAATAAAAAAAACTATGAAAAATTGAAAAAACAAAAAAAATAATGAAACATGTATATATACACGTATAAACAAATAAATGCTATTGACAGTGAACCAGCGCGAAATTAATTTTAGCAGAGGAAAAATTTATATGATGCAACCACTTGCTAGAATCAATTTAATAGGTAGAATAGCCTATATGATGTAACCACTTGCAAGTTTTCTACTCCTACTAAATATGCATATATGATGTATTTACAAATCAAACCCAACATCTATCTATCTGTCTATCATATATATATATACAAAATACCTCGATCTCGTAGCATTTGCGCGAAATGGAATTTGCGAATATAAACAGATACAACATTCGAAAATTCAATAATAGATGCAACATATATATTACACTGGTGTCTTCTATCAAAAACAAATGCCCTCTATCTCACACTCACGCCGCGAAATTAATTTTACAGAGGAAAAATTATATAGATGATGCAACCCACTTGCTAAATCAATTTATAGGTAGAATAGCCGATATGAATGTAACCACTTGCAAGTTTTCATAACTCCTACTAAATAGCATATATGTTGTATTTACAAATTCCAAAACCCAAACATCTATTCCTATCTGTCTACTTCATATATTATATATACTATAGATATATAGTATATATTATACTATAGCAAGAAATATATATATAGCAAGAAAATGAAATACTGCATGCATGCATGAACATATATACATATATATGCAATAACTTGCCTGTTGGGTGAGGAGACAGCAAAGTCTAGCCAAGACTGGTTGGATTGATGCCATTTGAGTATTCTACCATCAGAAACACCAACATATGGACCATTGCCATTGCAATCAAAGGCAAGACTTTCTGGGCCAATAACTCCAGGGAGATCAAGTTGAGTATAGCTCTTCATTACATCAGCTTCTGAAACTATTAGCAGTTTATTAGAGTAGGATATGATACCCTCTGCAGAAATAAAGAAGAAAAAAGCGACGAAGAAGAAAGAAGATAAAATTAAAGTATTCATTCTGTTGTTGATCAGAAAGAGATCAAATAATAAGATGATCCCGTTTATATAAATGAGTACTTGTATACTACTGCTTCTGCATTTATAACCATCAAAAGTCTGTGTTCTGGTAGCAGTTTACAGAATTAGGTCAACATTATGTACATTTTATTATTATTATAATTATTATTATCATTAATTCTGATACATGCAGTTGGTTGCCACTTTCAGTACTTATTACAATATAGATAGTAAAAAGATGTCGGGTATTAAAGTTGCATTTTCTTTCAATAGTAATAATAATAACAATAATATAAATTTTGAGCAAATTATTGGCCTCGTTTGTAGATATTTGCATTTATAAATAAATTAAAAGGCCAATAATTTGAAATGTAGGTAATTAAAATTATCTTGTAATTAAAAATAAAAAGGGACTGAGATATGCCTGTATGTCTTGTCTTGGCTGCTGCTTAGTGTGATAAGGATATGTAACTACCTTACAGCTGTTTCTGTTTTGAATATGTATTTGAATAGCTAGAGCTTATCTATTGTAATCTATATATACAGAAGATACAGAAATACAAATCAAGTAATTCATACAATTATATGGTATCAGAGCCTTCTAGGGTTTAATTACCAATGGCCGAAAATTCTGAGTCTTTCTCTATTCCTAATGTCTCTCAATTTCTTACATTGAAGCTAACCTCTGCCAATTACCTTTTGTGGAAGAGCCAGCTCGAGCCTCTCCTTAATGGCTATAATCTGGTTGACCATGTTTCTGATAATCCTAATCCACCGTCGGAATTGCTAAATAATGCTCCCAATCCCAAGTATCGAATTTGGTTCCAGCAAGATCAGATTGTTTTAAGCTGGATTCGGAATTCTCTTTGTGAACAAATCCTTTCCCAAGTCATTGGCATCAAAAAGGCGAAAGCAGCTTGGGACAAACTCACCACCATTTATTCAACTGGGTCCCGTACCAAAGTACAGCAGCTCCGCAAACAGCTCCGGCGATTGGAAAAAGGAACCGATACTGTTGATGAATACATGCATCGAGCAAGAGATATCTCTGATCAACTAGTAGCTCTGGGTTCTCCTATTTTTTACGAGGATCTGATCACTGATATTCTTGAGGGATTGGGTGAAGATTTCCGACCCTTTTCCCGTTCAATTTAGGCTCGAAATTATCCCATTAGTTATGATGATCTTTACGCGTTGATGTTGTGTAACATCCTACTGAATCGAATCGTTGCATAGAGTCGAGTCGAGTTGGGCCGAACAAGAACCCAGTTCGAGCCATTTAAATCCAGAGTGTCCCCGCAAACAGCCCTCCGCCCGAAGTTGGGTAAAAAGAGAAAACTTATTGTTTGATGGAGCCCCTGTGTGCTGTGCACAGACTCATCTTTCCCTCGACTGGGTCTCACGGCATCAGAGGAGATTTCTACATATACATCCTCAGTGTACTCTTATCTCCATGCGGCGCCCTCTATATTTGGGTATACGGTGTACGGTGAACCAATTCCTCATAAATTATCCGATGCGGCGACGAGATGACTCTCTCCCGAATGTGCCTGGAAGCCCCTGCCGTTGACTCTTCGTGGCCCTACTTTCGACCAAGCGGTGTCTACACAAGTTATTATCTGACGGCATCCCGTCTAATAACAGCTCGTCCTCTCGTATAAGCATCTTGCGCGACAGTCGTCGCTAGTCTGCATCTCTCACCTCACCACTCTTCTAAGTATCGTTGGCGACGCATCGGCTCTCGCTGATGTAAACACCCCTTCCGGCGGCTCTATGCCCGCGACGCTAGCAGGTTTTCGCGTACATGCGAGTAGACCAACTACTAATCGTCCATCCTTCGTATACATGCTTCGTACATCATATGCGGCTCCCGTCCATTCGTCCAGATGCCTCATCGCGAGATACGGACGTCTACTCCTACTCCGTTCGTAATCGAATCGTTGCATAGAGTCGAGTCGAGTTGGGCCGAACAAGAACCCGGTTCGAGCCATTTAAATCCAGAGTGGGGTAGAATGGGATGTAACGTAAATAAGTAAAAGAAGTGGACTTACTTGAATGAAACAAAAAGATCAAAGTATAAGTAGTAGGACTTACTTGCACTAAAATATAAAGTTTAGTTATTAAAATGTAATATATGGAAAATATAGGTACTATTTGGTAATTTTTAACACACAATCAAAGATAAATTTGGACTACACGAGACTTCTGTCGATCACTTGCTTCCTTCAGCCGTTTTCTGATGATTTCCACTTTCTCTTTTGTTTCTCTAACCAAATCTGGACCCAAAATCTTCTTCTCACTAAGCCTTTTCCATATCCATTTTTCATGTTGATTTAAACCACTAAATTCAACCCCCTAGAATGCTTATATTTCCCCTCCTTTAAATCCCTGAATTGGTAAATTTATGTTACGATAAATCATTAAGTAAGATTTGATCGCCGGGTTGCAATAGCTAAGAAGTAATATGCAAAATTATCATGAGCGAATGTAGGGGGTGCGGTGGGAAGGTCTGGACGTCCTATCAGTTCGTCCACGACCCACTTGTAACCTAATACTTGTTCACACCCTCACTTCATTTGTATACAACCCCGGTCACTGTCAGTGTGCTATAAATTCGCTCCCAGAGTGCCTCCGATGTCACCAGGGTCTATGCATCGTAATTAACTTCCATTGTGCATACAGTCATGTTGCCGTTAGCGCGCCCGTGTGGTGCACTCATTAAATATCCGTGTCCGTCCTTTTACTAGTCTTTTGCGTACGTAATTACATACCTCGACTCCCACTCAGTTATGACAACTACCGCTGTGTTCACTACCATTGCATACCAAATCTCATCATATACTACACAGATGCGACTACATAGCTCATGTGCTCCTGAGAAGAATCCACATTATTTTGCTGTGACACATTCGTACATTTACTGTCTCCTACGTTACGCTCATAGTCTTGTATCAGTACAGGGTGTGTGAACTGGTATTGATAAACTACGTCCTGAAGCCTCCTATCTTTCCCTCTACCATCTGTAACCGTCATTGCCTGAGCTCTAACATATAGAGTCCACCCTTATCATCTTCAGTTGTTGATTCTATCCGATGATAGATATTTTTGTGCTAACTCTCTCTTGAGGAACTCCTTTGTTTCCCACTATACTTATGAGCCATCTGCAGTAGTTATGTGATTTATTATTTATAAAGTGTGTACGTGGTTTAATAAGAAGTTGCAAAAAATTTACTACAGCCATCATGAACAGCCAAGGTTTTAAATTTCATGAAAGTATAAGATAGGTTGTGTTATACTGTTTATTTTGGTTTATTCTTTAATTAAATGTCCGGGAATGATTACCACTACGTTATACGGCCTATTCGCGAAGCGCTCCGTCATAGCGCACTCTAATGTGTGTGTGTTGTCATAGCTCTTTCTCACCTGCTACAGCTACGAATTATAATTTAACTCGTACAGTCTCATCGAGACTGCGACCGGAGCGTAATCAGCTTACAACTCTGCAGTTCATCTGTGGAAGAGCTCAGTCTTCAGGGTAGCTACTCATTTGGATATTTTGATTCGGTATCTATCCTTATCATGGCATGTACAAGGTGCACACAGTTGGCCATCTTCCATTTTGAAAATTGAGTATCATGTCTTGTAAAAATATTAATACATAATCTTATATCCTTTCCCTAATGTTATAAAATCAAAGCTTGACATCATAATCAGCATACAACTACTCGTAGCATGAAAGGACTAGGTTCAACCATAGCATGAAAGGACATAGGTTCAACCAGATTGTAGCGTCTCAGCTCGGTTCATTTGAGTTAACGGGTGGACCGGGAAGGGATGTTACATGTTGAGTGAGGAAACGCAACTTAATATGCACAAGCTTTCTATCACTTCTGCCATGTTTCCTACTGTTCAGTTTGCAAATCGGTAGTCCACTTTCAAATCTGGAAATTTCCAGAATTCTAATTCTGCCACATCTTCACGGCATTCTTCTGGTTCTTATGGCAGAGGCAGGGGTCGTGGAAGGCACACTAATTCTGGTTCTCAATCAGTTACGTGCTATAACTGTGGAGGCTCTAGGCATCTTTCGAGGCAGTGTCCATCACCCAAGACTAATTCTGGTTCTATTTTTCGCCCAAATACTCATGTTGCTGCTGGCTTCAATCTTTCATTCGCAACCTCAACAGTGGACTGTGTGATTCTGTGGATTCTGGGGCTAACTACCATTTGATTGCACAACCTGGAAACATCGACAACTTGGCTCCCTATTCTGGCACTGATAATATCACAATTGGAGATGGTAATGAAATTCCTATTTCTGCTGTTGGCAATTCTTATGTTTCTGCTAGAGATTTGAGACTTTATCTATCTAATATTCTTTGTTCTCCTCATGTTCATCGTTATCTGTTTCTGCTTTGACTAATACTAATGGAGTCTCTGTTGAATTTTTTCCTGGTTATTTTCTTATAAAGGATATCCACACGAGACGGGTCCTGTTTCGCGGCCAGAGTAAGAATGGTTTACATACCATGCCTCTTTCCAAGTTCAAACCTGAAGTTAATGTGGTTGAGTTTCCAGTTTGGCATGCTCGCTTTGCTTATGCTCATGATCGTGCTGTTACCCAAGTTTTGTCTTTCAATAATATTCAAGTGTCTAATAAAAATTCTATATTGCCTTGTCATGCGTGTTGTGTTAGCAAAACGCATAAGTTGCCTTTTTCAAATTCTTCTAGTTTGGCTAGTCAGCCTCTTGAACTCATTTGTTCCGATGTTTGGGGACCTTCCCCGGTTCAATCAATAGATGGATTTCGTTATTATGTTGTTTTCTTTGACCACTATAGTAAATACTCTTGGGTTTATTTCTTGCGTAATAAATCAAATGTGTTGCCTGTATTTATTCAATTTCGTACTCTTGTTGAGAAATATTTTCAGCAGTTGCCTATTTAAAAGTTTTCAAGTTAGATTGGGGAGGCGAGTTTCCAAGCAATTGCAGAAGTATTGGCTAGTCATGGTATCACCAAAGGGTCTTGTTCCATACACTTCCTGAACAGAAAGGGTGTGCTGAACGGAGCACA